GAATTAAAATCGATAATAAAGCGAATATCGCGATTATTTCTTAGTAAAATAAGATTTATATTAATATTACTATATCTATAAACCTTAATATTATTTATATATATTATAGTAAAGTTAAAACTAGTGGATATATAATTAAAACTAGTGAATATATAATTAAATAATATCTATCCTAATTCGGAATTTATTATTTCCTATTATAGTAATTTTCAAATATATATTTTATACGAATATATATTTCATAGGGAGTTAGGCCAGAGATGGCTCAAACTTTCTGCTATACTGCCGGCCGACCCTGTGTCATTCTCCGGAAAGTTGTGTTGCTACAATGTCTCCGGGATGTAGATCCCTGCCCCGTGTTATCGAGGGGTGGTAGCTTTTGATGGGGATATCCCCACATTCGGCTTTCCGAAAGCCTCGCCGTATCCCAACCAGCAAGCAGCTTATTCTCAAATACAAGAGCTGCAATCCTTGTGCGCTGCAAGAATATGCGCATCTTCCACCAGCTCCTTCTGAATCCCAGCAGGTTTCAAACATGCATCCAATCCTGTGGGCTGTCGCAGTCGCGATCTTTATCATCGCTGTCGTTCGACAAAATCAGCACCGTCGGAGAATAAAGTCTCTCGGAGTCGCTTGTCCTGAGCCTCCGAACGTCTACCCAATCCCTTTCGGTGAGCTATTGGAATACCTGGACACGTTGCCAAGAATAATGTTGACAAAGGATAGGAATCGGTCGCTTCCTGTACATCGGAAGGCGTGTGAAAGATGGCACATTCATGGATTTGTGGCCTGAGTGGTGGCAAGAATATGGGAAAACGCTTCGGGTACTGTGATCACCTGCTTTTGAATACCGGGTGGTTCCTCCACCAGATTACGCCAGAGAAACCATCAACAAACACCTTATCACTCGCAGGCCATATCGGCTAACACCGTGTCTCCTGTCGATTTAGTTCTCAGCTTTCGGCGCCAACAGTATCTTCACTGATGAACCCGATAACGTGCGTTTCATTCTGCAGGAGGGCCCTTTGGCTGGAAAGGTTGGAATGGGGGCCGACTTCCACGACCAGTGGTACGAGTTCCTGGGGGATAGTGTTTTCAACCTCGATGGAGTTAGTTCTCCTTGGGACCCCGTGTCACATGCAGCTTACTAATTAAGATGCCAGATTAAATGGAAGACCAATAGGGCAAAGCTTCGAAAGCAGTTTACGAGGGAGAGACTTGCCGATTTAGAGCTTTTCGAACATCATGTCCAACGCATGATTCGATTCGTCAAATCATACAGCGAACAGCCAGTCCCCGTGCTCGACTTGCTGCACCGTTTCACACTGGATACCTCGATGAACTATATGCTTGGAACAGACGAAAACACCGTGGAGAAGCCGGTCCACCAATTCTCTCATGCTTGGGACAATGTCTTTGAGATCATGGATGCCCGTGCCCGCGCAGGCGGGCTGTGGAAGATTCTGCTCCCTAAGAAGCCAATGCAGGATGCCATGGCTGTCCTCAATGAGGTCGCTTATACCCAGATTGACAGGGCAGTGGAAAGGCGCAAGAATGGAGAAAAGCTGGGTACCAGCTTCTTGGATGCTATCACAGAGGACACACTGGATCGCGAGGTATGCTCCATGCTCTGGGTGCCACCAGGATATGACTACTCTATCACTGACACATTCAGGAAATCCGGGGTCATTTAATGACGATTATGCTTGGAGGCCGAGATACTGCAGCTTTGACATTGACGTATGTCCATGAATTCTCATCCTCAACCCTCGAACGATGAGATGATTCTAACACTGTCTCGCCAACCAGTAATACCTTACACGCGCTTGCACGCCATCCTGCCGTCTATGCCACGGCTCGAGCCGAGATTCTGGAAGTGATTGGACCTTCAGAGATACCCACATTTGAGCAACTAAAGAAGCTACCCTATCTCAAGGCCATCATCGATGAAGTTCTGCGTCTGTGGCCCATTCTTCCGTACACTCGGAAAAGCGCTCTCAAAGACTGCACTCTGCCGACGGGCGGCAAGAACCGCGAGCCGATTGCAGTTCTTGCAGGTCAGTGGCCATCATTGGCCTCGTCTTGCGTCACTGGGTGTTTTACTGAATCTACGTTTAGACACGGAACTATACTACTCAGCGAGGAGTATGCACCGACGACCAGAGTTCTGGGGCCATGATGCAGACCTCTTTCGACCCGAGCGTTGGATCGAGTCCGGTGGCAATCACAAACCATGGACCTATTTGTGAGTGAGCCTTTGCCGCCCCGTTTCTATTGGGAGAGCATGCGCCTTGTACAATTACGAAACTGACGACACGACCCCCTGTAGCCCTTTCAGCGGCGGTCCCCGTATCTGCGTTGGCATGCAATTTGCCATGACAGAAATGCAATACATTCTATCTAGGTTGCTGCAATCATTTCCGTCCCTCTCAACTACTCAGCCTGAGCTTGAATACAAGATGATGATTTTGATGGTTCCAAAGACGGAAGTTTACGTGACTTTCCACGACAAGGAGGCATGATCTTCTAGAAGGAGTATTACGAGTCGGGCTGTTGATTTTCGAGCGAGAAATTTACTTGACGTCTCTAATATCAACGGCTACGAGAAACTCTTCTTACGACGATAGCAACCTAGAGGAAAAACAAACATAATCGCATACCTAGCCTTCACGCCTCGTCCATATTACTAAACGCTATTATCATCCGGCCTCACTAAGAAAACGAGACTTCGATGATTCTAGCGTGTTTGAGGCTTGTAGCGATCTTAATCTGCGTGCCATATCTTGAGCTTGAAAAGAAGTGTTGTCCGTCCCATGGACGTAGAACATTTCAGGAGAAGCTAAGAATTGAGGACGTATCTTGTGTACCACCGCCCGGAAGCTGAAGACGCTGCATACCTTGAGTTCTAGAACACGATACGGTTGGCTTACATCCGCGGTCTCTCACTTGTTGAAGTCAATAATAGCTCTACCAGCGACTTGTCCTTGTTTCAGCTTTTCGACGGCCTCCGGCAATTCTTCGATTCCGTAGACGGTATAGATAGGCTTTAGCAGCCCTCTGCTCGCAAATTCCAGTGCCCGGGAGATGTCACTTAAGTTTGCGACCAGGGTGCCAGAGATGGTCAAGTTCTGGAAACAGAACTTCGAGGGTTCGCACCCAAGGTGAGTAGTCCCTTTGGCTGCTAAATGACCCAGGACAGTCAGCTCTTGGTCTTCTCTGACTCTTGATTGGACATTGTCGTTGATTGAAAGTGACGTTGAAAAGCGCATAGACAAGATTTGACTCACGAAGGCCGATGCACATGACCTTAGCTGATATCCGCTTACCAACCAGGTCAATTGCTTTTGAATAAGCTCCCGGTGCAGTGACGATCACAGCATGTACACCGACACCATCAGCAAGGCAGACCACCTCGGCAGTAACGTCTGCGGACTTTTTGAAATCGACAAAGTGCTCGGCACCGCACATTAGGCCCAAATCTCGTTTCTCATCACCAGAGTCGATAACAATGGGTCGTAAGCCCATGGCTTTGGCAATCTGGACGCCTTGGATACCTACGCCGCCTCCGCCTCCTGGAAACTATCACGAGCACTAGCATGAGACAGGCTCTCCGACATGAAGATGTATGTCAGTCGCAAACTCACCGCCACCCAGTCTCCTGGCGTAAGTCTTGCTTCGACCAGTGACCGATATACCGTGCTAGCCGAGCACATGATGGGCGCTGCTGTATAGTCATCCACACCGTCAGGAATCGGCATCGTATACCGAGCAGGAGACAAAACATATTGCTACCACGCCCAGGCCGGTCAGCTCGCCGTCACGTTATTCATCTAGGCCGAGTTGCATTACCTGATAACTGCCAGGCTTCATGAGCCCGGCGTGCAGAGACTTTGCGCAGAAAGCGTCCCTCCCAGTCCAGCAGAACTCGCACGTTCCGCATATATCCCAGACTGGCTTGATGCCTGCACGATCTCCGACCTTCCAATTCTTCACATTGTTTCCAAGTTTGACAACAATCCCTGCTCCCTCGTGACCAGGCGATCGAACGCCGAAAGCTGACATCGGAGGGAGATCAAGGTCTCCCCTCATGAAATGAATGTCGGAAAAGCAGACCCCCGTCACGTTAAGGCGGATGAGCACTTCGTCGGGACCTGTGAAACACGATCGCTTCGTGAGTATTTTGTTACTGAAGAAGCACAACGTCGCAGCGTGTGGCTGAAACAAAGCCAGCAGGAAAAACCAAGGACCGGTGCTGGAAGACCCCGCTCCGGTCTTGAGGTGAGGGTGTCAGACATACCTGGCTCGGGAACAAGTACTGTTTGAATTTGGACGAAGAAGTTTGGTCCCTCATTAACCACCACGCCAGCTTTGCATTCTTTAGGTATCTGATAGTAGGCGCTACTGAGGTCATGCGCTCCTACAATGGCATGATGCGCAGTGTTCAGTGCTGTTGTCGCCATCACAAGATCAGTACTTAGTGCGAAGACGGTCAGCAATTTCTAGAGGAGGAACCATCAATATCAGTATTGTGTCGTGGTTCGCAGGGAGGGGGTTTTCAATTCTCGCCTGACGCACTCCTCGAGCCAAGCATTACAAGCGTCCAAACCTGTCAGCCAGAGTCCTGGGTGTGGTGTGCAAGAGCCACATCCCGAGAGTCCGGATCCCGGCCGATGTGATCTTGTGGAAATTCGGTGTTCTCAGGGGAAGAACGGTTTGCCGCATCTATTGCGGAGACGCCGGGCTGATCTGCGGCATTCGCACGGCTCACCAGATGAGCGAAATGAGACCTTGCTGTACCGTGTAGGTCAATGTTGCCAACGCGTCGCGCAGCCCCTTGGGATGGTATCTCGTTTCCATGGGGCTCGTTAGGCTTACCGAGCGGCGCAATTGGCTTTCCAGTGTCATCACCACTAATCTTGCTATCAAAGCACCAACGCCAGCGTAGTACCAATACAGATAGATAGTTCTCAAACTGAGCCATTTGTGAGAGTGAGCAGTCCTTTGCTGTCGCGGGAATACTGCAGGCCAACGACAGGCTCGTGAAAACTCCTTCAGCGTTCAAAAGATTAGCGTTAGGAATCATGTAAATTAATTTGATTCTATAGAGCCAGAGCCCAAACAAAGAAAGCACTTTCAAGGCTAGTATGAGGTAAAGCGAAGATGAAGACGGAGCCTCTTTCATAGCACCAGGAAGCCTTTAATGGCAAGAACTCAGCACTGGGTGAATCAATGTTATTACGTCCATTATTCCGGTCTCAAACATCCACAGCGCACTCTTGTTCGAGCTTGGCATGCGCGCCCAACAACCATATCATAGCCAGACCATATTCTGGTAGTATTCCAGAACATTTCCAGTCTCTCTTTGGACACTGACACGACATCATGACTTGGCAAGCGAGGCGTACTTCGTCAGAGGTGGAAGCCGACCTCGTGACGATACTCCCAGCTGCGAACTCTTTTGCCCCATATGTACATGGGAACAGACGAAAGTCCCAGCCCGGCGGTTATTCCACCAAGAGTGAAGAAAGCATTCCGGATGCCAGAATCAACGAGCCATTCTGTAATGTAGAATGTCAAGCCCATGCAAAAGACCTTGCTTATAAAGCCGAGTAGCGCGAAAGCTTCTCCAGAGATCTGACGGTGAGCATCGACAAGGTAGGCGGCAACGGCAGTCGTGGTCAATTGCACGCCGAGGTTGATCAAACCGAGACCGATGATGACGGGAACCGCCCATGGTTCAGCTGCGTACACTGATTGACCCCAAACGAAGAAACCCACCGCCGAGAAGACTAGATACGACAAAACAAGCGGGAGTCGAAATTCCGGCTCTGTGGGAACAGTCAGCGAACAAGATGTCTATACCGAAGCGAGCGCGGAGTGGCGTACCATAGATCCCGTGATTCTTTTTAGCCATCCACACAGCCAGACCATCCGAGAGACGGTGAGCGACAAGTGCTCCAATGACTGATGCAACAAAAGATGAAAGATTGGTGGCTCCAACCTGCTCCACACCGAATTTGTAAGGCGGTCCTGAGAAGATCTGTGAGATGGTGACTGCGATAAGAACCAGCCACGCAACACAAGTAGTAAACAGGATCGTGCACCAGAAGACGATAGGCGAAAAGATCAATCTGATCGGCCGTGTGCTGAGGCTGACGAGGCTGACATGATGGTTATAGCCAGACCACGGCAATAGCTCTCGCATGGTTGGCAAGATGGCAGTGCTAGGAGCATATTCGAGGGAAGCCGGTCCTGTAGCCACGGCAGGTGATGTAATCTTTTCTGTATGTTCGACTCCCTCGGGTTGATTCGCACCGGTGATCTTGGTCGAGCCATCAACGTCACTCTTTTCAGCCGTGTCGAGACTGAGGTGTGCGGACCGATGGTATGCAGTTTCGGGCATCAGGAGGAACGTCAAGATAAGCTGAAGTATATGCGCTCCGCCAACACCATACATACAATTACGCCAGCCATACTTTTCAATGATGGGACCGGTGATTGGTGGTGCAAGGCTGATGCCACCGAAGATACCGAGGTTGAAGATACCGAGACGGAATCCTCGCTGGTGGACGAACCAGACATCAGCAATGCTGGCAGGTATAAGTGCTTCCCACGGACCACTGAGTGAGAAGAATAGTCAATGGATATATTCCAAAGAAAAACAGATGCCGAGTCACTCACACGCCGAGTCCGACCAGAGCACGAGATCCTGTCAAGGAGCCCAATGACTTTGCACCTCCGCCCCAGAAGCTGCCCGCGATGAGCAGGATTGAGGCGACTAGATAGACCGGCCGCTTGCCATACTTGACTGCGAGTGAATTGCCCAAGAATGAGGAGACGGCGACGCATCCCAAAAGAACTCCATTGTAGCTTGAAATGAACTTCGGAAGGCCAACCTCGAATTCTGTAGCGAGTTGGACCGCGGCAGCCGAGAGGATAGGACCGTCAGCTGCGACTCGTCAATATCCATCAATTCAGTGGCAAGCAAACAAGACGCGATTGCATTGGAGATCACGCACCGCCTGCCACGCCGCAACCGTAAGCGAACGCAATGAGGAAAAGGAGCTTTTTCCTATCATCAAATTATCTCAGCGAGACGCCAAATATTCTCGGACGGGAGTTAAGCTACCATTTCGACCAGTTCAAAGGGTCGTTTGGCGAAGCTGATGGCTGAGGGATAAGGACAAGACTGCCGATGTGTTTCAAAGCCTCTGATTGTTGGCCCGGCTCTTCGGAGGTTTCGAGAGAAAACTCAAGATCAACGCGACCAGCTTCATGAAGGAAGACGGTCCCAGGAACATGTTCCCTATGACGAGACTCGAGCACACCAAGACCCATGACGTTTTGGAAGCTGTCGGGTCACAGAGTTGAAGCTTCTGCAGAATTGATGAGAGTACGACTCTCCTCAAAATTATTTGTTCGAAAGTCAATAGAATTGGGATATCGAGGCTGAGATTGCTTGCACGATTTCAAGGGGACTTAAAAGCACATCAGGGTTGTCCCGCCGTGCCAGCGGCAATTAAATAGGATCCGAGATAAAGGTCAACAAAGAAACCGGCACCGTGTCAATGCCAGGGAACCGCAATCTTGTTCTGGTACGAGGGGGTTCCGCAGATACGTAGTAACCCGGGGGCGGGGACCCCCCTTTTTTGCGGAGGAGAGCATTTGCGGGGATGGTAGGAAACCCACATCTGTGGTGGGGAAATCGATGTTCACGTTTCGGGCACCGTGGACAATGGAATTTAATGCTCCGTACGTTTGGGGGTGTGGGTGCTATCAACGAGGACTATTCGCCAAACTACACAGGATCAGGAGTAAAGCCTCAAGACTCCTGCTGTTGATATCGGATGAAGTTTGTGTTGCGACGTAGACAGGCGATATCATAAGACCATCTAACAAAAGACTATTCATGCGCCGCGACTGCCTGAAATAAGCAGCCTCAACGTGCGTGCAAACTCTCTGGAAATTCCCCAGTGCCCAACCCTGACCAAGAGATCATGCATTGACCACAGCACGGTGGTAACATGCAGCGAACATCTCTCTGGTTGAAACCCATTGACTTCAAGTAGGATCCGCGATGGACTATGTCCAAGGAGCTTGATCTCAGGAAAGTTCAGGTCTGCTTCCGCTGCCGGCAGGGCTGTGTCTGGGACGCCTTGGACCGGAGAAAACTGAATGTAGCAATACAAAACCAGGGCCGCGTGAAAGACTGCCCGGGGGACGTGAATGGCTGGCTCTTGGTCCAGCCTTCTGCGGCCGAGTAGTTGATGGATCAAGAACCCATGCATGACTGCGCGTTTGGCGGCGCTGCTAGCCAACCAAGTTTTGGTATATTCCACAGATTCGACGGTCGAGTTCGCCGGCCCCGACGCTGCCGAGTCTACTTCCACTGCGCTTTCAAGTCTGGACACATCCACACAAAGGTATAAGAATATGGAATGCCAATATATCGTGAGACAGAAGGGATCCTCTTGGTCCGTATGTACGATTTGTTCGTAATTTCTGTACCAGCAACTGAGCCGTGTTGAGAAATTCCCGAAAATGCTTTCTTGGTGAAGGTTGCCGCATGCTCTTTCATCACACGCAGCAGCACCAATTTCCGCAAGCACAACGTAGAGGGAGTACAGGCCCGTGGCGGGCACATTGAGGGGCTGTGAGAGGGCAAGCCGGCGCTGCAAATCTCTGTAAGTGCCCTGGGGGGTCTCTGTGTTTCCTAGCGCTTTGAGCCATGTGGCGGCGTCGGGCGCTGAAAAGACAGCCGGCGCAAAGGCGAGCTGAAGCGCATTCGAACCGGGACGAATACATGTTTCGTGATGCACAAGGAACGCAAGCTCGGCGTCTTGGATTACCATACACAATGCCGCTCTTGAATCGATTAGAATGGAGAAATACTGGTAGTGGCCAAGAGACTGATCCCAGACCTACCTCTTCGTCGCTTCTTTCCTTGCCCAATTTCTCCAGGCCTTGTCGAGTTGTGGAGCCGGTAACGAGGCCAATTCATGGACATTTGGAATTAAGGGTTCCACTTGAAACGTGCCGGCGCTTCGAGCCCACTAAGAACATGAGTTAGGTACCAAAGGGCGTGCAGTAGAGGCGGAGGAAACGTACGTAGAGAACCAGACCATGAAAAGCCTCTGCAATTGCAAAGTGTTCTCGTACCTTAAAAAAGGCGCCAGTCAGTTTGCGTTAGTTCTGACGCAGGAAACTAAAAGAGCCAAAATGTCAAGCATACCCCAGATAAGAGTGCATACGACTGCGCGATCAGGCCACCCTGCACAATGGCCACTTTTTCTATCCTGCTAATGCCCACCAGTTTCTCCCACTTGGTCTGTCAGCTAGCTTTCTCGGTGCAGGGATGAAGGAACCGACTGATGCTAGCACGATTTTGTTGAGCTTCTCAAACATCTTCCGGCCCGTCGCTTTGGCATCGTCTGCGCCAACGAACAGACTACCGAGAGAACACATGGAGAGGAGAAGAATATAGTTTTCTCCCGAGGTACGAAAAGAAGGGCGGTGAATTAGCGGGAAGATATCGCCGAATTTGGTGAAGTAGAGTTGTACACATAAGTTCTGGAAACGGTGAGTCCAAGAGCAAGTATTTGCGGGGCTTGGGAATACCGACAAGGAAATCGGTAGATGGAAGTAGACCTCCTGTCCATTTGGAGCGGACCTGCTTCGCCAGTCGTGTACGATATACTTCGTCAACCTCTGCATCATTAGCATCTGCATGCACCTTATTGATGTTCGATCCGGCTTGGCTGCCGTTATCATCGCTGACGGAGCTTTCACGCCTTCTGGCATGACTGAACCGGTTGTCGGATACAGATTGCTGTTGGACAATTGTACCTGCAGGAGAGACGGGTGGCACCGAAGGAGTATTTCTTTTGGACTGATTAGGCCTTTCGTGAGTGCTTGGGTCGGAGTGCTGATTCTGGACGGGCGGTGGTAGTCCCCACGGCTGCCCTCGATCGAATGTCGCCTGGTTCGGATCAAGGGTGGAAGCCACCCACGAGTTCACTGCGGTTACATCAAACTCGGCATCAGCCATCCATGGTGGAAAATGAAGTTCTGCGGGTAGGGTGTCCCATCCCGAGGAGTGCTCTATCTGGCCGGCAGGAAATTCGAAGGTAGGCATTGTCAATGGTACTTCGGTGGCTAGAGGAAATTGTGCTTCCACTAAAATGCGAAATCAGTGTCTGGTCAATCAGCCGCGGCGGCAGATACTTCACAGTACCATTGATATCCATTATGGGAAAGGTTCCCATCGATGAGCTTCGCTCGTTGAAGCCATGGCTGAGCAGGGCTGAGTCGCCGTGGTTTGGTTGGTCTGGTAAGGGATGCTCCCCTGGGTCGGTCCAAAAAGCAAGACTGACTGGATCAGCGTGAGTCGACTTTGCAGGGTTGCTTGTGCTCCCTGGAGTCGATGCAGTCTGAGAATCGGCATGAGTTTTATGATGGCGCTGCAATGTGTCACTGAAGACACGAGGTCAGACAACTCATTACTAATACAAGGCCCCGTCGATGTTCAGGACGCAGACGCACTTTCGGCCAAAAGCTTTCCCACAAGTAGTGCACACAAATGGCTTGTCGTTGTTGTGCGTGCGGTCGTGGCGCCGAAGATGCTCGCCTTTGGTAAATGTCCGATTACATTTACCGCAAGTTTTGACAGCTGCTCCAGGTTTATTGGCGTTCTGAGGCATGGCACCTGCCGCACCAAAAGCTGCACGGTGGATTCAGTGTTGCGCCCAATGATTTCGGTCGCGTGTGGACAACGAAGAAGGGCGGCGGTGGGAGGTCGATGAGGCAGACAACCCATGCTCTGGCGGTAGCTGTGACCTTGATAAATCCCCGCAGCTCGAACCCCGCAGAGTCTCCGCAACCACTCCACGAACTCCTCTTCATTTCCCCTCCTCGGCCTGACCGTGCGAGCCACGGACTTCGGTCACTTCCCACGGGCTTTCGTCATCAGTAATTCCTCCACCAACCCCAATTCAACCAGTACCAAGAATTCACGGACGTGCATGGGCCGGGCGCCGAAACTTCCTTTACGTACATATTTACTATCTCGGCATTGTGAGGGGGGCCTCGCGATATGATGACGGAAATATGCATGGCACGAGGGAGGATAGCGTTAATTGACAGCAGTACATTTTGACATCCCGTTTTGCAATGTCTGGCTAGACTTCCAAATAGTAACCCAGGTCCTCACCCCGAATCTCTCGCTGCGTCAGACCATTTCCCATGAACCTAAAGCGGTTGCCAGTGTTGTATCTGATGTCAAAATCCTCGCCACGATCATGCTCGAGGCATTCTATCGCTTCAATCAGCGCTGTTCTGCAAAATCATCTTAGAAAGGAAATGCATCATACCTTTATAGTGAATGACGCTGCCAGCATACATGGCAGTGACCGGACCATCGATCTTGTTGTTTTTGTACCAGCTACGGCAGCCACTTGCCCATACGGTTCCCTTCAAAAACTCCTGCGAATAAAGGTTGAATTCTTCCAGGACGTCGTCTTTCACTACTACCGAGCTGCACATGGTCAGTCACGGTTCTATACAGCTGCCATAGACCTGAAGCGAGCTTACCTGATGTCGTGTGTGGCGATCTTTTCGCACCACCTCCAGATGTAGTCGGCTGTCCAGTCAATGACCGCAATGAGTGATCCATGACCAACCGGACAATTGGGCCCGTTGAAGATGAAGTAGTTAGGCATGCTTGAAGAGCAAATACCAAAATATGCCTTGGGAACTTCGGCCCACTCATCTTCCAATCTGCGACCGTCGCGGCCGACCAGCTTCCAGAATGGGTTGAAGGAAACGTCAAATCCTGTGGCACAGATCAGCATGTCGAGCTTGGTCTCGCCATGTTGAGTCTCAACACCAGTCTCCGTGACTCTAACGATACGATCAAAACAGGCTTCGGCATTGTCGGCGCGAAGGGCTTCCAGGTAACCCTCTCCAGGAGTCAACCGACGACAGCCAACCTGCCACTTGGGGATCAATTTTTCAATAAGTTCAGGATCATTCCCCAACCTCTGGGCCATGATCTCTCGAAAAGCTCCATCGACTAGTGCCTGTTCTTTGGAGTCGCTGATGAAGGTTGGAAAATTGTGGTTAAAACTATGATTAGGTTAGTTGGGGCCATGCTCCCAGGTCTTCAGGATTACTTACTCGTGCTCAATAGCCCTGCGGTATTTGGTCAATTCTTCGGGATGCTCTCGAAATTTCCGTTTCTGTTCTTCCGAAAATACGAATCCATCTCCGCTGGGTGCAAAGTCCAGGTTGAAATTGGTTGATATCCATGTTGGAGAACGGATATAGTTTATCAGTCGCTTCGCTTTGGGCTGAAGTGTGGGCACAATCTGAATCGCCGACGAACCATTGCCAATGACTCCGACCAATTTCCCAGCCCAGTCCGCAGTCTCATCCCACGCAGCACTATGCAGCAGTGAGCCCTTGAAGTCTCGGAGACCTTCAATTTCAGGCCACTTCCACTTGTTCAGAATGCCTGCTGCATTGACCAAGATATCTGCTGACGTCTCTGTGATTTGACCATTAGACTCGACCTTGATGTCCCACTGCGATTTCTGCTCATTCCAGATGGACTCGACAACCCGGGTGTTGAACTGGATGTGATCCTCCAGCTGATACTTTTTCGACGTTTTCTTGATATACTGCCAGATCTCGGGACCAGTTGCATAATACTTGGACCAGTCTGGGTTCGGCTCGAAGAGAAATGTGTAGACGTGAGCTGGCACATCACAGGCAACGCCGGGATATCGATTCTCCAGCCAGGTGCCACCAACATCATGGTTCTTTTCGTATACCTGAAGATCAATGTAATCCACATTCAATTTATACTTCAACTTATAGATCAAAGTCAACCCGGCGTACCCAGCGCCGATGCATACCACTCTGAGTTTTCTAGGTGTAAACAAGGGCTGGTCATTGAGCGGAACCCATCTGGGATTGGTTGCTGGCACAGTCGAGGGATGGTCGTTGACTGCTTCTCTGCTCCTCAAGTCCTCTTTCTCACTGGCGTGAGTCCCATTGGGGAGGTCAGCACGATTGTCTGCCATTCTTGGATATTGAAAGAGCACAAATTTTTCCGGAGGCAGGTCTTGCTGGCAGAGACTAACAGACCTCCGAGTGTTTTATTTATCGCATAGGGAAATCACCACGGCCACGTCGGTAGTTGGAATCTGCTTCGTAGCAGAGTCGGAGCCCGGTTCGAGACGTTGGTCGAAGTGCCTTGTTAGTTGCTCGATCGACACGGAGCGCCGAGCGGGGCCGACTTCCCCAAACCAAGGCCTGTCTTTTGCCGGAAACCCGTCGCTGGATCAGACAACAAATCAATGTCATCATGTGGGCGCCCACCACACCGCAATGAGTAGAATTCTTCTGAGATTTATCTTGTCAGATATGGCACGTTATGGTTCCGCGTGGCCGCTTTGTGACCTTATACATAGTCCACACCAGTATCGCCAACCCGGAACACATCACCAATCGTAACTTTTGCAAAGATGGTCCTTGACATGTCATCCAAAGTGAAAAGTCCGTCAGCCCTTGCTCATGTAGTCCTCAGGACTAACAACTACCGCAAGATGGTGGATTTCTATGTCAAGTTTCTGGGCGGGAACATCGCGTACGAAAACGAGTACCTGGCGTTCATCACGTATGACCATGAGCACCACAGAATCGCCATCCTTCAACTTCCGGAAACCAAAGATAGGGCCCGAAATTGCTCAGGTCTCGAGCATGTGGCTTTCACCTTCGACACACTATCAGACCTCGTCCTAGCATATCAGCAGCGCAAAGAGCTCGGAATGCTTCCTCTGTGGTGTGTGAACCATGGTCCAACCACTAGTATGTACTACGAAGACCCGGATGGTAATCAATTGGAGACACAGGTCGACAATTTTGATACGGTAGAGGAGACGGACGCGTTCATGAGGACCAAGGAGTTTGCAGAAAATCCGATTGGAGTGGACTATGATCCAGCAGACTTGATTGCAAGACTTGATGCAATAGAGGATGACAGGTCAATCAAGAAAAGACCAGATATCGGTCCCCGAGCCCTTCCTCCGGTACACTAAGACTGTACAATAGCAGAAGCTCGACTAGGAAATGAGGCCATGACTGGAGAAGACAACATAACCACCCCTGAGGCGCTGTTAGCCATGGTCAAGATAGCACTATTAGTCTTTGTATGCCAGAACTCCCATCGATACTATGTACCTACCAGTCCGTCCAAAGCGTTTCGCATCGACCATCATTCCATGTCTGATCGAGTTGGGGAACTGTTAGTAGATAGATCACAGTCCATCGTGAGAGAGGGTTCCAATGTAATGGGGGTCAATACAAATGCAGATGGGGAGTCTGAGAAGGTTTAGGAGCACGATGGCCTTGAATCCGAATCAGGTAGAGCCTGTCACCTTTGGACTTGAAAGAGAAAGGAAGCGAATAGTAGGACTTGCTAGATCTGATACCAAATACCTTCAAACGTGCCGTACACTATGTACAATAAGTTCAGCCGTGTGCACCATTCGAGCCGTTAGGGACAGCGACTCCATTGATCTGTCCTTTGGTGGTAGGCTTCTCAGAGAGAAGCGTTGAAATCGCCGTCTTAAGCTCTTCACCATTCTCTGCAGATGGATTGATCGAGCGCCAGCACACAAAGTTGTCTGGACGTACCAAAACGGCACCACCAGAATTAATGCCTCTGTCTGCTGCCCAGTGGTCATCTCGATCCACGTACTGTGAGTTTTGACCAATGCGGGCAGTATGTACTTTTATACCGTGGGTTAGGGCAGCTTCCTGAGCTGCTCTAATCCATTGTTCTCCAGAGCTATCCGTGATGACCAAAAGGTCACCATTTCTGCCGACTAGATCGTGGGTTGAGAGTACAGTCCCTGCTTGGTCCTCAAGCCAGGCATGTGGAAGACGATGTCCTGGTCTAGTGACAGGGATGTACTTTTGTCCAAGCGGATCGATCTCTGGTGGCGAGGTGCCATCAGGGATGTGAAAACCATGATCATATCTGAAACCAAGTTCCAGATCATGAGCCGAGAATTCGATCTTTTGTGACTCGGTAATCAATTTGGTCTGGGCCAGGAATGTGCGGCCCCACTCGGAATCTTCGAACAAGGTTTCGAATTTCTTTCTATTGCCTTCTTTGTCACCTTTAATCAGACCAATCGTCGCATTGATCACAGAAGTATTGATGAACGTGAAAAGACCCCAGTCACAGTTTCTCTTGCCGACGGCTCTTCGCTCACTATCGTAACTTTCCAAGAGTGAAGGGGGAGCCAGGCGTTTCAATACCCAACTCAGCTTCCACGAAAGGTTGTTGGCATCTTCGATGGCCGTGTTCAGACCGAGTCCTGTGGTGGGCGGGTGGCGATGCGCAGCATCACCGGCGACAAAGATACGACCTTCGCGGAACTTGTTCGCAAGTACGCGCTCGATGATCCAATGATTGATGGTGTGAACTTTCATGTCCAGGTCCGGGATCTTCAACAGCTCCCGAATCCTAGGGACCAGTCGACTTTCATCATAACGGGACTTGTCATTCACATCGAATCCGAAGTGGCACACCCATTCTTCAGATTTCCTGCCCCAGGTCGGGCCCATTGGCACGACAGCACCGCTCTCGAGAACAGTACCTCCATCGCCGTTGATGAAGTGGCAAGCAAACCATTTGTCGTCCCAATACTTCGACAAGTCCGCGCTGAAATGGGTCGATACCATATCTGCAATCTCGGTCGGACCGTTCAACACCACGCCGATCTTTGGGCCTATGGTCTTGCCTCCGTCAGCTGCTACCATATACTTGGCTTTGTATGTGGTCTCCGTGCCATCGGGACTGGTGACGGTCGCAGTGACACCGTCATCGTCCTGACAGAAGTTGGTCACGTTGTGAGAGAAGAGGATCCTTCCAGGGTTCCTTTCCTCAGCCAAGCGCAGCAGAATGGGTTCGAGCCGAATTTGGGGCAGGTTGTTGGACCGCAACGGAGCATCTCGGCTGACGAGAATCAGTCTCAATATGAACTTGATAGTTCATGACGGGAGGGGACGTGGAGGCTTTTTTTGCTTACAGATAACGTTGTGAAGTCGCGGATCCATCATCACCTCCGAAGGAATTCAGTTGGTGGATGGTCCTTCGATCAAGAGGACCATCACCCCCAAGTGACGTTCTCCAGAGCGCCCGGCTGAAATTTCGTGAAGGAGCTCCTTTCTCCAAGATTTCGTCCACCATGCCATGCTGGCGAAGGGCCTCCATGGCTCTTTGATTCAGGTAGTGGGCCTTTGGCAGCTTGGAGGTTCCGGACCTGCGCTCAAACAAACAGTGATCAACACCATAGTTGGAGAGCATGCAAGAGAGGGTCATCCCACAGCCGCCTCCTCCTACGATGATTACGCTTGTTTCGACGATATTGGCCATCTTGAATACACGTTTGGCCTGAACTCCTGACTAAGGCTGAAGAGGAGGTTTCAGAACTGTGTGAAGGATGGATAGGACGTCTTTTAGAAACACATTCTAGACACTCCGAATTTCTGTCCACAACTTGAGTGAGCTAGAGTAAGGCATCTGCACCAGGGCATTAGCTTGTATCCCGCAGAGGTGCTGGCGGGGCCACGGCGTTACACGCACAAGCGGCGCCGGTGAAGCTCCCGTTGTCGGATGCCCGAGCCCGGAGACCAGTCGATCACCCTACGCAGAGCCGACTCCTGCTTGCGTCACGGCCGCAAGGAGATATGACTTACTGCTCCGAGTACCGCTTTCCTCGGGTGGTATTCTGATCTTCAGTCTTACATATACTACTGGTTTATCTTGGGATTTTTCCGTTTTCGCTGATCGCATTTTTGACTTGAAAAGCCGTTGCCCCTACCAACGCGTTTTGCCCAACGCTACATACATGGGAGGATAGACCCAACTCCGGAGCAAGGCCAATATGGTCTGCTTCGCCTCACATGAATAAAGATCTTAGAACAAGAGACCCATGCACCTCCTCTGTGTGTACACTATCTTTCCAAATGCAAGGTAACCAAAAACTAATCCCACAACCGGCTCACATGTCCGAAATCTTTCGACAAAGGTCCGGTGAACGTCAAGGCAAGATAGTTGTGATGCGTTTGATTACATCTGCTGTGTCTAAGCTCACCGAAGGGTCCTGGTTTGGTTCGGCGAGCTTCAGCGCTTTGGCAACATCTTGAGGACGTCAGCACCACGCAGAAAAATCGTCATGGATGTGAGTCTTACTTGACATGAGGAGGCCTATCTGCCAATATTTGGCTACGTGAGAGATGGCCAGTTCCAGCATTTCTTTTTCCATGGGATTGTCCCCGGACTGGACATCCCTTCTGAGGTGCATTGCGGAAGGTCCTACAAGGGAGACCACCATAAAAGGTGAGCATAGGGGGATATATTGAGGCGGCCATGACTGAATGGCCGCACAAACGTTGCTGGTACAGTGTCGGCACCGGGCAAGCCATTTTTCATTGCGGTGCGTGGAAAAGTCGAAGCCTGTCGAAGAGGGAGGATGCTGAGCCTGGGCCATCTTCTCATGCATGAGAAACATCATTGTTTGTGAACTAGATCCTCGTAGATTAGTACATCAATAATGCTGAGGATTTGACAAGCTGCAAGTACCTTTGAAGGAGAATATAAGTAGCGATTATCCAATTGCTTTGTCGGAAACTGCCTTTGTCAAACGTTATAAGCCCAGCATCGAGTTGAAACTCGAGTGGCAGTAGAAGAGAGAAACAACTCAGGGCTGAATCTAGGTCCGCAACGGCCTGCGATGATGTGACCTGTGTCCTCCATGCTGTATGGACCTGGAGCATAAGAGCTTTGGCCACTAGGAACCATGCTCTTTCGTCCTGATTGGGACAACCTTGAAGGGATTTCCATATTTGAGACGCATCGGATGCCAGAAAGGATGAAGAAAGAGGTGAGCCGGACTCCCAGTTGGCGTCAGGCGCCGGAAGCAGCACTCGCATCTGCCTTTGATCAATGGCATACGGCCGATTTGCTAACGTCGAGAGGAAACTATCAAGCTCCCACACAGACCACCAAGCGCGACGTTTCTCCTCTCTACAGATCCAGTCTTCCGAAGTAATACGATCTTCAAATCGAGGGCGCAAATCTTTTGCAATATCGGCATCGGTTTTGTCAAGCTCAAGTTCGTATGCAAGTCTTATGCAATCTCCAGTAAGAAGCCATCCAAACGACTCCGGAATCGAACTGAGACTGTAGAATGCCAGTAGGATGCAACCTTGTAGATAAGCCAGATTGCGCGGAAGATTATGGTTCTCAGGGACAAACTTCCGATACATTTGCTTTGCCCGTGTGGCGAAAACATCTCCTCGTTCCCGAGGAATTTTTTCCCCAAAATAGGATGCTGTCGAAAATCGGGCAGCCAGGGACAGCATCCCGTTGAGGACGAAGGCCACATGAAATGACAGATTCTGATATCGAGTTTCACTTTGCCCTGGGCTGAGATTAAGAAACGCGTGCATCCGAGCACGATCGAATATGGGCAAAGGACCGTGCACCTTATCAAAGAAAACATCAACTCTGTAGGGAACGAGAGTTTTAGCAGCACGTCCATCGAACGCATAAGAGGGAAGAGCTTACAGTTGATCTACTATAGCAGGTGGCTCGAGGAGAGAAAAGACCGGCGGTTGAGATATGGCACAAATGCCAGGCTCGCTCAAGGACGCCTGCGACTCTGCCACGCCGCTGGGACTCGGGACTGGTGCGAGACTGGCGATTGGCTCTTGGTAATATGAATTTTGATCAACTGGTTGAAGAGATGCAGGGAATTCAAGGTCCAGCACGGGACCATAGTCGTCATTCCAAAGGGAAAGATCTGGTTCAAACATGTCACCACCGAACGGGTTCTCCAAGGTCGACAGATCAGCCTGTTCCAGCGTCGATACAGTTGAAGTCGAATTATGCTCAGATATCGATTTGGTGGCGTCCCAGTCCGTACTTGCCCCAGGGAATGACCACGAGGCGTTATCTTTGCTCGGCCTTGAGGAGGAGGAGGTGAAGGACTCTCTCCTTGTGCTTTGGTCTTGCAGGTTTTCGCCCTTGGTGATGATTTCCATGAGATAGTCTGATGGACATCAAGGTTAGTTTCTCACAGTAGTGGTATTCGTCGATAAATGTACCGATTTTTGCATCCAGTATACCATACTGACAGTTTTTGCACCTCTTTTCGCTATGGTTTGTATTGCTTCTGGGTCTTGGAGACTTCCGTTTGGTGGGATATACGCATGGCTTCTGAGCTCGTGCGCATGATGAGCATTTTGGTCGGACCATGTTACCTAAAAGCAAGACAAGGATTAGTCGCGGTCGAGAATCGCATGCCGACCATGAAGAAGAGAGAAGCGACCTACACTTTGTCTTCTTCCTGATCACCTCAGTGACAGTTAGCATACAAGGATAGTCTGACGGATCTCGGACAGGACGAGTGACTCGGACCTTTTGCACTCTTCGCATGCTCTTGTCAATGGCGGAATACTGTGCGCCAATTGCATTGTCTGTACCGTGTCCAGCTCCATGGCTGACTCTCCTCTGCTCGCTTGTAGAGGTACACCGGGTGTGAAGGCCATGAGCTCTTTGGGTTGCAACTTGCGGGCTTTGGCTATCAAAAGCAGGACAGCAGATAAGACAGTTGTTCCTACGTGGGAGGTGAAAGAAGGACGCCCTTCCCCGCAGACCAAGCTCGACTTGGTGGGGGATTGGGGATCAATGAGCAAGCTCAAAGTATATTTCGAAACATTAGCAGCCAAGGGTCATCACATGAACTGGATCAGCAACATTCTGCGCTTTTCGGCTCGTGTGAAAGGTCCAATAGGGCTGGCGTACGAGCAGAAGAAAGAGGGTCTCCGCAAAGGTTGTTCCACCATCTCCGCAAGACTAATGTTGTATCCGAAACGGCCAAGAAGCTGTCCACATCTCCTCGACAGGGGTGCCCCGCATCGGTGTCCGTCGGCATTCCGAATTGGAATTTGGCCTGAACCATTTCTTGCACTACCGGTCGTACTGCAGCGCCGGGCTCTCGTTTGTCCAAGTGAGCGAGGCGTCCCGAAGGACCGCCCTGTGTTTCGCAAAGCAGTGCCCCACACTCGGTGGTATCACCTCTGGCCCCCGTATATCAGCGATGAAGGCGCGTTGTATTTGGAGTATGGAGTTTTCCGAGTCATCTGACCGACCGTATTTCCAGACGAACCTGTTGTTTTCATACAGTGATGGCGAGATCAGAACGTCCTAAAGAGTCGTGCGATTTCGGCCAAAGGCTTATCCCCCACATCATCGACGAGCGGGCCATCACGAACCCAGATGAGGCATATGCCTCTGTGCCGAACACAGGTCGGCCACAAGATGGATTTAAGAACATCAGCTATGGTACTTTTGCGAATGCAATTAATTGCTGTGCATGGTGGATTAAGGAGCATCTGGGCAGCGGACCAAACTTCGAGACTTTGGTCTATGTTGGACCTAATGACCTCCGTTTTTCTATCCTCACCGTTGCGGCGGTGAAAACCGGCCACAAGGTACGTTTCCTTTATGTATTGTCACAAACTGTAGTTCTGCTAAGAGCCCGCCCAGGCAATGTTTATCTCGCCCAGGAACAGCCTTGCAGGACACTTGTCCCTTCTTGATGCAGGCAACTGCAAGAGTCTGCTGGTTTCAAACGGCGCGCCTAGGTTCGTGGACGAGATCCTAGGCCAGCGACACATGAACAAGGTCCTTGTCCCGGACTTGGATTATTTCTTGCAGGGTCCAAAGGCAGAGCTTTATCCCTACGATAAGTCTTTTGCAGAGGCCCGATATGAGCCTTTGGTGGCTCTACACACGTCGGGCTCGACGAATCTCCCCAAGCTGGTCACAGTAAAGCATGGCACGGCGGCGGCCATTGATGCGCTTCAAAGGCTCCCACTGCAGGGTGAACATGCGACGATCCCAAGCTTGTTCAGCAACAAGCGAGTCTTTGTACCGTTTCCTCCTTTTCACGCAGCTGGGCTGTATATCACCCTTCCTCTGGCTGTCTTCTATGGCTTTACAGTAGTCCTGCCACCGACTGTTCCATTGACAGCCGAGGTGGCTGACGCGGTCCACCTTCATGGTGACGTTCAGGCGACAATCCTGCCGTCATCGGTGCTCACCGATATCACGAACGCTCCTTCTCAGCACGCAAACTTGGGCACTCTCAGCTTCGTGGCCTTTGGAGGCTCAGCGCTTCCCAAACCCGTCGGTGATGGAATCATATCTGTGTCAAAGCCAGTCAATTGGTTGGGATCCACAGAGCTTTGTTTTACTCCAGCAGAAATCCTAGATGCTGAGGATTGGGAGTACATGAAGTTCAGCCCTATCATGGGTGCCGAGTTTCGACCTTTCGACGATGAACTATATGAACTTGTAATAGTTCGCGACCCGTCACTCGAAATTTACCAAGGAGTCTTTTACACCTTCCCAGAGCTGAGTGAGTATCCGATGCAAGACCTATATTCTAAGCATCCGTCCAAGCCTGGCCTGTGGCGCTATCGTGGACGAGCCGATGATATCATCGTCTTTGGAAACGGGGAAAAGACGAACCCGGTGGCAATGGAGACCATGATCGAGTCGCATGGAATGGTGAGGTCTGCTCTAGTCATCGGACAGGGACGCTTTCAGTCCGCATTACTGATAGAACCGACAAATGACATCTCGAGTCCAGAAGAAAAAGAAGCAGCTTTGGATGACCTTTCCGAGATTGTGGTGAGGGCGAATTCTGAATCGCCGGCCCATGCGAAAGTTTCAAAAGAACTGATCATGTTCACCTCGCCGGAAAAGCCAATGTTGAGGGCCGGAAAAGGATCAGTCCAACGAAAGCTGACCCTGAGGCTGTACGAAGAGGAGATCAACAAGCTGTATGAGTCTTTGGACGTTCGAGAAGATCCCTCTGCCACCCTACCATTAGACAGCTTCGAATCCATTCGTTCCAGCTTGGCGGCCCTGATATCAGCTGCCACCAGTTTTGAGCTCGATAGCTTCGACAGCGATTTTTTTCGCAACGGAATGGACTCCCTGCAGGTCATCAACATTGTTCGCGCTGTGAACGCTACCCAGAACAACACGAAAATAACCGCAAGAACAGTTTATGCAAGCCCTACTGTCACGAAGCTGGCACAGGTTCTCTTGCCTGCGGGTGTGAGCAACAACCTCAACGTACAGGACGAAGATCAAATAAAGCGCATTCAGGGCATCACCAAGTCGATCTCATCAGACCTCCCAGTAAACGCACGACGCCCCATGCGGAGCGATAGCACGTTCACTGTTGTTTTGACCGGCTCCACGGGCTCTTTGGGTTCGTTCTTGCTCCTCAATCTGCTGCGAGATCCAAAGGTGGCCAAAATCTACTGCTTGAACCGCTCTACAAATGCCCAAGAAAGACAAGCAAAATTTCTCGACCAGCGAGGATTTTCCATTGATGCCCTGCGTGAGAAAGTCGAATATCTACACAGCAACTTCGCTGAGTCCTATCTGGGTCTTGCATTGGCCAAATATAGCGAGTTGTTGGAACGCACGACTCACATTCTGCACAGTAGTTGGGAAGTCGACTTCAACTTGACATTCGACTATTTTGTCGATACGCACGTCCGTGGAGTTCGGCGCCTGATTGATTTCTCCGCGCATTCTCTTCGCGATGCCCGCATCTTCTTCATTTCCAGTCGAGGTACAGTGAGTCAGTGGACCACCAAGCATGCCAGTACAGTACCGGAAGAGGTACTGCATGACTGGCAGGTGCCTGAGTCCATCGGTTATGCACAGTCGAAGTTCGCCGCAGAACGCCTACTTGACGACGCACGTAGGGTTGCAGGGATCAACTGTGCCATCTGCCGCGTAGGCCAGATTGCTGGGCCAGTCTCAGAAAATGGCATTTGGAACAAACAGGAATGGCTTCCTTCACTGATCGCAAGCTCGAACTACCTGGGAAAGCTTCCTTCCTCCCTCGGCCCTCTCGATGTTGTGGACTGGATTCCGGTAGATTTACTCTCAAACATCATCCTGGATCTATTGTTCAATACGTCCGGTGATCTGTCAAGCGCACCGCTGAGCATCAATGGTATAATCTCACCGGATAAGACTCCAGAGTCTGGTTCTACGGCTGTTTTCCATGCCGTAAACCCTTCGAGGGTCTTATGGGCGGACCTGATGCCGGCAGTCCTGGCTTGTCTGGACGACTCAGTGAAGATTGTCACATTGGATGAGTGGGTGGACACACTGAAGTTGAGCTTGGAAGAAACAAAGGAGATTCAGCACAATCCAGCAGCGAAATTGTCGGACTTTTTCCTGGCGTGGAGAGAGGCCTCAGTCCAACCTCTGCTGGACACGACAATTACCATGCAGAGAAGCCCTACTATGGCTGCTTTGAAACCTGTCACCGCAACATGGATGCAAACATGGATGAGGCAATGGGGTTATTGTCGCCTGCACCTGACGTAGGAAGATCAAAATATAAAATACTTGTTCACCACGGCTTGGCCTTGAGACTCGTCGATCGAGTCACTGTCTTATTCGAAGACCATCTTGTTCTGAATTGAGCCAATCTTCGTGCATTTGACCTCCACCACACTGCCGTCTTTTAGGAAACCATTTGGAATGAAGAGACCGACGCCTGATGGAGTGCCGGTCATGATTACCGTGCCCATTCGCAGGGTAGTGTTCCGACTCAGGTGGGTGATGATCTGTGGGACAGTCCATATCATATCACTGGTCGGAGTCTTCTGCCTGGTCTCCCCATCCACAATGGTGACATATTCCAGCTGATGCGGATCGGGGATAACGTTCTTGGAGGTAATAGCTGGTCCTATTGGGGCAAACCCGTCGAATGATTTGGCATAGCCGAACTGTCCACCGGAAAAGGGCGGCAATTGGAAGTTCCTGGCGGACACATCGTTCCCAATCGCATAACCCAAGACATACTCCAACGCATCCGCTTCCTTGATGTTCTTTCCGTCCTTGCCGATAATCACACACAACTCGCCCTCATAATCTAGCTGCGTCTGAATATCCTTGTGGATAAGGACATCGTCCAGAGGACCATTCAACGCGTCTCCCGGCTTTGTGAAAACAACCGGATGCTCCGCGATTGAGAGCTAGAGAAAAGCTTCCTTAGTAAACACTTCTGCAAACAGTTCGAAAGTCGATACTGCTTCTTCAGATGGACATACCTTTGCTTCACTAGCATGTTGTCGATAGTTCAGACCAATGCACTCGAATATAGGTACAGACTCTAACGGACTCAACAACTAAACATGTGTCAGCGACTTGGAAAGACAAAGGGCCGAGCCAGATGTAGGGCGGATACTTGTACTACCTTCTTGACTGTAGCTTTTTCGCCCGTGCGTGAGAGTGCTTCGAAAGGGTGGCCTTCGAGAACGTCCACCTCAATACCGACTATTTGGTTGGCAGCCAATTCCGCGGTCAGTTCGCCATAGCGGACAGACCCTGTTTCGTCAGCGAACCGTATTAACCTGTCGAATGTCATAGTTGTCCTGTTCGAGTGGACCGAAAAGTTGCAAAGTCTGCTTGAGGAAGAGATGGTAGCGGTCGGAAGATCGAATGGCTGACAGTCTCATCAGCAGCGTCATCCGTCCACAGAGCGAGCAAGCAGCAAGTGTTTGTGTTGAGCAGCATGCCGACCCTGCATTGCGAGCGGCTATTGAATCTGAAGATCCCTCCAGGTTGAGATAATCCCGACACCGATCGGCTCTGAGGGGTAACATCCACGCCGACAGGTCTCCGCGGCCTTCCGAGGAACCGCAAGTTCGGATTTTAGCTGCGGGACCTCCATCCACGAGACGTTCCACCTCGGCAAAACTTGAGGATCGCGGGCCACCGACCTCAGTGAAGAACAGGCAACTCGTTTCTACAAAAGTATCACGATGACTCAGCCCATCTTGAAACCGACGTGGCTAGGATAAGGTTATTGGGCTTTCTTGGACCAGTCAACTCCGAGTCTAGTTTTTTTCGAACAAACTGGGTGCTGGAATTGACAATGGATGTATGCTACACCCTGGAATAGTTCTCTTGTCCATCGACGGCATCTTGGTCGAAAGGCGAGCCGCATCTTACAGTCAAGATCTTTGGCTGACTTGTTGCTTGGGGATCGTTAGGCTTCTCCTGGCTATGATACTCCAGTGCTGGTCGTGGGTGCCGGACCGGTCGGACTGATTACAGCGTTGAAGCTGGCACACCATGGAATCCCGTGCATGCTCACCGAACGAAATCTTGAGACGACAAGATGGCCAAAAATGGACGTTACCAATGCACGGTCTATGGAGCTCCTGAGGACAATGGGCCTGGCGGACGAGTTGAAAGAAAATGGTATGCAATTCCGCATAAACGCCAGAATCACAAAATGCTGACATGCAATAGGTGTTCCGGGAAATTTCTCTTTCGATGTTATCTTCAGTACAGGCTTGGGTGAAGGGGGGGAAAAGCTTGCGACATGGGTGAGTACTATGAACTTTCCAGCACTTTCAGAAGTTGGTTTTGCTTACAACGTGTTTCATGCAGGATCTTCCGTCGCCAGATTGGTGGCGGGAGCGCATCAGCCGACTAAATGATGGTTCAATGCCTCGGGAGCCTTATCTACGGTGCTCACAAGTCATTTTCGAAGCGTGGCTGAAACCTATCTGCGAGAAAAACCCGCTGATTACAACTTTTTTTGGCCGCAAATTCGAAGAGCTTACAGAAGAAAAAGACGGCGTGACGAGCGTGCTTACAGAAATCAAGACCAATGAGAAAATTCGTGTCAGAAGTCAGTATGTGATAGCTTGCGACGGTGCAGGAAGCCGCGTCAGAAGATCAGCCGGCCTGAAAATCACGGGTGGTCCGGTGTAAGTTTCATCCCTGCAATACTTCAGCCGTTGGCTCAAACTAAGTCTACAAAACAAGACCGATCGCCATGTACTTGGTTCACTTTAGATCCCGAGATCTAAGCCGACTTCAGTCTCAGGGCCAATTTTGGCATATCTTTATGACCGGCGGCGGAGCCATAATTTCTCAGGACGAGGATGAAATCTGGACGGTCCATCTTCCGATATCACTCGAGCAGGATACAGACAAGATAGACCCATACGAGCTCGTCTATCAGTTTCTGGGCTCCCACACCGGTCCTTACCCCATAAACATTGATGAAATCCTGGTCAAGAGTGTCTGGAGGCCGAATTTGGTGGTGGCAGACGAGTATCGTTCTGTAAAAGGACGTGTTTTCCTTGCGGGTGACTCAGGTATGCGTTAAATCGTGGCTTTTCTCAATTCTCTTCCCCTTCTATTCTCTGTTGTTGTACCCAATTCATGACTGACCAGTCTGCAGCTCATCAGAACATTCCTACGGGAGGATATGGAATGAACATGGGCCTCGGTGATGCTTACGATATCGGATGGAAATTGGCTGCCGTGATCAAAGGCTATGGAGGACCGCATCTCCTGGAATCGTACGGCAACGAAAGGCGGCCCGTGGCATTGCGTAATGTCGAGCGATCAGGTCAACATCAGTCCGTCCACTGGGAATACTGTACTTGGACAAAGAATGCTGGTGAAGAGGTTATACTCTCTCAAAACGAAGCAGGGAAGCAACTGAAACAACGCATCAGAGACTACGTCTACGAACATGATGGCGAGAATAAGGATCATGGAATCGAAATGGGCTACCGGCACAGAACCTCTCCCGTGATTTTCAGAAATGACGGTGAATCGGAGCCCGAATGGACCGTGCGCAGCTACATTCCTTCAACGTGGCCAGGAAGCCGCGCTCCCCATGTCTTCCTTAATGACGGCAGCACAAGTATTTTCGATCTCTTTGGAGATGATTATACCATTGTGGACTTCACTCCCTCTGGAGAAGCATCGAAAAACTTTGGCAAAGCTGCAGAAAAGCTCAACATCCCACTTAAACAACTGCATCTCCCTCGCGAAGATCATTCTGCGGCCATTTGGGAACGAAAGGTCGTCCTAGTACGACCCGATCAGTTTGTGGCCTGGAGAAGCCGCGAGGACCTATCGAGCCCTTTGGACGACTACCAAATTGATAATATACTTCAGATAGCGGTGGGAAAGCGACCGGCACCGCATTCGGCTGCTCTGAATGGTGCTATCGAGACATCCGCTCAGTCAGCTCATGGAGGCGCAGGTCTAAACCCATTCAGTGCTACCGTTGGCAACGTCGAGCAAGATGCAGGCAAAATCGAAAAGATGGCAGCTTTCCAGAGCGAGGTGTGAGATGGAACTACTTACAGATACCTGTCATGATAGATTGGCAGGAGCAACACAGCAATTCTCCGAAGACCTGATGCTCTGTAGAACCACTTTCAGAAAATGATGTCCTCCGTCCATTGACCTGCCCAGCAGCACTCGCGGAGTCGCAACTGAATGGCATGTCTCTACAACACGATCTGTTACCAGCGTTGGTGACAAGGTGCCCTTGAGCAGTTGACCAGCTTTGCCGGGGTAAACTGATGGCAAGAGCAATCTCTGAGTAGGTATAGGTCCTATTATATCCTAGGTGTAACAATCGTCGTTGGTGGGCTACTAATATCACTTTAGGCGGTCTGTACCAAATCTAAGCAGCGTTTGTCGAGAGAACGTGTTCCTTGAGTGTATGAACGCGAACAGGGTCAGAGTAGTACGATGACTCGACAACGGAAAATGAATAGCAGTATCGAGCACAAGCAGCATTTTCAGGCTCAATCTAAAGTTTCGACGCCCTTCTGCGTTTGCTTTGTTGAAACTTGTTCCCTTCTTGGTCCTTCAAGACCCTCCGCAGAATTTTGCCACTCGCACTTTTTGGAATTGTATCCAAAAATTCAATCCCTCCTGTCAGCCATTTCGATTTCGACCTCTTTCGTTTTACAAAGTCGTACAGAATCTGTTTGGTCGTGGAACCTTTAGCAGACAGGTCAACCAATACAATGAATGCCTTGGGGACTTCTCCTGCATAGTCGTCAGGGATACCGACAACCGCAGCGTCAGCGACGAGAGGATGGCCGAGAAGCAGATCCTCCAGCTCAGCAGGAGCGATGGCTACTCCTTTTACCTTGATCATCTCTTTTAGTCTGTCGGTTATAGTTAGAAAACCAGCTTCGTTCATAAAGCCGATGTCTCCTGTATGTAAGAACCCGTCTTTGTCATAGGTCTCAGCCGTAACTTGCGGCATTTTATAGTATCCCATAGTAACTTGTGGACCTTTAGCGAGAACCTCGCCAGTCTCACCCGGTCCTAGTAATCTTTCTCTATCCCTCTCACTATCAGTATCAATGATCTTGATAATGGTCTCTGGGACGGGCTTCCCCACGGTGTGCGCGTTTTCATAAGTCTGATCTGCGGGTGGTGTAAGTGTTAGTGCTGAACAACTCTCCGTCAAGCCCCATGCCTGTCTGATTCGGACGTGAGGAAATTTCTTTGCCAGTTTGTCAACGATTTCCTTTGCTAGAGGCGCGGCTCCCGTATTGAATTGTTGCACAAATCCCAGATTGTATCCGGCGGCTACAGGATCATTGACAAGACGAACCAATAGAGCTACCAAGGTCAGGACATCAAAAGGTACGGATCGAGCACAGGGTATCGCGAACTTACGCGGTACTAGCCATAGCTCGTCGCACCTATACCTGACGATCACATCAAGCATTTGCTTCATATTGAACTTTGGCATGACAATAACGTCCTGATTCAGGACGATTGGCACATTCAGAATCTGAATTAGTCCCGTAACTGCGTTGGGAGGTCAACAAACAAACTGGAAGAGATTTGGCGTGGGGCAGAACAGTAAGACACTCACTATGGTAGAATGGCAGTACACCCAACAAGACTTTCGGACACTCTGGCGCGCTCAAGGAGAGCATCTGCATGATCTGAGCAATCACGTTATGATGTGATATCATCACCTATGTGGTATGTTGTTAGCAGTCGTTTGTTGAAGAGATCTCTCTTGCAAACTACGGTGGCACTACGCACCCCCTTTGCCGAGCTGGTCGTGCCACTAGTAAAGCTGAGATAAGCTGGGACATCCTTGTTACTCTGGGTCCTGGATGGGTCCCAGGCCTTGGCTTGCCTTCCGTCAGTCTTGATCTTTGCCTCGCTGATCAAGTCACGCATCGGAGTCTTGCTGTCTGAGCTCCTAGATGCCAACTTGCGCTCTAACAGCACCACTCGGTCTCTCCTAAGACCAACCTTGTCTGCGGCCTGACACACATTATCCCACACCTCCTCATCGGTAACCACCAGTTCAGATTCACTGAGTTTTAAAATCTCGACCATCTCGTCGACTCCCTGGTGAGGTGAAGCAGCTGTAACAATAGCGCCAATCCGAATTGCGGCAAGGTTGACGACAGGATACAAGACATTGTTGCTACAGAAGATGGCAACATGACTACCATATCCCACGCCAAATCTGTCGGCAAATCCAGTCGAAAGAAAGGTTGCCTGTGATTTCAGATCCACGAACGACAGAGTTTCCCGTGTTTGGGCATTCCGAAAACCAGCAAATCGACCTCGATTGAATTTGCAATTGTCCGCCTGTTCAAAAATCCAGTCCCAGAGTGAAATGTCAACGGGGACGCCTAGTGTAAAGACACCGTTAGTGTGGCATCAGGAGTTTCCAATACGCTCTCATTGACTAACCGCTTTCGAGCTTGCTGCCTTGATAAAGCATGTCACCGGTGCAATGGGTTTCAAGAGGGAATGAGAGAATCGTTGGCACATGCAAAGATTGGCGGAGACGATATGTGACAAGAATTAAGCAAAGAAGCGCATTTGGGTGTTCAGACGTCCTTGTACTAGTAGCACACACTACCTGAATCACTATTTGATAACGCTTATTTCCAAGTTCAATCGCATGGACCTCTGGGAATGTCGTGGGAAAAAGTCCCCGAATCGGTTCTCCGAAAGTTCGAAATGAACGCGAGTCTTCTCGCGGCGTCTTGGCTCCATCGAAGGTTTTTCGGCATTCCGTACGATCGAAGGGCGGCGCGATGATCGACAGATACCCCGTTGACTGCGGCTGTAGGAGTATGGTTTGTGGATAACAATGGACAAAGAGGATCATGCTCAAACCAAGCGACCCTTCGATCGGAGAACACACTCCGCGACCAAGAGGGTTTCTGGTACACCGAGGGATTCCGACAGCCGCCTGGTGTCTAGTGTCGGCATTCTATCACTGGTGTTCCTGATAAACATGGCTCAGGTCGTTGTTCCCACCTCGGGTATCAGCGCAACTTAGAATTCGTAACACCTCTACTACCCCATTGCCCTCGCTGTCAGTTCTATGAATGCCAGTATCCTCGGCATGATCCTGAAGAATTGACCACACTGATTACTTCTCGGACAATTGACCTAATTCAGGCTCAATATGAGAGCCTACCAGCTTGAGAGACTGGTCAGAGAGATTGGGGAGCTGGAAATAGTAGAGATCCCGGATCTCCCTCCGCATCCTGACAAGTATCTAATCAGAGTTCATGCTGCAGCGATCAATTTCTTCGATATTTTACAGGTCCAGGGGAAACACCAGGACAAACCAGCATTCCCATGGATCGCTGGGAATGAGTTCTCAGGCGAAATTTTGGCAATCCCGACTCGCCTACGCGCGGAAGATGCGAGATTCCGGAAAGGAGACCGCATTTTCGGTGCCGGCTTAGGCGCGTTCGCAACCATGATCCAGGCGCCTGAGGTCAGCTTGAGACCGGTTCCAAGAAATTGGAGTTATATTGAAGCAAGCAGCTTGTTCTATACTGCACCGACAGCTTATGCAGCGCTTGTATTGAGAGCGCGTGCGAAGCAAGGTATGTTATAACTGCGAATCTGGATTATTTTCCGTCTACTAGATTGCTAATGTTTTGTTATCAAGGTGACTATGTGCTCATTCATGGTGCGGCTGGAGGTGTTGGTCTCGCAGCAGTCACAATCGCCAATGCGTTAGGTATGACCGTCATTGCATCGGTTGACACCGAAAAAAAGCGCGACGTCGCAAAGCGATTCGGCGCTCATCATGTCATCGATTCAAAAGGTGATTGGGCGCTAGTCGCAAAGAGCTTAACACCCAATGGTCGTGGTGTCGATGTCGTTATCGATCCTCTCGGTATGATTTCTCAGTCATTAAAGTGTATCCGATGGGATGGACGGTTATGTATCGTTGGGTTTGCTGCCGGTGGAATCGAGAAAATTCCGACCAATCGATTATTGCTAAAGAATGTTACCCTTTCTGGCTTATTCTGGGGAGAGTATGCAAAGATGGACCCTCAGAGTGTGGTTGAAACCTGGGACAAACTTTTCCAAATTCTCGACGGGGGTGGTATCGTCCCCTTAAACTATACGGAGAAAAGATTCAAGGGTTTAGAGCAAATCGCGGACGCAATGACGCTGCTGAGTACAGGGACTGCTTGGGGAAAGATTGTCGTCGATATCAGTGAGAATGGGAAGACGAAGCTGTAAGGCCATAAAAGGCTGGCCCTTGGGAAACAGGAAAGTCGGGCATGGATTGGCGAGAAAGGTCCTTCGAGCACCAAGTAACCCCACGTTCTTTCTGTTCATAGCTGCATCTGAGGCAGTGATGCGACTATTCCTCGCCAGGAGTCAGACGAAGCTGTGACCAGGACATGAAGAAGTCTAAGCAATTATCTTGAACGAACGTAGAACTCCTCATGATGAAACCCTAGATCCGATTTTATCTTGCATTGAGGAACATTGGTCGTCGAGTGTCGCGGCGCACGAGCAATACATGTTACTCTGATTGAAAAACGCAAGCACTTCGACTTTCAACAGGTCCTCTGCACAAGCTTGAGGAGGCTTCCACCCTAGCGCTCCCTTCTCTTGCTCGGTTAGAATCTTGAGTCAGTACTGGTAGTAGATTCTGCTCCAACCTCAGGATGTTTGTCCCTAGTGGGGTGAGTCCACTAGTGGGGCATCAGGCCACGGAAGGCCGAGTCCCCGCAGAAAGATCCCCGCAAGCATCGGCAGCATTGGGTTTACTCCTCGTTCTGATAAAGCACCGTGTCAATAGCTACCAACCCTTTCCAACCTGGGGCTTTTTGCTGCGAAACTGGTAGCATTTCCTGGTTGCTGTCTCAGAGCCAGCGTTCAGTTTGATGTCCAGGGCACTCAGCAGTCAGCATGGACCCCTCCACGCTTCGTCTAGGCGTCTTCCTACTATTGACTTCTGCTTTCCTAGCATGGAAGCTGCGTAGAGTTGGCCGAAGGCCATCAGGCATGCCACCAGGGCCTCCAACACTCCCAATACTTGGAAATCTTCATCAGGTCAGCAGATGGAGAATATCAGACATCCTTGTCCGCTTGAATTGACTTGCGCAATAGATGCCTACCAAAAGGCCGCACTTACAGTTCCAAAAATGGGCAGAGGAATATGGGTATATTGAAGAGAGGAACTTGAAGCGATAGCTTTATTGACATCATGCAGGCCCGTGTATTCCCTTATGCTGGGTACTAAGCCGACGATTATACTCTCTTCGGATGTGGCCATCAAAGACTTGCTTGACAAAAGAGGTGGGATCTATTCTGATCGTCCTGATATGTTCATCAGCCAGAGGGTGGCGAGTGGAGGCCATCGGTTGGTGGTGATGGTGAGTTAACTAAGGATACTCCTGCAATGCGACCGTCATCCAGAGAGTTTCGCAGGCCGTCGCTAACCTCCACATCATCAGAGGTATGGAGAGACCTGGAGACTTATACATAAGTTGGTGCACAATATTCTCAATATAAACGTTGCGGAGAAGTATGTTCCTTACCAGGACCTGGAGAACAAATTCCTTCTGCAAGGCCTACTGGACCACCCTGACGACCTCTTCAACCAAATCCGACGATTTAGCTACTCGGTCTCTACTCAGCTTATTTTTGGCTTCCGATGTCCGAGTTTCGATGACCCCATGCTGGAAAGACTGTTTTATGTCAGTATTCAAGAGCACTTGCAAGGTCAGTGACGACTAATACTCCTTACCAGACTGTGGAGGAGTGGGGAAGAGTATCCGCAAGTGGGCTCGCCCAGGTTGCGGACCTCTATCCCATTATTCAAAAGCTGCCGTCATTTCTTGCTCCTGGAGCGGTGAAGGACGCAGAACATGTACACAAAGTCGGCCGAGAGCTTTACACGGGCCATTGGCTGAACGCAAAACAAAAGTTGGAGGATGGAACAGGCCTGGTATGTGTTCAACTTCCCTTACTTGAATCACTGAAGACCAGGGATACTGACCAAGCGGTCCCAGCCTTGCATCTGCAACGATCTTCTTCTAGCTCAGCAAAGTGAGCAGCTGTCTGACGAGGCTGTCGGTTATATCGTTGGCTCCTTGCTGGAAGGTGGTTCTGACACCACATCGTCCACGCTGTACGGCTTCATCCAGGCGATGATGGTGTGGCCTGAAGTTCAAAAGAGAGCTCAAGAAGAGATCGAGCGAGTGGTTGGATCCAATCGTCTTCCAGTCATAGACGACTACCAGAACCTTCCTTATATTCGATGTTGCGTGAAGGAGACGCTGCGCTGGATGCCCACCGTCATAATGGGTGTTCCTCATGCTGTCGTGAAAGACGACAGCTACAACGGCTGGTTTATACCAAAGGGCGCTACAGTTATAAATAACGTCTGGTGCGTCAGGAAGGATTGATTGAAGTCTATCGTGCTGACAATTGTTGCACACAGGACCATACATATGGACCCTAATCGATCGCCCGAGCCCCGTCGATTTAATCCCGACCGATATGCGGACGATCAGACCACTCTTTACCAGTCGGCGAACGGAGAACCCATGAAGCGCGATAATTTCAACTTTGGCGCTGGGCGCCGCCTTTGCCAGGGCATACATATAGCAGAGAGGTCGCTTTTCCTGGGTATGTCGAGAATCTTGTGGGGATTCAATTTGAATACGCCGCTGGACGACAACGGAAATCCCGTTACACCCGACGTCGATAACCTCGTCGGCGGCATCACAGTTCATCCCGCTCCTTTCCAGATCAAAATTGAGCCAAGAAGCCCGAAACGAGCCCAGATCATTCGTGGTGCGGTGGAGGATTGTAAGGATCTCCTTGATGCCGGCTCTGGTCAGTGGAAGAAAGTTCCAGATGGGATGGTCTTCGGCTCTTGGAAACCGGACGCTCAGACCATGAAGTGAGTTAGCAAGCGCTTGTCGCTGGTTTGTCTGCAGCCGAGAGCGATGGGCAGTAAGTTGGAGCATTTAGGTGTGAAATCTAGCGACAGCTCCAATACCACCAAGATTCATTACGTCCTATGACGAATTACTCCACGCAGAGTGTTCTAATACGTATGCGATTACAAAGCCGACATCAGAGGCCGCAGTAGATAAACTCCCTAGGAAAGATTGCGGGAGTCCATCATTAAGCTGCGCAAAGTAAGGAGTGATCTAGGCTCGATCTCCCGGTAGGCGAAACGTTCTCTGGAGCAGAAGATGATGAGTTGCAGCAAGGCTTGAGAGACCACAGACCAGAGGGCAGAGGAAGATCCTAGGTATCTTTCATGTTCTTGAAATGTAATATAATATTTGTTGATACCCCATAATATAGCTATGGGGTTTGGTTGGCTCGGAATGCCTCCTGGGACATTAAAAGGAGAGCTAGTGAGAAAGAAGGACCTGACACACTTAGCGTAGTTGAATGCATAAATGACTCTGTCCTTTATCAACTATACGTGTACGGCCCTCGTATATATAGGCGTATGTTACATGATTTGGCAACCCCTATCAATGCCGTCGTTGCCGTGCTCCTGAGAAGTTGATATAGACTAAGTCTTAGGTCGATTTATTCTTTAAGGGCTGATTAACGTTGTCTCCCTAACTATACGTAGTTCATTAAACGCTAGCTAGTACGGTTAAGATCTACTATAATAGTGGTAGACTAGTAATAGATTCGATAATTAAGTAGCTAAACGATTCGGGTTAACCAAGCTCGTCGAGAGCGATAGTCGTAAGGCTATTACGGTGGGTGAGGACTTGCTCACTATCGATGCGTCTACGACTACTTGGGCCTAGCTTTATGTTATCTTGACTTGTTTAGGTACGTTATCGTTGATTAGCTTTAGTATACTTTGGTTCTGCGTTTCTAATATTCTAATATAGTCTATATTTCTAGACCTATCTTCAAAAGCTCTGCGATCTTATTCTCGTATTTTTGTATTAGCTCTCCGTAGCTTCTAGCTATCCCACTTTGGCCATTAGCTATACCTCTATCGGCGTGGTCTCATTAATCCGCGCCTTAATCGTGTTATGAATCGCTCCACTAGGGTGTCACGAGACAAGGGGTTCCTGAGTAGGGGGAAGTATCAAGGTATGGCAGTAAGAGAGCACGTCGAGTGTCTTGAGCGAGACTAATCAATACTCAAACGTATAGGTATAATCGTTAACGAAGTTAACTACATATTCGATAGTATCGAGCGCCAAAAGGGTTTAGTGAAAGAGTAGGTGAAAGCTTAATGTACGGAGGTTAGTTATTTAGCGGTAGTAGCCACTTTGGCTTTCGTAGCGTTAACTACTACTTAGGAAAAGGAGATAAAACTTAATCGTTATTTAGATAAGTTAACTAAAGTATAATCTAAGATACTAGTTAAGGAATATACTACGTTAGATACTTTAGACGAGATAGAAGAGTCTAACGAACGGTCTTCTAAAGTTACCGTTTCTTTAGATAAGCGGTTTAACTAGTCCGATCTATTATTATTTAATTTTTCCGTTTTTACTAAGGTTAATAAACCAATTCTAGGGTAAGTAAATAGTTTTCCTTTTAGTGTTTATATTTTAAAGTTCCTAATTTTATATAAATAAAGTTTTAGTATAAGCTATACTTATTCTAGATCTTTACCCCTAGTTCTTTATAATATAGTTAGATATTACGTAGGGTTCGATTTCTTATAGGACTTATTATATATAAAGTTAACTACGATTAGTAGTTACCTTTCTATATAATTCTTTTTACCTTAGGGTTCGAATCTTAGTAATACTACTAAACTATATTTTTTATTAAATATTCTTTTAGTTCTTAAGTATTCTTAGTATCCTTATATCTTAACTATTTAATTAAATAATATAGTTTTCTATCGATCGGTTAATAGTCTAGTATTTAGGCCTTGATATAGGCCGAGTCGGGCCGGGTATTCGATTAATCGAACCAGCCCAACGAGTTTCCGGGTCGCTTTAGGAGTCAACCCAACCCTGACCCGGTGACCCGTATATTGGGTCGGGTCGGGTAAGGGTCGACTCGTTATAGCGACGACGAGGTCGTTAGTACGAGATATTAAAAATTAAATTATAGTTCTATATACTATAGAGATATTAATATATAATAGTATCGTTACTTTTACTATTATAATACTAATTAGTTAAATAAATAAACTTAAAGTCATAGAATCTTAGAATTTTCTTAATTTATTACCTTATTAGGAAGGTATAACGGAACCGAGTAAACCCGTTTAGGTTAGGGTCGGGTATTAACTATATAATATCCGCCCATTAGGCTATAGGGTCAACCAGTACTTCGACCCTAACCCGACCCCGACCCTAACCCGACCCTGACTCAACTAGGTTTACTCGGCCTAAGGTTGCCAACTACCTTGTCGCCACCCCCACCTTATCGCCAATTTTATGAATTCGCATATTGTTGTAGCAAAGGGTAGCCACTTATGCATCCTAACGATAGAGAGTCTATAACTTTGTATGGGGATTGCCTATGAACCTGCCGAGTTGGCCATATCGTAGATAATATCTCTACTAGGTAGTGCGCTTAATAACACTACCGTATCTTCCTCCGTGTACCCCCTGCCCTATATAACTTCGATCGTATCCTAAATACGCTTTTTATCTTGCTTTTTAAGTCTCTTTGATACGGCTCGCTCCTCGTTCTTTAGCACGTATTTCCTAATAGTTGAAAGCTTAGTTAATAGTACTTAATAAGCGCTAGAGACCTCGTAGTAAGCTCTATTTAGTTATCGTATAATAGCCTTACTAGATCGACTTAATCTTGCCGCTAGTTCCTCGTTTATCTTGCTATACTCGTACGTATCTCGTAAGGAGTAACTATAAGGCCGTTTAAAAGACAAGATCTCTAGCGTAGTGTATCGATATTGTGAAACTTAAGGTATATCGAGTACTTTTCTAACGTTGATAGGCTAAAGACTACTACGGCGCTAACTCGTATTAATATATTAAGTTATTATACTTGATTCCCGTATAAGTTAATATAGTAAATTAAATTAAGTATAATTTACTTACGTATCGCTCGCGATAATATAGCTCTTAAGGTATTTTAAGTAAAATGTCTTTAGCTAACTAAATAGCCCTAAATCGTATAGTTAATAGAGATAAGAGATATAAGGTAAGAGATAAATTAATAAAATTTAATTTATAATATACTTTACGATAAATACCCCTATAGTATAACTATCGTAGCTATTAAGAATAAGTATTCGCTAGTAAGAGATATTGTCTTTATAACGTTCTCGTCGAGACTATAGAATAAATACTATCGTTAACTACTCGAGCGTATAGTCGTTATTAGTCTAGCCCTTCTCTATAAAGCCCTAATACTAGTTAGGGCACTCGTTTAACGATAGGAACTAATAATTAAGTAGTTAATAGTATAATTTACCGCGATAAATAATAAGAGGCCGTATTATATCGCTAACGGTAAAAATCGCCTTTATAATCGAAACCTAACTCGTAGATTCACTAGTAATTAATATCGAAGATCTTATATATCGATTAAAGACTATAGACTCTTTCTATAAGTGACTTATTTAAAAGCCGATCTCGTCTATATTCTAAAGGTCCTCTAGACGTATATTATAGCGTAAAATAGTCTCGTTAAGGTACTAAAACTAGCTCTCGAGTATACTAGGGATAGCCGCTATTATACGGCTCTATTCGAAAGACCTATTACGACTACGCTTAAGATTAGGATATCGATTCAAGAATCTTGAAATCTAGTTCTTATCGAGGCGCGCATTAGGCTCTCTTTAACGCGCTAGTGCCTACGCGATAATAGATAATTAGGTAGTATTAACGGGCGAGTATTATAGCTAAGAGTCCTTTATATATTAATATAAGACCTCCTCTTATGTCCTTAATAACCTAATATTTTTTTACTCTTCTAAACCGCGTAGTACGCGACCGTCGCGCCTATCACGGATCGTCGATCGTGGTGTGGTTATACACTTTATGGCTTACGATATATTACGGAAACGGCCTTCCTAAAAGAGGTCAAGGGCTCGTGATGCCCTATCTATCTTAAATAGAGAGACGGCGAGGGCAATTGGTTGATATATATGAGAGTTTAGTTGACAGGTGGGTAGGAAGGACATCAAAATGCGATTGGCGACAAGGTGGGGGTGGCGGCAAGGTGGTTGGCAACCTTATGTCAAGGCCTACTAGTATTTCTTCGACGTCGTATAATAATTATTATATTTTACGTATATTAGTACTAGTCCTAGTTTAGCGTTTTATAGTATCTTCTTAAGGAGTGATTTATAGAATACTAAGTAGATATTTATTTCCCTTAGTAATTCTAATTTAAATATTACTAGCCCTTATTTCTTATTAATATTACGAATCAGGACCTACGACTAAATTATAACTAGTCTACGACGGCTCGACGAAAAGGAAAGGTATACCGAATCACGTGACTAGGGATACGTAACTAGGAATAGCTCTTAGAGCTCTCGTGGATCTATATATAGAGCTAATAGAGCCTATAGATCAATACTTGGAGCTTGACAAAGAAACATTCAGAGTGGTAGTGGTAGTCCATTGCATGGATGCGCGTGCTGTACTTATGCCTGTGGACTCGGACTAGTGACTTGCAGTCGCTGACAGTGCTAACCAAATGTCATGTGCTCTGCAAGCAATTTTGGAGTCCGTCAGGCTGTATCAAAGAAGGCTGAAGAGAGAACTGATTAAGGACACCGGCTCCCTCCCGTAGTATCCCCCCAGGAAGCATGCTTGGAGATCCTCACATGTATGTGTCTTCAACTACGACTGAATACGATTCGAGGCTGTTTCCCCGCACGTGACCGTGTAGCGCACGAGAAAGACATCATTGAGGATGTGGAGGTGTGGAGATGTGGAGATATGGAGAATGAGATTGACCCTCTGGCACCTCATCTCTTACGCCAACGCTGAGTCTGATGATGCCAGCCTGGCTGTATCCAGAGTCTTCTTGCTAGCGATCGATCACCAGTAGGCAGACAAACAGCATTGACGTCCAATTAACACTGTTACACTGAGACACAGCTATTGTTTACTTTCGTTGGCTATAGCAAAGCAATAGCAAGGCCCACTGTGGTCAAGCTGATTCTGTGGTCAAGCTGATTCTGTGGTCAAGCTGATTCTGTGGTCAAGCTGATTCTGTAGTGCCATGAAGATCCAAACGTTGTCGAGGATGATGTGGGTTTCATGGATTCTGCAAGACTTTTGATGGACCCGCGATCCCCTGCCATGCTCTTTTGTGAGTCTTGTGGGAAGCTGTGACTTGAGCAGGTAAGGATTTTTACACAAGAGGGAGATCTCCAAAGATGTCGTGGTGGAGAAAGCTTCTCCACGTATATTCTCCATATGCCATGAGACAAAACTAGGCAATTCAATAGTGCTTCCACTTATGGTGTATTCACACGCCCCTTAGCCACGATGTTAACAATAATCTGGGTAGGTGCGTGGCACATAGCTTCTTGAGATGAATAACAAAATTGGAAACAAGTCTTCATCAGAACAGTGCCTGCAGCAATGAAAACTAAGTCCATTACATGTTAGAGACCAGTCCACGAGCCCTTTGGACATTGTTTATCCAAGTTGAGGCGTTTACGAAACTCATCAAAGTTAGGATCCACCTCAGTTGCCTAAAAGTACCGCCTTCCTATCAACTATATGCTCTGTGAGGAGTTCGACTTAACAAGGCTTGTACCGTGTCCAGCAGTTGTCTTCGCATGTCAAGTGAAATCTCTTGTGGATTGGCCGCCATGAGGCAGCTCTCTGGGTATGGTTTCTGTGCCAGAAAGACGCGTGGTATTGTTTGAGAAGTCACAGCGCTGCGTCTACACTCTTTGCGGCCCCGAGTAGTTGTATACTATCTTTCTCTCGATCATGAGTATCTGCAGCTTGTTCAATGCAAACGACGCAGTATGATCTGTACTTTCACAAGATGATCAGCCTCGTCCGTTCGAAGTAGCTAAGGACGCAAAAGCTGGTTTGTCGTCGATTGTCCGGCCTTATGTCTGTTCTAGAGTTTTACGTGGCGTTGGAGCTTGCTTGCAGGGAGCCCAAAGGTCATTGAGCGAATGCCAAAGCGTCTCATAGATCTTCGCAATATTATCTACGATGTTTTATTATGGGAAATTTGGGTCACTTCTGGGAGATACGTCCTTGGTGGACAACCAGCATGGCCAAGCGGGAAGGTGACCATTTAATAAGATGGTAAACAGTGCTTGAGTTCCAGGAGTCCAAAAGAAAAGGATTAAAGCAGACTTTTAAAAAGCCTGAGGATGCCAGCGACAAGACAAGACACGATTGCTTTCGTCAAGATGAAGGACCCTCCTACTGGCGAATCTGCCTCAATTGGGTGGTGCTCATCGTGGTATTGAATGTCATGTAATGCGGTACAAACTCGCTCCTCGACCTTGGAGTCTCCAGTATCCCCAGTGGATCGGGCACGGCTGCAATCTCGTTTGGCATGGGTACTACCCTGTTGGCAGGAGACGACGTGTACAGAAAATTTCAATTCGGAGAGCGGCCAAATCTACACAGCGAATAGGGGTGGTCCAGCTCCTCCAGTATACACAAACCAACGATTGCCTACCTCCAACGGATCGTGAAAGAACATAGAGGATGTCCCTATCGATACTCTGGCAGGTTTCTCACCATGCGTCACTCGATCTCCACGTCGGCAGAATGGTGATTATCTCAAGCAAGCCCCTTCGGATGAGTCCAAGAGTCCGGATCCGCGACCCCACCATCAGGGGGTGGGAAAGCGATCGAGTTGCGTCCAAGAAGACGGTTTGAGAGTAAGAACTGTATTCACTTGGGATGGTGCAATAGAGCCTGTGGAGAGAATGGTCCAGCAAATGGATCGCGCGAAATATTGCACTCGCTGGGTGGGCACCATGGGCTGGAGTTTTTCGGGGTAGGAGCCATCCCCAGGCGCTTGATGGAGTAACCCCCGCAAGACAATCGATCTGGCGACATTAAAACAACACCTCAGGACCCACGTTTAAAGAAGATATTGCTACCTTTCGTCCACCACCTTCAAGCCGGAAGAGAACCGTGCAGCTTAACAACAAAGGTATGTAGGCCCTCAGCGCCTTATCTACCGTAGCTAAGTCTGTCTATCAAGAATCCTAACAAGCCGACTTTCCCTATTTTCACGAGATGGGGTTCGGAATTCTAGAGCCTAACACGACAGGCCATACGCCTGGCACGGTTCTTCTGGATCAACAGGCTGCGCATTCGGAAGGCTCTACTGGACGGTTGAAGCATGCCGCGGGAAAGAACTCCAACATTGTGCTTGCCCCTCAACCCTCAGAGGATCCCAACGATCCTCTGAACTGGTCGCAAACAAAGAAGAACCTTATTACGCTTGTTATCTTCCTCGGAGTGGTCATTCATGGCGTTGTGCCGGCAAGTTTACCTATCATCAGCGCGCCAGGACGTTCCCCTTTACTGACTGGTGGACTTAGTCACCCCTACTCAATGCCGGAATCGTCGTGATCGCCGTCGACTTGAAGCACTCAGTCACAGATATTGCGAAGCTCGGTGGCTATCTCCTGATCGGAACAGCCACTGCAGGCCCATTCGCATCAGCTTTCGGTCGCAAATATGGCAAACGTCCTGTTTATATCTTCTCGTCGATCATCGGACTCATTGGCTGTATTATCTCGGAGGTTGCATCTGGGTACAATCAGTTGCTAGCTGGACGAGTCCTACAAGGTATCGCCGTCGCAGCTTACGAATCGTTGGCTGTGGCGTCTATCGGAGATATGTTCTTCGTGCACGAGAGAGGACCTCGTGTCGCCATTATTGTCTTCCTTCTGGCTGCTATATCCAACGGGATCTCCATCGTCGCCGGTGTTATTACGGCCAATCTCGGCTGGCACTATAACTTCCACATCCTCACTCCCTTCGCTGCCCTCCAGACGATTGCTGTCATTGCATACGCGCCAGAGACGATTTACCGCCGCAGCGCGATTTATGACATCGACACGGTTGGCTCTGAGGAGAACTTCGACAAACTCGCGTCGGTCGAGGCGCGTGCTGTCCACCACCTTGAGAAAGCTGGAGATGGCGCAACGGACCTCGAACAAACCATGACTCAAGGGACTGGAGATTCTCTAGAGTCTATGCGCCCTAAGAAGACCTACTGGCAAGAACTATCTGTCTACAACGGGGCGTTCGTCGAGGACTCAATCATCAAAATGGTTTTGGCGTGTCTGGCCATTCTACTCAACCTGGGTGCACTCTACCAGATCATCTCGACCGGCATCATCATTGCCTGGTACGTTGCAGTTGCTATCCTGACTGGTGTTATTTTTGCTATTCCACCATATCTTCTGGGCACCGCGACCATCGGATATCTCTCCACTGGACCTCTGATCGGTGGCTTTCTGGGTTGCCTTGTACCTTTCCTCATTTCCGCGCCTATGATAAGGTTCTTGACACGCAAGAATAGAGGCGTTTACGAGCCAGAGTTCTGTCTACTGCCCATATCTGTCGGGGGTCTGGCCATAGTCGCAGGACTTCTTGGTTGGGGCTTCGCTATCAAGAATTTACAAAGCATCTATGTTGTCGCCTTCCTTTGGGGATTGATGCTATTTGGCATGAGTCTGGTTGCGACATTCACGACTCAGTGGGCGCTTGACGCCTACCGCCAACACAGCACCGAATTGTTCGTCATGAATATGGTTTTCAAGAACTTCTTCTACTATGGGTAAGTCTATTATTTCCTTACTATACTGCCTGAACTACAACTCTCTAACAATATCCCCAAGTTTGACGAACTACATAATCCAATGGTACTTGAAATCAGGCCCTGTCCAACTCGTAGGGGTGATGGCCGGGCTTTCCGGATCCATGTGTCTACTGGCCATCCCGATGTACATCTTCGGCAAGAAGTACCGACATTACTGGCATCACCACAATCTGATCAAGATGCTGAGGCTGGAGACTGATCGCACTGGCGCGGAATGATCAATTGCTGCTGCCAGAATGGAGGCGAGGTTGTACTTGAGAATAGCTGTCATGTGTTTCGCGCAAAAGGAGACATATGTTTGAATTCGCGGGAGGGTCTTCCACCGAACCATTGGAGATCGGAGGCGGCTATACCTGTACCGTCCTAGTACTGTGTGATGTGATTGAGAAATAAAATCATGTGAGCTTTTCTTCCGTACCTGAATCACTAGTGGTCTACTAACCGACTCTCGCTGCACTCCGTACATAACACAGCCTCACAGACAGGTAGGCCAGGGTTGTGCCGCATAACTATTGTAAAGAGGATACCTCGCACCGCCAACCAATTTTGGGGCATCAACTCGTGCTGTGATTATAGGATTACCAAAGAAAGGTGACCAAGCTTTTATTTTCGACTGCTGCGCGCTCCGCGAACTTAAGTCGATTGTCCTGCCACAACGCTACGTACGAAGCTGGTGACACTCTACTAACCGCAATTCTGGTGGGCGCTGCCCAGTCTTTCCAATCTCGTAAAGTCTTTGCGCTTATGGCAAATTACATATGGCAACATGATTAGACTGAAACCGCAAGCGACTTATACTCCGTGGTGAAATCATGCATGATGGCGTTGAGCCCCTGCCGTCTGAGTCAGCACGGCGCACATGCACCTTATGGCTTCATGACAAAAGTGGAAAGAAATGCTCACCAACTGAAGTTGCTTGCTCACTTCAGGATCAGTTGCGGCTCTTCGGCACATAGCTAAGAACTGATCCTCTTCCAGAGCACGCTCTGGGTCCTGCCAAAGACGGCGAATGTTCTCACTGGAGACCGGATCGATGATGCTGTTATACTTGTCACGTCGTACTTCATTGTACCGGTCAAGGATGGAATCATCTGCCAGCCCTTTATGAATCCCGTAAAGGCAGTCGTACAGATTACCAATATCCACGAGACCGCCAGTCAGCCCTAGACCGCCACTGATAATACGTAAGCGGGGATCCTGATTCACGTAAAGAAGAGTTCACTTACAATGGATTACATAGATGTGCAGCATCTGCGGCCAGAAGAAATCGTCCGACACGAAGACTCTTGGCGAGACGCTGATGAGTCCTGTAAGGACTCATGTTCACGATCTTGTATTTGTCAGGATCGGGTCGGCCGGGGAGGAATGCCTTGAATTTCATGGGCTGGCGAGCGATCAACTCTTCCCGGGTCAGGCCGGGGATTTCTCCGTACGTGATACGGAGGAGGCCATCGGTCTGGATTTTGGACACCATGCTCCAGTGTTCGGGGTCGATAATGAAATTGGCATCGCCCCAGTTGTACGGACTCATGTCGTAGTAGACCTGCACGTAAAACAGTTAGAAGTGCTCGTGGCTCATATAGCGGTGGGAGTATATACGTTGGTTGCCACAATCTGTTCGTCCCACGTCCGACCTGGGAACTCCCAGTCACCGAACAAGGATCTTCGAATTTGACTGTTGGCTCCGTCGCAGCCAACAATGTAGTCGGCGCCAAACGTGTGTTCTCCATCGGCCTTCTCAACGACCACCCGAGCTTCGTTTTTATCTTGGTCGATTCGAACCACCTTAGCTCCCCATTCGATCTCGACGTTAGGCTGCCTATCGATATGCTCCTTGATAATGACCAGGAGCTTGTTTAGTGGCAAGCACACCATCTTGTCTTCGAATGGGACGGCATCCATGTCAACTCCCGCAAGTGGTGTGCCATCCAGCTTGCGCCAGCGGACTCCGCCGGGGATATACCCTTGCTTCCTCACATCGTCCAGAACTCCTGCGCGGCGCAATTCGAAGATTGCCGGCGATGAATAGTGGGTTGCTCGCGGGGCATTGTCAAGTTTGTCGCCGGCATCCAAGATCTGGACTGGAATGCCCGCCTTGCTCAATAAGAGCGCAAGGATCAATCCGGCAGGGCCTGCCCCGACGATGATGACCTGAGCAGTTTTTAGTTGTGAAGATCTAGAATCCTACCCAAGGAGACAATGGTATACCTTAGAGATTGCAGTTTTGTCCGACATTCTGGTTTCACGTATCTGGGGTGAAATTCAATGTGGTCAACAATTCATGCATAGGTCAAACGAGCCTGCGACCGGGCCGCTCAAATAAAGGTAAAACCAAAAAAAATCCATGGAGTTTCGCGTCCCCAGTTACGCGCACTCCCCGCACGTCTAAGGGTGACCTAAGCAACTCTTGAAAGGTTACTGTCCCAGGAAGGATAGCATGACTTTCCACGATGTCGCGTGATCCCGTGCTGCTGGATCTCTTACCGCTGGGGAAGCCAACCATGACATGAGCCCCGCGTTACCGTTTCCACGCTTTACCAAATGTGAATGTGGGGTTTGGCCGCTTTCCCATTCAGGCAACATCAATACTCATGAATTTATGGTTGGCCTACGCCCATGCCGGCCTTGTATTTTGCAACCATCGTTAGAAATTCAGCTTCCATCGACAACTTCTTCACAGCGAGCCATGGATCCAGTTCTACAAAATCCTGCCGTTGCTGCAGTGGCTGCCAAATATGCGGATCCGGAGTATCAGGACGTTCACATCAATCTGTTCTCAAAGTCAATCGTCCGACCAATCCCACACGTTCTTCCGCCCGGTGTCAGCCAAACCAATTTCGACCGCGCCATTCGCGAGTGGTCTAACGCGTTAGGCAGTGAGAACGTCTTTTCAGGCGACAATGTGAAGGAATATATTGATCCATATGAGCTTAATGAGGATGCCTCCACGAGAAGGGTGCCAAGTGGCGCAGTCTGGTTCGGAGCGCGATCTCTCGCTGAAGTACATCATGCTAATGTGTTGCTGGCGCAGTCCTGCTACGTTGGAACAAGCTCAAACGGTTCTCAAGATTGCCAACAAGTACCAAATTCCGCTGTGGACGTTCTCCCGGGGCAAAAACTTGGGGTTTGTTTCCCCATTTGCCACCCTTGGCCGTGCATTCTCTTCACCATATGCTGACCGCAAATTCCAGATATGGTGGGCCCGCACCACGATTGTCGGGGTCTGTAGCCCTAGACTTACACCGCATGAATCGTATCATCGAGGTGAACGAGGAATATTCCTACGCTGTGGTCGAGCCGGGCGTCACTTTTACTGACCTGTACGACTACTGCAAAGAAAAAGGCCTGCGCGTCTGGCCTAGCACCCCATCACTGGGTTGGGGCAGCGTTGTCGGTAATGTGAGCACGCCGAAAACTGTCTTCTCCGTCGCGAAGATACTTATCCTCATAATAGACTGTCGATCGTGGAACCGGTTTCCTTCCTACGGCCAACCATTGGCAAAATATGGCCGGCTTAGAGATCCTGCTCGCGGATGGCGACTTAGTTCGAACAGGACAGTTTGGCATTTCAAATTCGGCAGCCGCACATACCTCCAAATTCACCTTTGGTCCGTCAATCGAGGGACTCTTCCTACAGAGTAACCTAGGAATCGTCACCAAGATGGGTATCTGGCTGACACCTCAACCTGAGGCATATTTATCGTGCTTTTTCGAGGTTCCTAAGTTTGATGACATCGAGGCGCTGGTCAACGTATTTGGGACGCTACGCATGAATGGAGTCATTCCAAACACAATCTTCGTCTCAAGCGTAATCGAGGTGTTAGCCTTGATCAAAAAACGAGTCGACATCTACGATGGTCCAGGACCTATTCCACCACACATCTTGGAAAAGGCGCAACAGGAGTATAACCTAGGGTACTGGAATGCCAAGTTTGGGCTCTTTGGTCCTCGAGGTGTGATTACCGCTCAACTGGAAGAGATCCAGCGTGCTGTCAGCAAACATGCCCCAACCGGTACGCTACGAAGTGAACTTTTCTCTGGCGAGGATGGCCAACTACTTGACGCTTCTAACATTCCCGAACCGCACGGCGGCGTCTTTGTGGGCGTGCCTACGCTATGGAGTTTACCCATGGTCAAATTTCGATTACCTAAGGACGAGTCCAAAGGGATTTCGGGCCATGGAGACTTCTCATCGATCATCCCGTCCAATGGAAAGCAGGTTTTGGACTGGGTCCGCCAATCGAAGCGTATCAGCGAAAAGCACGGCTTTGATCTCTTCTGCGACTTTTTCATGCACGAGCGCCACCTCATCTTTGTCAACTTCCAAGCCTTCGACAAGACACTAGTGGAGCACCAGGTCGGTATTCAAGCTCTATTTGCGGAGTTGTATGATGAGGCAAAGGAGAAGGGTTTCAGCAATTATCGCTCCCATATCAACCACATGGGTAAGTAGTGCTCGCCTTTCTCTCCATGATTTCCTAAGGCTTGATGTCTAACGGAGACAACGTAGATCCCGTCGCCGAACTGTATGACTTCAATCAGCACGCGTACCGGAGATTTGTCGAGAAGCTTAAGGTAAGTACATCGTTCGGCATCACGTCTGGTACTTGTCTGACTGCGAGTCACAGGATACCTTGGACCCTAATGGCATTCTTTCTCCTGGAAAACAAGGGATGTGGGGGCGAAATTATCAACAATTCCGCGATATATCCATCCCCAATGGGCTGGATGGTCGAAAAGCAAAGCTATAGTGGAGTTGGCATATTATCAGCAATACTTCGACGGCTTCTTCTGGTGGAGCTTGATCCAGGTACAAGCGCTATGACTGAGCTCTTGATGGAAAGATTGGCTCAAGACTCGACGCTCAAGTGGTCCAATGAGATGAAGAGAAGAATCACGAGACATCAGTGTCTGACCGCATAAAACGGATTTTGTGGCCCGAAACAGTGTGTTAATAAGTCATATACTCTTTTTGCGCAGGTTGGTCTTGATGAGCCTTATCGTCCGGGGAGGCGATTCGTCGTCATGTGCAACCCATTGGCGGTAGTATCTAATCATCACGCTAGCCTATGTGGATCAAGCTCCCTTTTCCCAACCCAGTTGTTCAAGTCTTCGTTCGTACATGGGATCAAAACACCACCTTCGCCCACTGCCGTTGCTGATTCACTACCACCTTGTGACTGTTGGAGTATTTTGGCCAGAATTGGGCCTTGGCCGAGGCTTGGAATATCCCTTTTTGAATCGCATGAACCTTTGGAAGCATCACGTACCATGTACTACAGCCCAGGCTCCCAGCCGGATCGAGGGCCAGAGCATGTCAAAGAACAGACCAGGTGCCCTTGGGCGTACCTCTCGTCCCAGTCTTGTGTTCATTTGCGAGAAGGCTCGCTCTGGAGGCATGTCTCAGTCAGATGAACACGACTGGTGTTGTGTGTCAAATCGATTGTGAATCAAGGTGATTCACGGAGCTCGATTGACTGGGGTAGGAGATATCCAGTTGGGGGTTCATCGAGCTCAGCCAATTGACGTTGAATTCGAATATAGCGTTGTCGTAGTGGTGGTAGTATTCCTGATTGACGAGCTATTTGACATCGAGGTTGATGACGATCGTGTGGTGATGGCTGAGGTTGAGTAAGGTTGTGTCGAGTTCGTAGACATAGTGGTGGTGTATGTCGTGGAATTGGCCATTGAGGTGGACGATGTGGGCAATGCCTCCGCAGTCAGTGAGATCAGCGCACATCCTCCATACAGTGTTCCGTCAGACAAATATACTGTCCCGTAACACTCTTGCAGCTGGTTTATGTTTGAATCTGTCATGCAGGTCATCCCACAGCTGCTGCTAAACGTACATGTTAAGTTCTGCAAGCCTTGAGAGACTATCCATTCCTGGTAGACAAGCTCAACATAACCGGTCGAATCAGGGTACAATGCAGCAGAATCTCCGGCCAAGTCCAGTAGATGCAGTTCCGTATCTCTCGTGAATCGTGTGGCTGTTGACCGCGTGGCAGTGAGTTGTAGGGCAGAATTGCTACTTAGGAGATAGTTTCCATCATACTCGGTACCGTTGGAAGAAACCCGGAGGACGAAGACGGAGTTTGATGTAGAGTCTGGAACCACGGTACAAGCTGGGCCAGTTGACGTGGTTGTAGTGCTGAGAGACGAGCTACTGCTGGAGGTCGAAATAGTCGTCCCAGTGGTGTTCATGGACGTTATGGTAGACGTGAAGCTAGTGGTAGTATTCATCAAGGTAATTGACGCAGAAGTCGAAGTGAGATTTTGTGAGGTCGCGGTAGTCGTAGTTGACGTTGAACTGGATGCGGAGGTTGTTGAGGACGGCGCAAACTCTTCAAACGCCCGAAGTGATCCAGACGAACAGTCTTCCTGTAGCTCACTGTGCAAGGCCGGAATACCCTGGCAGAGCTGAATGACCGACGCATTTCCAGCAATGCAATCCAGCACACAGCCAGGCGCAAATGTACACTCTAAAACAGTAAGTCCTCCTCCATAGTTATTGGAAAAGTCGATCGAGCTCTGGTCATAGAAAACTATACTGCCCCCTGCGCCGTATATCGTGGCAATCCTCTCGTCAGGCGCTATTAGCGTTGAGCTCTGCCCGTATGTAAACTGAGCCGCTTGAGATTGGTCCGTGGTCAGGATCATTCCCGCAGACAGGGTTCCGTTGTAGTCCGCATATGTCTGATTCCAATTGGAGTTGGAAGAAAAGACTTCGAACTCGATGCCTGAATCTGTCACTATTGTACACGCTGGGATGGTAGTCGTTGTAGTGGTAGTACTGGTGGTTGTCGTGGCTGTCGTCGTTGTCGTCGTTGTTTTTGTCGTGGTCAACAATGTCGTTTTCTTACTCGTTGAAGAGGACTGAATTGTAGAGCTAAGAGAGGTCGAGAAGCTGAATGATGCGTATGTTGAACTTGAAGACGACGAAGTGAGTGTTTGTGAGGCGGAAGTTGGCTCACTAGAGAGATGACTTGTTGATGTCGAGGTCATATTGCCAGGCGTCGTGAAAGTCGTGCTGGTAGTAGTGCTCGAATGTACGGAGGATTCTGTTGTCTGACCACTATTCGTAGTCGTGGACGACGGAAGGGCAGAGGTAAGGGAGTTTGACGAGGTCAATAGGCTGTTGGATGAACTCGCTGACGAAGAATTCGTGGATTGCGAGGCTGAGCTCGTCGTGGTGGGGTTATCACTTGTTGGGGTTGTGGTCAGACGGCTTAGACTCGTGGAGGTTGTGCTTCTACCGATGCCCGAGGATATGGAAGTGGTGGTTGTGCTACTGGAAGTGGTGGAAGTCGTCGAGGTGGATGTCCTTGCTAAGGGAAAGAGTCAGCTGTGGTTCAATAAAAAAATGTTCCGATTGGATATACAACTCCTACCTTGATAGATGAGAGATATTAGCGAACAATCCGATAAAGATGAACCTGCAGTGGTGATCGCAATTTGTCCGTCCGTCGTTTCGCAGAAGCCAGACGCGCCCGTGAGACTTAGTGTGCCGTCTCCAGATAACGTCCACGTCTCTGATGCAACAACCGAAGACGAGAACGATTTTAAGACCGTCCCAGCGATGTCGGCCTCTGCGCCAATGAATTGCTTGTTGGTCTGCAGCAGGCCTTCGGTGTCAAGGGCAAACAGTGCTGCTGTTTCCTGGCGATCTAGGACAACGCTATAGCCGTTGACAAACGCCAAGTATCGAGAAGCACGTTTGATGTTTCCGGACGTAGCCATAACCAGTATATAGAAGTTGTCCGTCGGCACTGGACTTGAGCTAGATGTCACCGTGGACGTACTCGGGGAAGTAGTCGTGGTCGAGCTTGAATAGGTGCTATCGTTCGTCGAAACAACCGAAGTTGTGCTCAAATACGAGCTGATACCTGTTGACGAAATGTGCGTAGAGAGGACTGAAGTTGTACTCAGGTACGAGCTGACTCCTGTCGAAGAGCTTGTTGCTCCGCTCTGAGTGGTAGATGTGGAGATTGATCTTGCACTGGAAGGATATTGAGATGATGCAGGATCCGGCGAGACGTTGCTGGTAACAGTGCTCGTGGAAGAAGAGGGCAACCCGCTGGAGCTGATAGGACCAGGTTTAGTAGCACTAGATTGTGCATGGCTTGTTGAAGTCGTAATAGATGTCGGCCCCAAGTTACTTGTTGAAGGCGTTTGGGATGTTGGTGCTACTTTTGTTGAACGAGCCGTGATGGACGATTCTGGCTGGCTTGTTCGACTCGTTGTAGGTAGTGACTCCGGTCCCAATGTCGACAGCGTAGTAGATGTCGACTGTGGATAGGTGGTTGGAGATCTCGTAGATGTCGACGCTGGGTTCACTGTCGTGACGGTCGGTGATGGAGGATTTGGGAAATACCACCCCCCGTTTTGACCACTGATTGCGCCCATTCAGCTCTTTAGAAAGCTCAAGGTTCGAGGAAGGGCTGTGTTTTCTTACCTAGTGCTGGTCCCGGTCTCACACGGAGGAACCCAAGTTGCTGTAGTTGTCACTGTCGTGACGATATCAAAAAGGGTTGGTCCTTGACAGGCCCTGACGACCCCTGCAGTCCACGGTGTGCCTGGTATTGTGATTGTTCTTGCTGCTTCCACCAGCTGTGATGTCTCACCATCTGGCAAATGAACTGTAACAGTACTTGCAGGCGCAACAACAGTAATATCCGGAGCCTCTTGCGTGAAAAAGAACGTATATGTACCTTGCGAAGCCACGTATGATGTGGTAGACACAACCGCAGTGAGAGAACTGGTCTTGAACGGCCCAGGCCTCGAAATCCATATCTCCATATACTCAGAACAGCTGATGTTTCTCAATGGTGTCATCCAACACTCCGTGACATTGAAGGTTTGGCTGCGACTTCCGCTCTCGTCAGGTCCACAATCAACACAGAGTCTGCTGCCACCATATCCAGGCATGGCCAGTGGCCCAATGTTAAAGAAAGAGGCCACCCAGGTCTTGATCAAGACTTCTCGCAGGGGTTCTGTATCGTTGTCCTTGCCATGTCCACGAGGCCATCTCTTAGATGCTGCAAGCGGCATACTTGTAAATGTCGAGGTACTTGATGATTTGGATATCGTGACTGGCTGATCGGTTTTGGTGACGACACATTGAGAATGCGTTGATCCATTGTATGCACACGGAATAGTGGATGAGATGTAGTCGAACGTGATGTATCGATCGGAGGTCAGGCATGTACCGCTGGTGCATGAGGTTGCTGGCGTACATGTCGACACTTTTTGCAATTGGGAGGTTACCGTGATCGGCGAGGGCGGGTAAAGAGCTGTCGAGCAAGGGATGACTATGGTCAGGACTTCAGCAGCAGCCGCATGCACTAACAGAAGAGCGGCGATCAAGACGATCCCAAAGGGCCACATAACGGGCTCGCAGGCCGAGTGAAGAACGAACCTACCAGTGGCTTCAAGACAATCTCAACACGATCCTAGTGTGTGAACAGTTCATATATGCGGCTGTGCTCCTTATCGCATCTTGTGCGCATGGGATGTCAACAAGATGGGAGGAGTTTCAAGGTTTTGAGGCTTGCACAACAATCAAACCGAGGTGAACAGGTGTTCGCGATGGCGAATCGGCCTAGAGCAAGAACAACTGTGCTCAAATCAGCTCGCTGTCACGTAGATCTGGACGTCTCTGAAGGACGGTGGACGATAGTGCCCTGTGCACGGAGTTTGATGGAATTTTGCTGCATCATCATCTTCGCGCCAGCACGCCAAAGACATCGTCAATGGTGAAGGCTGAAAAGCGCGTGTCGGGTACAAAGCTGTTGAGCTCGCCCGTGGTATGCATTGAGTCGAAAAGGGCGCAGGGGGAATCTCTCGAAGCTGGGTATCAACAAGGACACGTTGATGACACAAACTGCCAAACATGCCAAGATGGATTATCGAAAATGCTTATCTGCAGTTTTGATCGCCGTCCATCAATCTTTCAACCTTAAATCCATAGTAGGAAAGAAGCAAATCTCCTTCGGATTGGGGTTGCCAGGGGTTGACTAAATGTTTCCATTGTCGGTCGAACGGTATATTGTTTTTCCGGATGCCGTGCATACTACGAGTAAATGCTTCTGCATTTGACCTCCGGTTTCTCCTCATCGAGAACCTTCACCCCTCCCAACGATCCTCGGCAATCTAACTATATCGAATGTACCCCGCAAACCTCCAGGTCACTCGCGGAGATGATTCTCCATCAATTCCTTGGTCTGGCCACCATGGGGGTCGGCCTACGTCGATCAAGTTGTCCCGGCCAAACGATCGCTAATTGAACCGTCTGGCAACAACAGACTCTGCCGAAACCGCAAGTCTACGGCAGGTAGATCAGCCCTCCGGGCATGATGCTCGGATGCTCTGTGGACTTCAACTTCCGACTCGCAACTTTGTGAAAGCAAATAAAATCCAGAACCTTCGTGCAGGGTAGGGTGTCTGATGATAGCAGCAGCAGCAAATCTTGAGTTCCTATCATCCTGAAGTGGTGCAAGCAATAATGGCCCCTACTACTATGAGAGCTGCCCGTTACCATCCTGTCAGCTTCCTTTCTTGATCAAGCCCCAGGATCAATGACTAACCCAGGCGTAGGATTCGAACAAATGCTCGGTAGACGAAATATCAGTTCCCGGCTTCACGGGAGACGAGATTTTGGTCAAGGTTGCTTCTGCAAGTCTGTGTCATTCTGATCTTATGCTCTTCGATGGATCAATACCTGCGACTGAGCCAGTGACAATGGGTCACGAAGGTGTTGGATATGTTGAAGAAATGGGTGCAAATGTCACGGGGTTCAAAAAAGGCGATCGAATTGGCTTCCTTTACATTAAAGGGGTCTGTTGTGAGTGACATCCATGCTAAGCCTTCCCTCTTCGTAGTTAACCCCCATATAGTTGAGTGCGAAGGATGTCTTGTGCACAACCTGAATTGTAAACTCGGAACAGCGGCGATCCAAGGCTTCCAATGTGATGGCATGTTCGCCGAATACGCAGCAGTGGACTACCGCAACGCCATCATCCTTCCCGAGAATCTCAGTATGGAAACATCTGCACCATACTTTTGCGCTGGAATTACAGGTACCACCTCCCAATCATTAACAAGCGTTTTCTGACGAAGCAGCGTTCCATGGTGTGGACTCTTGCGAGCTTAAGCCCGGTCAGTGGATGGCCATTGTGGGTTGCGGGGGTCTCGGCCAGATGGGAATTCGTTTCGCGAAGGCCATGGGATTGAAAGTCGTGGGCATTGACATCAACGACGAAGTGCTCGCAGAAGCAAAAGAAAACGGAGCCGATGTAACGATCAACAGCAGGCAACCAGACTTCGCCGAGCACGTGAAGAATTTAACTCGAGATGGAGCGGACGCAGCCGTGGTCTTCAGTGCAGCGCAGGCTGCCTACGACAGCGCCACTAAAGTTCTTCGCATAGGCGGCGTCCTGATGGTGATAGGACTGCCGGCGAAGCCTTTGCAATTCTCGGCTTTGGATTTGATGCGGAAACTGTATCAAATCAGAAGTGAAAGCACGGGTCCCCCACAGCAAATGCCTCGCGCAATGGAATTTATCTCGAAGCATGAGATCAAGCCGAAAGTGGAATTATACAAGCTTGACCAAATCCATGAGATGATGGATTTAATGAAAAGCGGAAAGTCCAAGACAAGGATGGCGGTGGTGTTTTGAGGCTGATAATACACAGCACGCCAGCTGTAGATATTCAAGATATGAATTTAAATGTAAGAGATAAATAATCTGGTAGAGACGAGGCACCAAGTCCCGAACCTGAGGAGGGCGCTCTCCCGGCCCTCGGAAAGCCAATCTTGACAACCTGGGAAGCCACCCGTGAGGTGGTCTTTGATAACCCATCGATTATCAAGTCTCCGGCGACAACTCCTCACTTCCATGTCACACGGTGAATATTTGCCGAATCTCGTTTCCACGTCGTTGAAGTTTGCAAACTAATTGCTCCTCGCTATTGCGTGTCACCTCATAACTCTGATACTGGAGAACCATGGCAGCAATGGCAGACACAGCGACAACAACGTTTTCCAGTCTCTCTGAGAGCATCGGACCCCAATTGGCGATTACCATACCTATCGTGCATCATCAGATCCTGGAATCAGTAAAGCAACATCCAAACACACCAGCAATAATGTGCACCCATCAGTCAGCAGATCTTCTCCCAGCAGTAAGAGACGTCCGACCGTGCCACAGAAGTATTGTGAGAAAGCCATGTCTCCATTGGACACATCATCAGCTCCAATATGGTGCCGATTTGCTGGCGCACGCGTTAACCACGCAGCGTCTGGAGTCGGGTTCAACTATCGCGGTGCTACTCGGGGGAAGGGCCGAGTTCCACATGGTCTTTAGAGCAGCCATCAAAATCGGATGTCCATTTACACCTATCAACCTCAGGTCTCCTAAAAACGCTAAAGAGATCCGGCACATGCTTACATTGACGAACGCGAAAGCAGTAATCGTGGATAATGAATCTGTGGCCGAGGACTTGCAGCGTAACGTCCCAGATTTGATGAGTGACATGCACGTCAAAATCATCCTCGACGGCGACTTCGGTATGCACAACTACTTGAAGCTTAGTGATCTGATCACAGAGGCAGCTGTGGATAAGACCTTTGAGGAATCTAGCTTGGCACTCGATCGATGGCCCCGGAATGAGGACGATGTGGTATACATTGGATTTACCTCGGGAACAACATCGCTTCCGAAAGCAGCGCCGCATACAAATAAATCGCTTGCTTGCAATATGAAGTCTTGGGAGCAAGTCTTCGCGCTGGATGACACACGATCCTGGCTGCATATCCTGCCAATGAACTCCATCGTCGGCAGCTCCTGGACACTGGCGTACCTTATCGCTGGCGGAAGTGTCACACACGTCAACTACGCCTTTGACCCGGACTCTGTGGCTTCAGCTATTTGCACAGGCGAGTATACTGATCTACTCGCAGTACCATCGATGATTGACCTCTTAGCCACTTCACCGTCCTTGAGCAAACGGTCCAATAAGGGTATCGATCGCATGATTGTGGGTGGGAGCAAGATCCTCCGCTCCCATGTTGAAAAGTCTTTCCAAAAGATCAAATGCAAACGGTTCAGTCCATTCTTTGGTATGACGGAAGGGACTTCGGTGTGTACTGAAACGTTATATGGAGTTCCTGACAACGTCCATGATCCCATCTATGCTGGTTATGCGAATCCCGGGTGCAAGATCAGGATATGCGATCCAGACAAGATAGAGCCTGTGCCGAGGGGAACGCCTGGTGAAATTGTACAAGGTGGTCTGCAGAAAATTGAACGCTATCTTGGTGGCAGTGGTGAAGACAGTTTCTTTGTCGAAGAAGGAGAAACCTGGTACAGGTGTGGCGATCAAGCCGTCATGCTTGAAAATGGGAGAATTGCAATAGTTGGACGCTACAAAGGTTGTTGCGCACCCACAGATATTTTGATCCCAGCTGACAGCCTTAGATATGATCATACGAGGCGGTATGAACATAGCTTCAGCTGCTGTTGAGGCGGTTATTTCTGAAAGAACGGGAATTGATGTAAGCATTCGATCTTATGGAGCTCAAGCTCACCTTGGTAACACCCTGCACCAGTCTCAAGTCGTTGGGATCCCAGACGAAGCAGCTGGAGAAGTACCAGTCGCTGTGATCAAGCACCCGAAAGATGACAAACAAGCTGCTACCCGAGTCCAGAGATGCGTGCTGGATGCTATGGGTCCGGCATATGCGCTCGAGAAAGTGGTGAGCCTCGAAGAGCTCGGTCTAGAAGATTGGCCCAAGACGACGTCCGGAAAGGTCCTGAAACGAGACCTGCAAGTAATTGTCAAAAGCCTTCCCTGGACACAACAAGCCTTACCTTCAGCTCCGTTCCATATCAATGGACACTCAAGCGGGCCCGCATACATGTCTGACGAGGCCGAGCTACAGCATCATTTGCTGGGTTGTGCTCGGGCACACGGTATGCTGATTTCGAGTGTTGACGACGATTTCCACGATGCTGGTATGGACAGCCTGCTAGGACTTCGTCTTCGAAACGCCATCATCAAAGACGGAGATCCTCAATGGCAAACACAACTCCCACCGGGCGTGATATTCCAGTGTGGCAGCATCCGTCGCCTCGCCCGGTATTTGATAAAGCTCAATACCAATAGACAGGGACCGACTAAGGAGGAATCAAATGTCGATAGCGTCGTGGAAGAGATGTTTACCATGGTTGAAGAGTTCAGTCGTTTTCAGTCACACAAGCCGGAGAAAACAAAAGGTTCTGGCAGGCACACAGTAGTAAGTCTTTGTCTCGCGGTACTCCAAAAACGTACTGACAATCACGCAGTTCCTTACTGGTGTAACTGGCTCATTGGGTGCCCATATTCTGGCATCGTTATTGGCACAATCAGACGTTGACCTTATTTATTGTGCCGTACGAGGCAACAATCCAGCTGAGCGGCTAGAAGAATCTCTTGCCAAACGAAAGCTCAATTGGTCCGAGTATTCGAAGAAAGTGAGAGTCGTCAACCACGACCCGGGAAAGTCACGACTTGGCTTGGGCGATACGACACGAGAGGAATTGCTCGACAACCTGACTCACATCATACATGCAGCCTGGCCTGTGAACTTCCACCTACCTCTGGTGACCTTTCGAAAACATCTCCTCGACCTGCAGACCCTACTCCAACTGTCTCTGGACGTGAGAGCACCTCAGCCAGCTCATTTTCTCTACTGCTCCTCAATGGGGGTCGCGCTTAACACAAGAGGTCAGAATAGAATTCCAGAGGAGCCTATTATGGACTTCCGTCAAGGAATCAGCAATGGCTACACACAGTCTAAATTGGTTGCCGAGTATATCGTCCAAAAGGCTATGGAAAGCTTCGGTGCTTGGACATCGATTTTGCGCATCGGTCAAATTGTCGGTGATACCAGACTAGGTCTTTGGAACGAGACCGAGGCTGCTCCTCTTATGATCCGGTCAGCTTTGATCTTAGGTTGTCTACCAATGTTGGACATGGTATGTTCATGAGTGAGACTACAACGGACATCAGACTGATTTTACCTCCAGAAATGCTCATGGATTCCTGTCGATGATCTGGCTAGCGCTATCGTTGACCTGACCACATTGACATCTCGAGAGGACCTCAGGTTCATCTACAACATGTGCAATCCCTACACGTTCTCCTGGACTGAAGACCTTCTTCCTGCCCTCGCAAAAGCAGGTCTCGACTTCGAAAAGGTGTCGTTCGTTGAATGGCTAGCGAGGCTGAAGAAGTACGATGCCACACATGGTGTGGAGGAAGCTACCCAGACCTGTCCGGCAGTCAAATTGATTGATTTTTGGGAGCAATCATACGGCGGACCCCAGCAGAGACACAACAACCTGGAGTTCGCTACGGACAATGCAGAACGCGATTGTAGGAGCATGCAATCTCCACCCGACGTGATTACGAACGGCCTGGTAAAGAAGATGGTAGATGCCTGGATGTCTACATGGGCTCCTGCCCCGGTGTAGAAGACACGAAATTCTAGACAGGATGGATAGAATCTAAGTGCATAAGAAGACACGCTGTTTGAGGATTGAACCATGGCGTGATTGTCACCAAGCTATTTTATGCACAGGTGTACCTAACATTCTGCATGACCACTTCCTTATCACTCGCCATGGACTGAGTATGATGGTTCCCCCCAGATGAGAAATTGTGGCCGGCGTTTGATTCGTGGTGAAGGTACGACCCGAGTGTTGAACATGACGCGATAAACTTCAAGGTACGTAACGCCGTTGGGAACTTTCGCCGTGTGAAGCCCAGGATGGGCCCCGCATTAGGTGGTCTGGGGCAATGATTCCTACCAGAAATGCCGTCTTGCCTACAGTTGCGGGATTTGTTCGCCGTGACATGACTGCAGGAATGGCATGCACGAGTGCCCATCAATTTTGGGACGGCTGTTTGAGGTGGATGGCCTCATAAACCGCTTGCCTGGTATTGATTTCGACGGATTTCATCAGCATTTCAGTCTGCACATGCTCACTTAGTGCTTCTATGTACAATACTGCGCGGGATGGCCATACGCTCTAATCTTTCGAATGGCGAAGAGCCTACGTATGGTAAGCGGTTACTGCCTCACATCCTTCGCGATGCATCGAAGGCAGAGCCTTCCAAGCCATTGGCGTTGCTCTTCGAAAGTCGAGATCTGTCGAAACCACCAAGAACCGTGACCGCTGCTGAATTACAGGCGGCGGTAAATACTGTCGCCTGGTGGATAAGAGGCAAGTTTGGTGAAAGCAGAGACTTCGAAGCACTTGCATATATTGGGGTCTCAGACCTACGCTACCAGGTGGTGCACATAGCATCCATCTTATGCGGATACAAGGTATGAAGAGGCCCATCCAAATGGCATTGAGCTCAATCGATTCCAGCTGCTCTGCATATCCGTACGAAATTCTGATGCTGGATACGTATCTCTACTGGAGGTCACAAAATGCACCAAGTTTATCTGTACCTCTGAACTTGTCGGACGCGGAAAACAGATGAGAGACCTCGTAAAAGGGCTTCGGCTACACCAGCTGCCGTCATACCAGGAAATTATTGCAACCAAGACAGATGACTATGTTTGGAACAAGACTTTTGCGGACGCAGAAAATGATCCAATCTTGATATGTCATACTTCAGGATCGACTGGTGAGTATTTTTGAAAGTCCTACCATGAATGTGAAATTCATAGACTGCAGGAGCACCAAAGCCGATCACTCTGACGAACGGAAACTGGGCCGTCGTGGACAACCTTCGAAAGATTCCCAAGATCCCTGGGCGGAAAAACCAGGATTGGTCACTATTCAGTTTCGAGGATAGAGATCTTTTCATATCGAGCTTTCCACCTTTCCATGTAAGTACATGCCTTGTTTGTATAACTTAGCATTCTGAAAGAGTATTCGCAGGCAACTGGAATGATTGCTGGCATGCTACCGCTGATGTACAACTCGATCTGTGTGTTCCCACCACCAGACCGGCCTGCTACCGGTGCAATTTGCCTTGGAATGCTGGAGTGTCTGGACCGCCTGAATCTCAGGGTGCGAGGGGTTCTAGTGCCCCCAACTGTGGTAGAACAGTTGATTCTCGAAGAAGACAAGGGTCTAGACTACTGCTCGAAGCTTGACTTTGTCATGTTCACGGGTGGACCATTGGCACCTTCTGTTGGCGATCGCCTGAGTCAGGTGGCGGATATCTGCCAACTGATTGGGTCGACAGAGACTGGGCCAATTCCTGGCGTCGTACCTCGACGGGAGGATTGGGCTTACTTTGAGTGGCAGCCGTTCTACAAGATTGATATGGAACCTCGAATGGACGACGATTTCGAATTGACTATACGGCAAGATCCCAAACTCCGCTGGATAAGGACGGTTGCGCACACCATGCCGGACCAACCAACCTGGTTCTCCTCAGACCTGTATCGCAGGCATCCCGGAAAGTCACATTTATGGCGCTTTCATGGTCGAGCAGATGACGTTGTCGTTCTGTCCAATGGGGAGAAGTTCAATCCTGTGCCAATGGAGGCAATCATTCAAGGCCATCCCTTGGTTAATGGTGCGGTCTACTACGGGCAAGGAAAATTCCAACCGTCATTACTGATTGAGCCAAAGTCAGAGGTGCCTGACAGCTATCAGAATGTATTCATCGACCAAGTATGGCCGATAATCGAAAAGGCCAATCTGGAAGCTCCCCAACATGCCCAGATATTTCGGGACAAGATAGCAATATCTTCACTTACAAAACCGTTAAATCGAGCAGCGAAGGGGACTATTGTTCGGAAACTAACACTCAAAGACTACTCTAGCGAACTTGAAGCGTTATATTCGGACCCTCCTGAACTGCAGCTGGAGCAATTATCTCCGCTGGACGTTCCCACGAACATTGACTCTGTGAGGGATTTTGTCCGGCAGTCATTGAGCGGGCTGAACCAGATACCCACATCGGATAGGGAAGACCTCTTCTCCTTGGGTATGGATTCCTTACAGACTCTACAATTAGTAAAACGCCTCAATGCACGATTTGGTCTTCAATTGGGGCGACATACTGTGAACGCAAAGCAAGTCTACGCTCATCCAACAGTGGAAGGCCTCTCAAGTTATATGCTCGGTCTGTCACAGAGCAAGCAGAATGGCCAGGTCGATGGACAAGATGTGACAAGTGGGAGGGAATCCATCATGACGAGTCTCATAAACCAATACACCAAGCATTGGCGATGCTCGCAGGGTTCTTGCAACACAGTTGTTCTTACTGGTACGACGGGCTCTCTCGGAACGCACCTCTTGGTTTCTCTGCTTTTGGACAAGTCTGTTCGTCGAATATACTGTTTGAACCGCACAGAAGATGCCAAGGATCGCCAAAGGGGAGCATTCCAAAATGTGCAAGCGAATCAGGATGTGAACGATTCGAGACTGAGATTTTGGAAAGTTGATCTTGCACGAGCAAAGTTTGGACTTCAAGAAGATCGCTTTGGCGAGCTTCTACAGGAAACAGACTGCGTTATACACAACGCCTGGAAGGTCGATTTCAACCACAGTGTGAAATCCTTCCAAGGAGTTATCGCAGGGCTTTGTGGACTTGTTGACTTTACAAAACTGAGCCACCGCCGACCACATTTCGTGTTCGTCTCATCAGTGTCCTCCGTGGGCAATTGGTCTACAATCATGGGACATGAAACACCAGTCCCAGAGTCGCCCATGACTGACTGCGCAGTTGCACAACATCAAGGCTATGGGGAGTCCAAGCATATCTCAGAGCAAATCTTGCAAGTTGCAGCAAATGAATTCAGCCTTCGTGCCAGTATACTGCGTGTTGGTCAGGTTGCCGGGCCTATCCGGAGAGGAGGATGCTGGAACAAAGCCGAGTGGTTCCCATCACTAATCCAGACATCAAAGGCTTTAGGCATGATACCAGAAGCCCTTCCCGAGGTCAATTGGATCCCAGTTGACGTCCTTGCAGACATCGTGGTCGACATCATCCATTCACCAGTTGTGGAAAGTCCAGCTATCTTCAACCTGGTCAATCCAAAGCCTGTCCAATGGGCAAGTCTTGTACCCTCAATCCAGTCGAGGTTTGGCGCTGGAAAATTGACGGCAGTACCATTGGATGAATGGATCACGGCAGTTCGGTCCATTGATATGGGAGATACCGACGCTGTGAACGCAGCTCCGGCGGTTAAAATCATGGATTTCTTCGAGGCCATTGCACAGACTAATGCCGTCAGTCCCAAATACACCACAAGCATGGGGCCAGCCATCAGCAAAACCATGGGCGATCTGGGGGCTGTAAATCCAGGTTGGATGGAAATCTGGCTTTCTCAGTGGAACTTCTGAGGCGGCACTCGCGCAGATCAGATGGAAAGGTTCATCGATCCCGCGTCGGCACAAAGGGCATCATGTGGCACGAGGCGAAGCTGTCATAGGCCAACAGCCGACACTGACTCGCGCTATGCAGCGTGGCTAGCATCTAAAAAAGAAAGTTTCTGGCCACCGTCCGGGCCAGCCTTCTCCTTGTCTATGCGGAGAATGGTCTCCGGAACAGCTTCCCCAGGCGAAAACCACATGGCACATCCAGAAACAGTCCGGCCCCAACATCCAACCTTCTCTCTGGGACATCCCCGATGTGATGGCTTCCAGTAATCCTCCTTTCTGGCACGCTTACCAGGAATCGGCTTGATCCAAGCGTTTGATCTTGCGCTGGCTCAGTGGTCAACCAGTTGCTTTCACGGTCAGGGTGTCAGTGATGTTAGCCTCGCCAAAAGCAAATAAACTTCAAACGGACTCTGCGAGAACAATCGACAAGCCTCCTCAAAAGCTCTCCCGTGTCTTTCCGGCCCCGCGCATGTACGAGCGGGGTCTGGGGAACTATCCAGTACCTTGGTTTTAGGCGTGTAACTTCCCCCTTGCTGACGCCTGCCGTTTCCCCGCACTGGCTTAATCTACCTCGGGGACTCCCCCTTCGCTCCACGTCCAATTCTGTCGCTTTGCAGTTCTCTACGTTGCAATTGTTGCATTCTAAAAATTCCAGACGTAACTTGACTCTGTTCCACAAGTTGCCATCGAAATGGACGTTTCCACGCCACAGAATGTTTTCGACGACCGGGAGAATAATGCCACGGAGAGCACCGAGAAAACAAAATCCCAACGGCGCCGTTTATCGTCTGTGACGAAGTCGCAAGCGAGAACCTCTAAAACCTTGGCATGCCTAAGTTGTCGTCCCAGAAAAATCAAGGTTGTTTTCATCAGATGCCGCTCACAGTGAAGTCTCATTGATGATTCGAATAGTGCGAGCGTGTGGACGGCGTCTGCGAGAGATGTCGGAGCCTGGAGATCCCCTGCACCCTCCCGGATCGCGATGAAAGAAGAATGTACGTAGCCGTCGTGCCAATCATATCTGCAATGATTTGCGAGGCAATGCATTAATTGACAATGCAGTCGCTATTCCAAGGATTATATCGTGCAGCTTGAGAGCCAGATTGCCGACCTCAGGAGCGTAGTGGCAGATCTGCAACGCCAGGGTCAGCCGCAGCCATCGCCACACATACAACCATCAGCACAACATATACCAACACCTACATTATCGCAGCCACAGAAGCAGCGGCGAATGTCGTCGATGTCTCAGTCGTCGCTTGGACCAATGGCAAGTCTACAGCAAGCAGGGCCACAGCAGTCGCAAGACTCGGACACTTCGACCTCTCCATCTATGGCGACCGAGATCTCTGGTGTGGCAATAGCCAAAGTCGGCACGTCTAGTGCCGAATCTGAGGCTGGCGAAAGCCTCATCACTCGCTTATGCGGAGCCCAAGGGCGACTCAACAGCAAAAACGATGGCCAGCTGCGTTACTTCGGACCAACCTCCAGTCTTCACCTGACCGAAAGTGTCACGTCAATCTTCCGATATTGCAACGATGTCGCAAAGTTTGGTGCCGAGCTTGAGAAGGACATTCCCTGGGCAATGCAACAATATCTTCTCGATTTATATTGGAAATATCAGCACAACGTCCTGCTTATTATCCACAAAGAGGCTTTCCTGGCTGGTATGGAAAGTGGTCGGTCTCCGTACTACAACAATTGCCTACTTCTTTGTATCCTGGTCTCAGCAGCACGCATCTCCGATAGCCCTGAGATCAGAGCTCTAGCAATTGCCGAAGAAGGCAACACGAACGAGACGCCAATTCTTAGAAAGCGCGCCGAAGAAGCCTTGGAGAAAGATCTCCTGAACCCAAGTCTGACAACAATACAATCTTTGATATTGCTGAGTGTGTTGGATTGTTGTGTCTCGAATGACTCCCGGGGGTGGATGAGATCAGGTATCCCACTGCTGCTTTTTACATTTTCAAGATGTGGTTCTAACGACTGCAGGCAATGCTTGCCGGCTGGCATTCGACCTAGGCCTGCATCAAGAGTGGTCTCATTTGCCAAATTCGCAGCTCTCCCCAATCGATCTTGAAGTCCGCCGCGTCATTTTCTGGGCGTGCTTTGGGTTTGATAGGTACGCAGAAGCAGGGTGTTTCACAATCAGTGCTAATGAAGCTCTAGGCTTTGGGGTGTTTATCTAGGACGACCGCCGGTCATCAAGTTGACTGACGTCTTTTTGAAACGTCCAGATCCGGCAGTCTCTTCATGGGATCTAAAGGTCCTTGCGGCGTGGGTGGAGCTGCTCGACTTGGCAGGGCAAGTCAGTGAAAAATTGTTGGTCCAACCTGCAAGTCTTTTCGCAGGAGCAGCCGCTGACTGTAAACAGAAACACCAATACCTGCTTCCAAGACCAGATTGACTGTTACATGGTTGCGTTGCGGAAGTGGGAGTCAAATCTAGACCCCACTATAAGCTGGTTTCCGAACGCGCCTCCGGGTTTATATCAACTCAGGTACACCTCCTCGTGCACATTGCCATATCTTTACTCACACTCTCGTAACAGGATTCAACATTCAGCCTTGGTGATTTTGCTGAATCGGCACAATGCTGGATTTGGCAACGCCGACAAACGGAACTGCCCAGAATCAAATACATCACGCAGAAATTGCATTGAATGTGCATTACTAATCGCAAACCTTGTTCAAGACTACAGTTTGCACCATGGGAATCCCAACACGTTGATGGGATCTTCACTCTACAACATAACCATGGCGGCAACAATATTCGTTGCCGATATAGCCGAGAAAAATCGACAAAATGTCAGCAAAGAACTGACAGCACTTACGGTATGCCTGGAAGCCATGAAAAAGATGGAAAGCGCCGAGATAGTGGCCCGCAACGTTCGCAAAATTGTGCAGACCATCATGCGGGTTTGCGGCGTGCAAAATCAGGGTGACCTTACAACCAATGCGTCTACGGCAAGATCTTGGCAAACGGGCGTAGTCGTCGATCTGCCAACAGCTGAAGACCCAATGACCAGCACCGAGCGAGACATGATGGATTTCAATTTTGATCCTTCCATGCTGGATGCCCTCCAATTTCCTTTCGAAGAGGTGTTGTTGGATCCGCTATCTGCAAACGACTTCTTACAATTGTAATGGTGTTATATGTTTTTTGTACAATACCCCCATGTTCAAAGTACCGATGAGAAAGAAATAAAAGTGTATCCTTTCAGTGTACGTCAGGCTGCATTCTTCGTGGATCAAATTTTACTTCGTACGTCGAAAGCTAGTAGGTGCACCAATGGACCCGGTGCCAAAGACCACAACTACAAGCGCCTTCACGGATACTACCAGTGACGCAATCCTCGATGATGACAGACAAAGCAAAACAACTTTTGGCACAATTCCCCCGACCACGGCCCAGGAGGCTGACTTCGTGAGATGCGGAGATCGTCCACAGATGCGTCCCTTCACGGTGAATCATCTCCGTTTCAAGGACGCGATGAGAGTCTCCGCAGAATGACAAACTCGAAGACCTGCGGGATCGTAGATCTATTGTGGAGTTGCGGAGGTCTGCTCCCAGGTAGCGTGACTGGCGCGAATGTGCTATAGTATGATATGCTTCCACAGTATTGTACGCCTTGTCGTATGTCGTATGCTGCCCAGCTACTCAAGGCGTCTACATAGCTCCGTTGACAATCCTACAATCAATTGCCCAAAACACAATGGGTGTGACCGACTTTAGCAGGCTACCGTCCTTCGACTCTCTCGAGAACAAGAAGCGCTTCTGGGTAGGGTCACCAGCCAGTACCGAGGAAGGCTTGGGTATGCTGCGATACTTGACCCCTGCCCATGTAGCAGATTCAGCTCGGTCCGAGATCATCACTGGTGAGCGAGTCTGTCTTAACTGGGACATGAAGAAGCTTGAAACCCCAGGTAAATAACATGTCTCCGTCCCCTGGAGAAGATGATCAAGTAACCTCAGTCACCCAGGATTCGGTCGTGATGCCGCTCGACACATAATCAAATCAATTCCGAACTATGAAGGCATTGCTTGGGACGATGAATGGCATTTCAATCCCCAAGCAGGTTCGCAGTGGGATGGGTTCCGTCACTTCAGCACGGTCAGCGACGATGGGAAAAGCCGTGTTTTCTACGGTGGCACGACCTCGGAAGAAATCAATGACCCGACCAGCAGCAGAATCTCGATCGGGCATTGGGCCCAAAATGGCATTGCAAGCCGCGGATTTTTAATCGACTATGTCTCTTACGCCGAAAAGAAAGGCATAGCTATCGACGGTTTGGGTGGGCAAAAGATCACACTGGACGACGTTCATGGAATTGCGCGTGAATGTCACATCGACTTCAAAGCCGGCGACGTATTTTTCCTGCGTTGTGGCTTTACGAAGACCTGGGAAGCAATGACCATGGAACAGAAACTTCAATATCGGACTAACACAGCCGAGAAGAAGCACAAACACTCTGGGCTGGAGCAGAGCGAGCGTGTCGTCCGTTTCTTGTGGGAGAATCACATTGTTGCCGTCGCTGGGGATGGGGTAAGTTTCGAAGTTCGTCCAAACCAGGACCAGCAATGGGATTTGCATCACATCCTACTAGCGGGTTGGGGCGTACCTATCGGCGAAATGTTTGATCTAGAGCGGTTGGCAGAACTTTGCAAACGCTTGGGTAGATGGACATTCTTCCTGACAAGCAGTCCATTGAACCACCCACAAGCAGTCTCAAGTACACCCAATTGTATGGCTATTTTCTAGCAGACTCCTAGGCATCCTGACAATGTACATGTTTTATCACCTATATCCGCAATCCTGCACCAGATCTTTCCCTCCGTACTTTCCGTCCATTACAAGCATCTCGGCCTCGCTGCTCAACAGATGCATCTTCCGTCCAGAGTCTTGCCACTGGTTGGGAGGGAGCACTTGGTCCTACGCAACTTCTTCGAGATGTTCACTGCCATCTCTAGGACTCTCCCAAGCGTTGCCGGTCTTCACATCGGGCGCTACTCCATGTTTCTCGGCACCAGAGAGTGCATGACCTCCGATGATCGCAGCGTCCAGTTCCTGTTGCTCTTGTTCTGTGAGATGTGTCACATCAAGGGCCACTTCGTCTCCGAAGAGAGCTCCGACTTCCTCCAAGCTGAGTCCTTTAGTTTCTGGGAACTTCCACACAACAAACGGGAGCATGAGAGAGGTCACGATGATGAATACAAGATAGTATTTCCAGCCAATGCTGTCGAATGCAGTTCCGGCAACGGATGTGTAGACTAAAACGGACATATCGTGAGTATTTACGCTCTCAGTAAGGCATACTTCAAGGTTTCACTTACTGGTAGTCATCAAGAATAGTCCACTGACAGACCAGCCAACGCCTTTGGCACGGATATGAGTCGGGAAAATCTCGGTACAGTAAACGTAGCTGGAGACGTCGATACCAAAGCCGTAGAATGTAACGAAGAGGAACATGAAGAAAATGGCTGCTGCTTGTCCCGATTTGTTTGTGTTTCCGGTATTGGTGTAGTTCGCATTCAGTGCTGTGACTAAAATCAGGCAGCATATGCAACCCGACTGGGCTTTGGTCAGTCTAGAGCATCAACGACTTTGACGGGGTGCGATTCTACTTACTATGCCGATAGTGATGATGCGAATCCGTCCGATGCGATCAATGAGGAGTGCATTGATAAAATTGAGGAATGCGGCCCAAGAATTGTAAACGGCCAGCAACATCAAAGGCGTTGAGCCAGTCACGCCCAGTTTGCCCAACAACAGGACCATGTAATTGGAGATGACAAGTACGCCTGTGCTTTGACACATGGCCTGGAGGTAGAAGCCGTAAAGCATGCGCCTGCCATACTTGCGACTAAAGACCAATTGGATGATACTGGGAGAAGGCTGAGACCTCTCAAGCTCAATCTGTCTTTTGATCTGCACATACTCCTCACGGGCGCCGATATGTTGTGGATCACTAGCGTTGGCATGTAGCCTTTCAAGGACCTTAAGACCTAGTTCTGTCAGTTGAAAGTCTAAATATCGTGCCACACAGGTCAGCCCACCTTGTTCATTCCGACCGGCACTGATGAGCCACCGAGGTGACTCTGGGATGAAAGGACTACCCAGCAGCAGGAGTAGGGGCGCGACAATTTGCAAAGCCAGAAGAAGTCTCCATTGGATTGTCGGATTGTTCTCATAGTAGATACCGAACCCGCACCACGCAGAAACACCCTGGAAGTCATGCAATCAGTTGATGTTTTTGCTGCCGCCAAATCAGATACAGTACTTACGTAGGAAACGCATATGATGAAGCCATGTGAGCCAACTATCCTTCCTCTCTGAGCAGGAGGGGAGATCTCGGAGATGTATGTTGGAATGGCAGTATTGATGAAACCAACTCCAAGTCCATTTAGGCACCGACCGACCAGGAACATGGCAATGTGCACGGCGCCAGCTTGCAATGCTGCAGATATGATGCAGACCAAAGCAATTATCTGGACTGCTCTTTTCCTTCCGAGCTTATCAAGAAGCCAAAACACTGTCCAGCACCCAACGACACCCGCTCCAGCATAGGTGCCATTGCTTGCACCTAGGATGCGACCACCGTAGGCACTTGTAGCTTCGAATTTAAAGTAGGAATAGAACGAGGGTTCGCCGATGACAGAACCGATGATGGCCGAGTTGAACCCATAAGTGAAAGAGCCCAATGCCACAAAGAAGGCTATAGCAAAATTGTACTTATTCGCTCTTGCGCGAACGTGACCCATACTGGCGGTCCGGGAAGTCAGGGCAAAATAATTCCTTGCACTGTTTGATATACGACCTCTTTCTCGATAGGAAAGACATCTTATGGGTTCGCTCACCTTATACGCCATCGTGGTTACTCTAAGCTCGTCGGGCCTCAATCTACGGAGATCATACCCCGTTGGACACGTTACGCGGCGAACAGTGCAGGGTGCTAGAGGGGGAAAAAAGGGGCTGGGACGCCCAAACCTACCACAATATCTGACAAGGGTCGTCACTCACGGCACGGTCAGGCTCTTGCCTGGTAGGCTCCAGCATCCCTCATCTAGGTCTCAGCCATGTTAATCGATATCCACATGTCAGTATGGCACGGAAGAAACGGAACATTGGAGTCTGGACGAAGCAGTTACAGCAGGTCGAACTAGCTGCTGCTCTGTTCGAGGGATCCCAAGATTGATGGTCTGGCTTAGAATGCAATTGCTCTGTTTATTTATGCTAGGAGGGCCGCTCACACGTAGTGAACTCACGTGCACGGTTCAGGCTTGCTTGAGGGACATACATGCCACCCTAAACATCTTTCGTATCGAAGAGCTTGAACACAACGTGTGTTTTAAGAACTCGGCCTGCATCCATGCACACGGCAACCCCACAGCCGTTTACTAGTCACAATTTTCGAGCGGGACAAAATCTTCCCCAGGTTACTCCTCAATATCTTCGGCTGCGGAGATCATCCACCGCTGAGCGCAACATGTTCCCCTTGCGGCGGCCTCTCAGTTCGTGCCATATTTCCGTGCTCCGTCGGAGCTGCTTTGTGGTAGCCCCTTGATCAATATGTACGCACGATGGTTTGAGAGGAACCTTCACTAGTATCTTCATCCGTACCGAAGTGCAAGTACATCATTTGACAGCCCCGGAATATCACACGCGGCTCAGTCGTAGTACGAGGCAGGGAACGGAGATTCTATAGCCCCAGTGGTGCATGCCGGCAAAGACACGCCGCACGACGCATCTACGACATAGGGAGGCCAACACTTTCAAGATCCATGCATGATTAACTACTGAAGAAATCCCTTGGCTAGGTAATGCGTCAATCTGTCATTGCGATGAGGGAGCTGGTGGTCTGAGACATAGAAACCTGAATACGTCTAGCAAACGAGCCCTATCTTGACAAATCATGCCAAATCAGTCAAAATTCTAGGCGTATACGGATTCGCAGTAAGCGTCTCATTCCAATAGCCAACAGGTCAATAACATCATGAAAATTGCATCGTGAAGAGACCTTTAGCGATTGCCACTTCAATGTTCAGTGACTCAATGATTTCCAAGGTCCACACAATACTCCTCACTAGACACATGTAACTAGGCCGTCAACTCAAACCCACGGTAGCCATTGTTCGCAGACTCCCAGATCTTCTCACGGTAGAGTGGCAAGCCTGCCATATAGTTCAACGCTTCTCTGGGCTTACCAGGAATGTTGTCACCGTAATACCATCCTTTGGCCTTGGGGAATAAACCCTTGCCACCCATCTCGAGGGTGTGATCTCTCCAATCCTTCTCTGCTTCTTTGGTCGCATCGATCTTTGTGATATGCTGGTCTCGCATGTGTTCCAAGCACGCCGTGATCCATTCTCCTTGACATTCGGCCGAGGACGGTCCGGTAGCGAATGCTGTGGGCGCCTGGGGACCATACATCATGAACATGTTGGGAAAGCCTGAAGTAGTCAAGCCAAACAAAGTATAACAACCTTGGCTCCATCTGTCCTTGATGGATTGTTTTGGGTCGGTGCCACGAATGTCGATGGCAGTAATGCCTCCGGTGACGCTGTCAAAGCCAGTTGCGGCGACAATGACATCGACCTCGTGTAGAACACCATCTTTAGTCTGGATGCCTGTTTCAGTTATCTCCGAGATGTTGTTCTCCACCAAATCCACGAGGTGGACATTGTCCTGGTTGAAGACCTCGAAGTATTGTCGTTCGAGACTGATTCGCTTAGTTCCGAAAGGATGAGGAGCAACCTTAGGCGCCAAGATCTCCTGGTTTCGTGTGTCTTTGATGCGCTTGATGACACTTTGTCTCCAGTACTCGTAGGCTTCAGCGTTGGCCTCTTCATCGAAGAGGACATCTTGATACGTTCCAAGCCAGAAGTGCAAACCGCCACTCTCGAGCAAAGTCTTATAGAATGCCGCACGCACCTCCGGAGTTGAGATATTGGCATTCTCCTTCCGGAATTCGTAGTCGAAGCCTGCAAAGGTCGTCAACATCATCTGCTTGGTCTCCGCGTACGATTTCTTCCAGACATCGTTCTTCGCCTTGTCGTACTGAGGATTGCTCATTGGCAGAGCAGTGTTTGGAGTCCGTTGAAATACTGTGAGATGTTTCGCAACTTTGGCCGTTTCCTGGATCAGTTGAACTCCACTTGCACCAGTGCCAATGATGGCGACCCGTTTGCCATCCAAGGGCACACCTCCTTGGGGCCATAGCCCTGTGTGTAGCAGATTGCCCTTGAAGGTATCCAAACCCTTCCACGGTGGAATATATGGCTTTGATCCAAAGCCGGTGCACACAACCACAGCTGGTGCGCTCTTGGTCTGCACAGTCCCATTAGTGCGCATTTCGAGGTCCCAATGGTGAGCTTGATCGTCCCATTTCATGCTCTCGATACGAGTGTTGAAGGTGATCAGATCCTCAAGACCCCATACTTTGACCAGGTGCTGGAAGTAGGTTCGTAGCTCAGAATAGTCTGGGAATCTTTGGGACCAGTTCCAATCTGTCCATGTATCGTCGGAAGTCAATTGATAGGTTGGGACGGGTGTATCAACGCGAGCACCGGGGTAACAGTTCCAGTACCAGATTCCTCCTACTCCTTCGCCTGCCTCATAGAGACGGACCTTGAAGCCAGCATCTTTCAGCTTGTGCAATTCATAAATGCCAGAAAAGCCCGCGCCAATGACGGCAATCTCTTGTGCTTGTGCATCCGTTTCAGGACCGATAGAACCCATGATTAGTTTCAGAAGATGAGTGTTCCAAATAATGTTCTGGTGTTTGGATATCGAGATCGACCTTAGAACAGGATCGATCCATCTTTATAAAACCGTGGTTCTTGAAAGATAATTCGGCATTGTTCGTATTGGATACTGGTCTCCGCACAAGGACACCTGATCTTCATGTGTTTCGGAGTTGATTCACCGGTTCGCCACCTTCAGGACAGCAGCCACAAGCCCGGCACATTGTGCTCGCTACAAAGCCATGCTCAACACAGCGATCATGCGAAGAAATGTCAGAGTCATTGAAATGGCAATCGTCGGAAGTATAACGCCCATAGACTTACCACGGTCTGGACAGGTGATGGTTGTTTAGAAAATGGCGACGGTTAACTTTCGTTGGAGTGCCCGATTTGTGGAGGCCGGAACAGGGTCCACGAACCCTGTGCAGTGCGCCCGGGTAACGTTCATGCGGAAAACTACTCCCTGGAAAAGTCGACATGTGACTGGATCTGTTGTCCTCGCGCGCGTGATCAACGCCGGGGTGGTGCTGATGCAACGTCGCGGGTATCGTGTGGTATTGCTCTCCCTGCCATACTTGCGTAGATGACTGGTGTGAGAGTGGCACATCGGGCATAGGGATGACTCTACGGTGTTATTCACCATCGATAAACAGTGCGAGTCTGGTCGGCCTCTCCCACACACATATCAACCCCGCTGCTACCAGACGACCTCTTTGTTTGCCGCGCCGAAGATTCTGTCTTTGGCAAACGCCCCAGATTATCATCAAGCCCTTGTTGGTAGGCCTCTCTTCTTTGACGTAAGCCTCTTGTATCCAAGGTAAAAAATGCGGTCTCACCAACGACAATTCCTGAATTTCATAGATTGGGAACATATCACTTCTAGGGAGATCTGTCTGAGATCCTGGAAATTCCAACTCAAGAAAATACCTTTCCAAGACCGAGATGCAACTCCTGAAGCATTGATGGAGACTTGTCTTTCGGTGCTTTCGCTATGATTCCGTGTGAACCTTCGCTCGCACAAAGACCAATGGGTTGTGAATTGGTGGTTGTCTCATTCATTCATTCCATGCGATATAGCATTGACGTTTTGTACTTCGCGTCGACTTTTCCGGACTCTATCGAAGTTTCAGTCTTTATAGGCTGGAATAGTAGCAATGCGGCAGCCAGACGGTGCTAGATATTGTAAGACCTCGGCTATCTGCAAGGCGGATGTATAGTTTTGGCCGTCTTGCTGATGTTGTGATTTTCGAGTCTGGCGAGATGCATTTGAGCAAGCAATCAATAATTGACTTGTTTATACCATTATACCAGAGAGTCTGCGAACTTGGTCAAGTGGTCGTATGCCCAACTCAAATGCGATCAAGAAGTTCTTCATGGAATAACCTAAAGTCAGTTGTCGCAGCGCTGCAAGTATTCTGTGCTTCGCAACGATAAATACCAGTCGTGGAAGCACGGGCCTGCCGGACGTGTCGTCTCCATCATTGAATTGAGCCGAGACATCTCACGAACTTGTTCTTTTTTTAGGTTGGACGTCATGCTGTGCACAAGGACCCCCCATCATCACATCGTAAACTCGGTATACTCATCGAGGTCAGTCGTGTCCCAAAGATCTGGGATCGTCAATAGCGAGAAAGGGTCCCACGGCTCCAGCATTGTAACATCGTCCTGCACGTTGATGCCACCGGACATATGCGCCCTTGTGTTGTTATTGCTGATTGGATCAAGTGGATCTGGTTGCACTACCATATCCATGCCATAGGTCGATGCCTGCTGGTTGGCATCCGTTCCCTGTGGGACGATGACACAAGGCTCCTTTATAGGCTGGGAAGGCTCGGTGTGTCTGCTCGTTCTGCTTGCACCATCACGATCGCGCTTGCTTCGAGGGTACTGTTTGTCCTTCAACATTTGCACCACTCGTCCGCATTGCGAGAGGCAGATATCCCCCAAATCCCAATTTACCTCGGCCTTGGCTGCCCGAAGGTGCGCGACGAGCTTTCGAGCCGACGATATGCACTCTTTAGTAATATCATCATTGGCAGCCTCGAGACCACAGCGAAGTATCAGAGTTGTCGCAGAGGTGAAGTGATACGCAGTATCTGTCGGAGACCATTAGTTCGGATATACTCCTGAATCGAGCAAAGGAACAGACGCACATGGCAACCAAAAGGTGGAAAAGTCTTCTCCACGAAGCGATATTGTGAAGGTCACAATCGCCCTTGCAGCACGCCGGCACTGAAGCTGCAGATACTGAGGGATCTCCGGATCTCTCTCATAATCAGGTTTACTCGATTCCTGCTGCAACAACATCAGTTTGGTCTCAGAGGTCTCGGAGCTAGGATATTCTCACGAGTAAAGAGACTCTAGAAATGCACATCTTGACTGCGAGAAAAGACAGTTCTAGGTTGAGCGCGCCAGGATGCTCTCTCTGAAAGTCTGGATTTCTTGCGTTCAGCACATCGGGCAAGTTAGCCTCCCAATCTTCTAATGCGGCTTCGACTCGTTTCAATGATCGAGTTTGACTTTCCTGGGCTCTGCCTTTTATGTCGTATATGAAAGGCAGGATGTCCCCCAAGATCTCAGTAAGCTGGCACAAGGCCCGAAAGCTTTGCGCTCCCATTCTGCGGACACTGGATGGCCGATCGACATTTCTGCCTCCTATGATCAAAGCAGCCACATCTGGGATGGGGACATCGAATTGCCTCGGGTGTACATGGGGTGGCGTCCCATGTGCTAGACTAGCCCTGTAGAGGAAGTTAGGATCTCCGCAGTCAACATTCACCAGGCGCTCAGGTAGATTCAGCAGACCTACCACCAATCATGGATCAACACTCCCCACCACGTCCTTATTCGGAGCGCTTTCTGCCTTTGATCGAGACTCCAAGACGTTGGATCCCGATTGAGCCCCAAACTTTGAGACAACGCAACAGCCCGACCGATGTTGATAGCATTGTATGTCATTGAAGTTGTGGGGCGCCCTGTCAGGTCCAATATACAAGACAAGACAGTCGAAAACCCTGGAGCCAGAAATTCCTCGTTGAGCGCCTCTACGGTCTTGTTCCAGACATACTTGATGTCTGGTCGAGTCGGTCGAGCATCCACAAGTTTGGATGATGTCTGCCATGAGATCATTGCTGCGGCATAGATCTCGCAAACAAGGACATGGGGTAAACCCTTCTTACGGTATGAGTCCAGAACCGTCTTTTCATCCAGAACGGGAAAGGCTGGATGGAAAGACTGAAAGAAGCTTTTGCAGACGCATAAGTCAACGGCGTCCGAAGATAGAAGGGGGACTCACAGGTCTACCACATCAGCTCCATGAGGTTCTAGAATTTTCTCCACAGATTCGTATTGTCTGAAGCCTGCGGATCCATTGCCTTTAGAGCTAGGCACACGATGGCGAGGAACCTTCAGGTAAACAATAGGATTTCGGAAGTCGCTAGAGTATACCGTGTAAGGGTTTGGTCGTGCGTGTGATATTGGCATAGCAGCTGAAGGCGACATGTACTGTTCCAGTACTTGCACATCAGGAGCTGCCACGGGGCCAATGATATGCCCTGAGTGGGTATGGGCGTCTCCACCAACGCCGTCGCCATCGTTGCGACTTGAGTCAGTGCTGTCGTCAACGACGAAGTCTGGGTGGTGTTGCGCCACTGGCCCTTGCGTTACAAACCGTTGTCGAGAACTTGGTGTCCGTTTCGAACGGGGGGTGCGTCGATCCCCACTATCAGGGACACTGGTGTTGTTGCTGCTGCTCACATGGCAACTAAGGTCATGTTGCCGGCAAAAATGGCAGGCTTGGTCATCGAGATTCCTTATGCATCGTGTTTTCCGGCGTCGGCAGATGTCACATGCCGGATAGCGGTGGGATCGATAAGGCCTTGAACTCTCTGACATCCCTACATGGGCCTGGATGCCGGTTGGGGAGGTGGGCATCCTCGTGTGTAGAGCATCTGATAGCGTGCAAAGTTGGGAAAAGTCAAGTTGGATCCCAACGGAAATCGAGATGGACGTTTGCCGTGATATAAAGGTTTTCCGACATTTGACGTCGGGTCATCTCTTGGCGCTTGGGGCTTAGATACTTTTCCGAAGCAAGGACACATCGTCATCATTCTCCTATCGTCATCAAAAGAACTGACCGGGGCATGCTGCTTGACTCAGCTCAAACTGCATCGCGTGCCCATTCGCCCGATTGCTACAACCATTGAGCAGCAATTGCGACCAAATGGAAGACAGCGATGCTATCAACAACGCATCGGACCATGCGGGAGCGTCTCGAATCCCTGGATTCCCGTCACGCTTCAGCCTGGTTTGGAATACGTTAAGCGACAACGTCTGCCAGCAGGGAAAAAGAGCTTTGTTAAGTGCAAAGGACTTCATTGTGGCCATATCCAATGCCGAATTGTCATTCCTTATCACATCGAGGAATAAGCATTGAGAGCGAGCTGTCCGCCCAGGTGTGCATATAACACGTTACTTCCTACGGGTATTTCTTTCTTTCGAATCATGTCCATCATGCCCGCCAAACTCTTCCCCTCATATACCGGATCAGTAATAAAGGCTTCCGTTGACGCTCCAAATTTGATGGCGTTGATGGTGGTTTGGTCTGGTATACCATAGCAGCCGGCATGGTAGCGATCGTCAAGGATGATATCCTTTTCTGTGATATCGTTTTCCTCAAGTCCAATCTTGATGCCGGTGGCCTTCGCAATGCGGAGAACTTGGTCAAATGTTTGTTGGACCTTGGCCGATGCGTCAATCCCAACTACTTTTCGAGGCTTGGAGCCGTGCTTTTGTGCCAGCTTGAAGCCTGCCACCATACCAGCCATGGTCGAACCAGTAACCGCACAGACAATGATGGTGTCGAAGAAGATACCTAGCTCTTTCTCTTGCTGCTCAACTTCAAAAGCCCATCGGGCAAAACCCAGTCCTCCCAGTGGATGGTCCGATGCTCCAGCGGGAATATAGTACGGTTTTCCACCCTTAGCGATGATCTCCTTGGTCAAATTGGCTAGAGTGTCCTTGTGCTCGATACCGAACGGAGATGGGTCGAGACGTGGATTCGCTCCCATCAGACGGGAGAGCTGAATGTTGCCGACCTCTGTGTACACAGGATCACTCCAATCTACCCATTTCTCCTGCACCAGTGCGGCTTTCAGCCCCAATTTTGATGCCACTGCAGCAACTTGTCGGGTATGATTCGATTGCACACCACCAATGCTGGTCAAGGTATCGCATCCTTGAGCGATGGCTTCGGGTGCAAAATATTCGAGTTTGCGGGTCTTGTTACCCCCAAAGGCCAGGCCAGAATTGCAGTCTTCGCGCTTTGCATAGACGTGCACTTCTCCGCCCAAGGCTTGTGATATCCGAGGCAGTGCCTGAATTGGAGAAGGTCCGAATAAGAAAGATTCCCTTGGAATGCTAGCAAATGGTTCTGGCAGATGCAACCCAGAGCTGCTTGTTCCTTTCCTTTGAAGCATGACGGCTGTTGATAATGTCGACGTGAAATTGACAATGTTACAGCAGAAAAGATCAGAATTGATGTTTATAACCATCACACTTTCGCTTCCTGCTGATACCACATGGAGAACTCCTACGGAAAAGACACATGCCGAAGTAACTTTGGGTGGCGTTGCCCGAACGAGGACTTTGCCGACGCATGTCTTGCGAAGCTTCCCGAGTTTTGCAGCATTTCCCCGAAACCAGCTTTTGGTTAGGCGTGTCCATCGAGTCGCTCATCTTTCTGACACCGGTGGAGGCTCAAATCTTGGCTCAGCCTTGGGCAGCTACAGGCCTGGGTATCACAGTTGTGCATGCCGCCGGAGATTGATCTACCACCGACAATGAACAAAACACATGGGCAACAACCCTCGCCGAGAGTAGCCGACAGCTAAGCTGGCTATCGCAGTCAACGGCAACAAATGTGTTTGTGGGTATGCAGGGTTTGATTCTGTTTCGAGTCATCTTGTGAGATGTCCACTACGAAGATATGCGGGTACAAAGTCTGCACGAGGGACGCAGATTCGAAGTCACTGGCTGTAACCACCAGCACGAAGACCTGTCATCCAATACCTCGAAGCCGCTGACCTAGCGCATGCTCGACATGCCCCGACACGACAGAGTACATCAGCACTGACCAGCGCAAAGAAGCGGTCTCAATTTCATCATTGTCCTCAAGTGCCTTGAATGCGACCCCAGAGCTTGAAATAGGAGAAAACGAAGGGCAAGATCTGGATCGTGACTGCAGAGAAAAGGTCATTGAGATCCTGCCTTAAAGGGCCACAACGACGTACACCCCGCTTGCTGCGCCCGACGGCGGTACCCTAGCCTGGACGCAACTTGCTATGGCTCATTTGGTGGTTATCAACACGTGGGGAGTCATCAATTCCTTCGGTGTTTTCCAGACATACTATGTCTCAACACTAAAAGGAGCATCTGCGGATATCAGCTGGATCGGAAGTATGCAAGTATTCTTCCTTTTCTCAATTGGGGTATTCACTGGTCGTTGACCGACGCCGGATATTTTCGACCAACATTCGCTCTCGGATCACTATTGGCCGTTCTAGGTAGCTTTCTCGCATCCATCTCTACCACCTATACTCAGTTGTTCTTCACACAAGGCGTCTGTATAGGTATCGGAATGGGCTGCTTGTTCTGCCCAATAGTGGCTGTTGTGTCAACATACTTCCGTTCTCGAAGAAACCTTGCCATGGGAATCGCCATCAGCGGCTTGGCTACCGGTGGCATCGTTTTTCCGCTTATGGTCCGCGAGCTGCTGCCTCGCCTTGGATTTGCCTGGACAATGCGGTGCTTAGGCTTTGTCCAGCTAGCAAGCCTTCTGATTGCCAATGCCTTCACACGGACCCGGGTGCCACCGAGGAGAGCTGGCCCTCTCATCGAGTGGAATGCGTTCAGAGATCCTGTCTTTACCTTCTTCGCGCTCGGCTCTTTTTTTGTAAGTGGTCCTTCAATCGCGCTGGTTACTCTTCTGACCATGATAGAACTTCTGGGGTGTTTACTTTGCATTCTATTAGTAGGTCCTCCCTCACTCTGCGCTGATCCTCTCGAGCGATGTACTCTGATATGAGCTCTGACATATCCTACGCATCGGATCGTACAGGCGTAACATCATTGGCCTCAGCTACCCGCAATCGATCAATCTGCTGATGATCATTAATGGAATTGGAGCCATTGGTCGGATAGTACCAGGGCTGGTCGCTGACCGCTGGTGCGGACCACTCAACGTCATCAAACCAGCTACAGCCGTGTGTACCGTTATGCTTTATACTTGGAGCACACGAATCACTGCTTTGTTTTTCGATGAGGTGATATTCGTAGCTTTCTTCTGTCATGTTTCGCAGTACATGAAGGTGAAATTCGGTGGATATTATTGTCGTCATAGAACCACTGTTGGAAACGCTCACATCGTCGCCATACGCAATTAGACCAAATTGGAGACTTCTTCCGTCTTGTTATCTCAGGTTACCATCTCTCTTACTGACCACAAGACCCAGGTAGTCATTCGATGTTGAGAGACTGTGGAAAGCAGGAAGGCTGCCTTCGTCTCTCAGATCTGTGAGGAGAACATATTGGTCCTGGGTATAACCATCGGGGCGTATTGTTGCAATATGAAGGTCCTTACCAGTAAACACGAAGTTGTGTGAAGGAAGGGAAATTCTCCGTCAATAATCGATCTCAAAAGCAGATTCATGGTCACAATTGGGTCTGCACTTTGAGTTGAGTTTGGAATGCCAAATGACAAGCCGATGTCTCGTGCCTGCACGATAAGATATCGGAAAACCACGTAGATTATCATTTCCTGTTCCCCGAGATCATCGGCAGCCAGGAACAGCCCCAAAACTAATCTTTCGGGGACCCCTAACTTAATCCAACAATCCGAGCATTCGAACCGAAGCGGCAAGCACGTCATGGGCGGTGCTTTGGCCGAGTCATGCCTAGGCTCCTTTAGCAGACTTCCATTGAACGTTCTCCATGGATACTTGGGTATCTATGCTTCACTATTGTATACAAACATAAACAAACAACACAATATGGGTTCAATGCCAGTACACGCATCATCATCTCGGCCTTCGGTGAAGCTACGACAGGGTACCGTGGTCGGCATTACCCAGATTGAATCGGAAGCAAAGCCTGTAGAAGCATTCCTGGGCATCCCATATGCTCTCCCTCCAGTGAGTGAACTTCGATTTCGTCCAGCTCTGAGAGTGGAAACATCGTCAAAAGTCGTCGACGCATCCACTTATGGTCCTGCGGCGCCTGGAAAGCCTCTTCTCATCGCGGGGCCCAAGCTTGAATACAGCGAGGACTGCTTGACCGTGAATATCTTTCGCCAGATCCCGCAAGGCTCAAATGGCCGTCTGCTTCCCGTTGCGATTTACGTCCACGGCGGTGCCTTCAACCGTGGGAGCGCCTCGATGCACAACACTTCTTCCATGGTGGCATGGTCAGAACAGCCGTTCATTGCCGTGTCTTTCAATTACCGAATCGGATCCCTCGGTTTTCTCCCGTCTAAGTTGAGCGCAAAAGAAGGGGCGCTCAATCTTGGTTTGAAGGACCAGATATTATTGTTTGAATGGGTCCAGGAAAATATTGAAAGCTTTGGAGGAGACAAAGGCGATATCACCCTTTTCGGACTCTCTGCCGGGGCTCATTCAGTAAGTCAATCCAGACGAGACGCGTGTTCGCACTCAGCTTGGCTAAAACTGCATCGCAGATAGGTCATCATCTCATGAGGCACACTGATGAAAACCCGGGGCCTTTCCACCGAGTGATCATAGAATCTGGTGCGCCAACTTCAAGAGCCGTGCGTGCCTTTGATGCCGAGATTCATGAGAGACAATTCCGAGAGTTTTTGGATGAGGTTGGCTGTCCGAATGACTTGGTCGAGGAGGAGGTCTTTCCCTTCCTGCGGTCGCTGCCCTTGGCCATCATAATTGATGCCCAAAACGCCGTCTTCGACCGGTATAATCCGTCGCTACGCTGGGCGTTCCAGCCTGTCATCGACGGCGAGGTGATCCCACGTCGACCGATCGACAGCTGGCGCTCAGGCAATTATTACAAAGTGCCCATCATGACCGGTTTCAACGGCAACGAAGGATCACTCTATGTGAACAAGAAAATGGCAACCGACGAACAATTCCGCCAGTTCTTCCACACGCTTTTGCCCCAACTGCCAATCTCGGATGTCGAAACCATTGCACAGAAATTATATCCTGATCCGCAGCAGTCTGGAGATCTGACATATCAAGAAACCCGGCAAGACTCAGCTGTTGGGCCTCAGTACAAGCGCATTGAGGCGGCCTATGGCCAATATGCCTACGTTGCACCTGTTCGTCAGACGGCCAATCTGGCTTCGCGGGCCCAATCTGAACCTGTTTATCTCTATCACTGGGCTCTGCCAACGAGTGTGATTGGAGGTGCCAGTCATGCCGACAACATGCGGTACGAAACTTATGGCTCCGAGATCCGGTCACTGTCAGAGACTCAGATGACGATATCTGGTATGCTTCATGCGTACATAACCAGTTTCATCTGCAACAAGGGCGAGCCCAACGCGATAGCTGGTCGATTTGCGCATAGACCAAAATGGGAGACCTATGTGGGGGACCACGAAATTCCCAGGTCGATGATCTTTGGAAAGAACTTACACGAGCTCATTGGTGGTGAGAATCATGGTGACCCAGCCCAATGTATTTACGATGAATGGGCTATGGAGCAGTGCCATTTCTGGTGGGACAAGGTTGAATTAACGCAACAATAAGCAAGTGAGAGTGGCCAGTGGTCTAAGTTAGAATGCACCCTAATAAAAGGTCGAGATCCTGTGATTACCAGGTACCTCGTAGCTGTGAAGGCAATTTGGCTCCGATTCCGTTTTGATTGCACAATGGAACATGCCTTATCTTTCATCTTGTGGACGGATTAGCGTGCAGATTGGTTGAAGTGGCCACAGAAGACTGCTGAAATACTGACTGAAACTGGTTAGGCTGGGGCGTGCGTTTTGGCTTGCTTGGGGCCGGTTAGCTTGACAGCTGCGGTGATGAGCCTTGTGCCGTTATCGCCTCTTCAGTGGCGACCATTCCTGACTTCGGACGAAGACGTTGCCTTAATCTAGAAGGCCATTACGCATCAGCCATTGTGGAAGGAGACATCCGAAGTGAATTCTGGCCTCGACGCACTTCCCAAATATTGCGTTTCGAGCTAATCATTATCGGGTAGATACAGTACCCGGTTTAGGCGCAACGGCTGGCATGATATCAGTGCCAATAATAGCAGGGAATATCACGGAAGCATGTTCACCACCGGTCGTTATTTTATATCCAGCAGATTTGTTTCGGTAGACTGCTTGTCAGACGTTGGATCAAGAAATCTTTTCGACCATCTCCCTTCGGACCACCTTAATTTCTTGCCCAAGTGTCTAGCAGTGCTACGATGGCGATGTTCTACCTCCTGGCGACCTTATGCGTTCTGGCTTTTTTTCTCTACAAAGTTGTCGTCTATCCAGCCTTTGACTCGCCGCTTGCCAAAATACCGTTTGCGCATTGGTCATGCGCTTTCAGCGACGCCTGGATTCTGTGGATGAGATGGACGCAGCGCGAGAACCAAGAGGTTTATAGGTTGCATATGGAGAAAGGTACGGCTGTACGGCTGGCCCCTAATCTTGTCAGTATCAACTGTTTCGACGATGGCCTGAAGACCATCTACCAGGGCGGCTTTCCAAAGCCGAAATGGTATCTGTACGCCTTTGCTGTTTATGGGTAAGTCTCTCATCAGCTCAGACGAGTGTCGGCTTTGGCAGGCACTGACCGTTGATGACAGTGTTGGAAATCTGTTCACTATCCAAGATAATGAGACGCATTCAGCACAAAAGCGCATCATGTCTCATACGTTCTCCAAGTCCTTCATTATGGCGTCGCAATCAGCCCGAGCCGCTATTAACGAGACTCTGTTCCAAAGGGTTCTCCCACTTCTCTACGAAGCTGCATTATCTGACAAGGCCATCGAAGTGATCGAGTTCAACTACTCCTACTATCTCGACACATTTGTGCAGTGGCAATTCGGACGATCGCTTCGCAGCAATTTGGTCGAGAATGAGGAAGAGCGAAGGTTGTACCTGGACGGCTTCTTTGGCATCTCAAAATTCACATTCTGGCAGTATTACTTTCCCCATTTGTCAAATGCTCTTCGCAAAATCGGTATCTACCTGATCCCCAAATGGGTTGATGCTGGTTTCCAGGAAGTCGAGGACTGGAATATGGCAAAATGCGACAAAGCTCACCAACTATTGGCTACGGAACAAAACATCTCGGAGGAAGACCAGCCTCTTCTGTTTCGACAGCTCCTGAAGGGCGTAAGCAGTATCAATTCAAAACCAAAGCAATACCCACGACGATTAGAGGTCGCTAGTGACATGTTCTCCCTAAACTCTGGTGCATTCGAGACAAGTGGAAACACATCGACATATTTGTTCTACGAGATGTGCCGGCATCCGGAATGGCAGGCAAAGCTTCGAGAGGAACTGCTGTCATTGAAGATGCCCTTGAAACATATCCCCGGGAGGAATGTAGAGGTGGAAGATATCACACAGCCTAGATATGTGGACGAACTGCCAATCCTCCACGCGATTGTCATGGAAACTCTTCGACTGTGGCCCTCGGTACCTGGTGGACAGCCTAGGATCGTGCCCCGATCGTGCACATTGGGTGGGTATGAAAACATTCCAGCAGGGACAGTCGTTCAGTGCTATGCGTCAGTGTTGCACAAAACGCCCGAGGTCTTTCCCGAGCCTCATACCTGGAAGCCGGAAAGATGGCTGGATGCCACACCTGAGCAACTGGCTTTGATGAACAGATGGTTCTGGGGGTTTGGAAGTGGTGGCAGGGGATGCATTGGTAAAGCTTTTGCTATAAACTGTAAGTGTGCCTTACTGCCCTGATGGTGACTTTCCGGCAAGTCTACTGACCTCGATTTTAGCTATCAAATACCTGTTCGGTGGTGTTTATACCAACTTCACGACTACAATTTATGACCACGGGGACATGACCCCGGTCGATAACTACCTAGCAGGTCCCAAGGGCCACAGGCTCGAGGTGAAGTTTAGTCTAGCAGAATAAAGGGGAACAAAATACTATTTTCTTTCCGTTGGATATCTTTCCTCACTTATTCCCATGGCTTTCTCCACATTGAACCCTGATATCAGACCTCGTTTGTATTGCGCGACCATTTCTTCAAATGTGCACCACTCAACACCGTCAAATCCATTGACCCACTCAATCAGTCTCTGGTGCATCTTGATAATCTGCGGTGTCCCACTGATCTGGGGATGAATGCTAAGAGGAAAGACAAATTCATCGTATTCCTCGTAGCAGTACTCGAAGTGCTCTTTCCACATCTTTTCGACGACGTAAGGATCAATGAACCCATTACTGCTGTTGTCACCTGGGGAGAACGGAGGCCAGTCGTCAAGGTGCCAATTTGCAGGAACAGTGACAAGGGTGGAGATTTTGGGATTGGGCATGCGTTTCATCCAGTCACTGGCGTTTCTGGTCGAGTTGTGGTCACCCTGGTAGGCCGTTGTGACGGCACCGTAGTCGCTGTAAGGAGTCATGTACAGTTGACAGTCGTGATGCATAAACGAGTGGTCGTATTGTATGCCCATCTCTTCAAGGAGATGTACGGTTCGAGAGGATGTTGTGAATGCTGGAGCCGTCCATCCGGTGGGCTTCTTGCCGGTGAAGGCCATGAATACATCTATGGATTTTCGGAGGACGTCGCGTTCCTGCTGTTCGGAGAGTTGTGAGACATACTCGTGGCTGTATCCGTGGAAGCCTCTGGAAAAGTAATCAGCATCACGGTACACCGCCGACATGTCCATCTTCACCCATACATTTCATGACCGCCGTCCACGATCCTCGAAACTTGCACAGGAAATGTCTCAAGGGTATGTGCTGGAATGTACCACGATGCCTTGATATTATGCGTGGCAAGAAGTTTGAGGAGACGATCAACGCCAACCAGTGCCCCAAACATACCACGAGATATTTCGACAGGGTCAGCCCTTGACCCATCTTTGGTGTCAATCCTATCACTCCGTCAGCCAAAGGTTTTCCCCCGAGGCACCAGTTGTGATTACCATCCTGCCACGGCATCAACATCGATGCCGTAGCCGACGAGGACCTTCTTCATGCTTGATACCTTTGTGGAAAGTCTACTGCGGCCTGGAGGCTTTGGCGTCGCAATCACATTTACCAGTGCAAATATGTGTACGAGAGCCAAATATCACAGCCTATGTTCGACCCCGGATTTGACTGCTGTTTAGGCTGGAAGCTCGCATGGCCCGGGCCAATGCCACTTGAAGAAGCACCTTGACATATGGAAAGACAGCTCATCAGCCTGCCTAATGCGGAAAGCCCATGCGTGGGATAGCTTTCGGAGATTTCCAGGTGGACAACGATATTTATGCAGGAACATGTCATAGTCGTGCTCAATGTCTGGGTACTACATGCCTTGTCATGGCCATCACAGACTATGCACTCGAACTGTCCTCTACAACCAAGTTGCACCTCACATGTCAATATCAAAATGTTGGAGGTTGAATGCAGAGGTTCTCCAAGGCAAATTGGCATACAACACGGAAGGGCAGCCTCCAAGCAGATCAGTGGAAGCATTGCCTTCTATGCAGATCTTTTTAAGAAGTACACCGGCAAGACTTGGGACGATGTCCTTCCAATTGCTCAGACATTTGCCAATAGTATACTGCAAAAATGGCCCAGCTATTTTCAGGAAATCGAAGGGATAGCTCACGGATCTGGCAACGATACTCTTGACATAATCGCCCTCAATGTTAGAACCGAGATCGCTTTCGGGCTACTATCCGAGAATCACAGAAGTGATGGATGCACGACGGTTTCTTGGGCCTCTTGCGGCCAATATTTCCTTGGACAGAACCGGGACTGGATGGAGGAACAGAAGCAGAACCTTCTCCTGCTCACGATAGTGTCGGATGACGCTCCAACCAAGAAGATGGTCACAGAGGCCGGCATACTAGGGAAGATTGGCCTCAATTCAGCTGGGGTGGGAGTTTGCCTGAACGCCATCAGGGCCCGTGGATATAGCGACACACGCTTGCCGGTCCACCTGGCCCTGCGCGTGGCACTAGATGCAAATTCGGCGGCAGAGGCCGCAAAGACACTGGAGGAGACTGGTGTGGGAGGCGCTGCTCATATACTGGTTGCAGATTGTCAAGAGACAATTTCGCTGGAGTTCACATTTGAGAATTGTATCAGACTGCTACCGGATGAGAGAGGCGTCCTTTTGCACACCAACCATATGCGGGGACTGCACAGGAGCATTGACGAATCGCCCGAAGAAGACTCTTTCGCCAGGATGGAGAGAATACAAGTGCTGACAGATGAGGTTTTATCCAGCCGTGAAAAGTTGTCACTGCACGAATTTGCAGGGCTTTTTGATGACCATGACGGATTCCCACAGTCGATATGTCGTTCACAACAGGAGCCCAGCGAGGATACTACTGTCTTCAATATTGTGATGGACCTTCAGCTGAAAATAGCTCGAGTGAGACTGGGGAGACCGTGCTGCGTTGAAAATGAATACATTCTGAGCTTCCAGGACTATTGAATATGGAGACCAACAGATAGCCACAATCATATTGAAAGTAGAAACCGCTAAGGTAGCAAGATATTTATAGTGTCTGTGCGATCCTATGCTGAGGATACTTAAGATTTTGTATTGACTCAACGCTTTTCGATCCACAGCCGATTTCTATCAGCATAACATCCAATTCTAACTTCCTGCATCCACTCGTAGTTCTCTAGCACGTAGTTCTCCACCACGATCTCAATGGACGTTGACCAAACTACTCATTTGCATAGGCTGCTTGGACTTGGATCTCGACCAAACACTTCGGTGGGAAAAGGGCGGCGACACAAATAGCAGCCCAGGCTGGCTTGTTCTTCCCAAGGTACCTGCGTGCTACTGCGGCAATTTCGAGCTGGTCTTCTTGGGGAATAGATCCAACATGAAATGAAGTGATGTTGAAGACTCCTTCCCAGAGCTCAGTGGGGCTCAGATTTGGCGATGCAGCAGCCAGAGACTTCTGAATGTTGTGCATTGCGACATCAAACTGTTTTGCGTGGCCACCATCGAACTGCTGGCCATCAGCCCCGTTCGGGTTGAAAGGTGAGTAGTCGCTGGCTTCACCAATTTGGCCTGAGGTTGCCACTATGCGTGCATCTTTGGCTTGGAATGATGCTGCGGCGCTGATGTTGAAAACATTGCCGAGGACCTCGTATCCAGGGTAATCGTGGTTCTTGATGAAAGCCATTATTGCTGCAAAATGAAAGTCGATAGAATGAATACTTCATAGGAAGTCGAAATAGAATTATAGGGACATTTTCGCAATCTTTAGGTGCACTTACGACTCGGACAAGTGCTAGGGACGCTTGCCTAGCCGCTGGACAGCCAGGCTCAATCATTCCCCCAACGTGGTATTTGCAAGTAGGCATGCATAATTGGCCAGATTGCCTCTTATCGGGACCTGGACTCAGCAACCACAAGCCGCTTCTTTGGAGAGAAACCCCGTACCAACCACGAAGCGAGGCGGATCAAGGACTAATTGACTCGGCGTTGATAAAGAAAGTCAATATGGGGGGTTGATTAGCCAGATTTGGACATTATCTGAGCAGCCCAGGAAAAGGGTTCAGCTGGTTTTGCCCTCCAGACCTCCTTTTCGCCTTGTCCGACCCGCCAGCTTGTTGCGCAGATCAATCCCAAGACAAACCAGTCAATGCTAATGCTATCTAATACAAATTAGTGCTTCTGAGAGAAAGAGACCCTGACATAAGAACGAAATGCCCGATAAGTGTCAGCAACAGGTCTATTACCTCGAACTCCTTCTCGAGTATATGTTATCGACAGGCTGCTCTTCTGTCAGGCGAGATTTTGATCTCTTTCAACCACAGCTCTCCTGATCCGCAACTTCCAAACCATGAAAGAGGACAAATTCCTTGCAGACATGACGCAAGTCAACACAACTCCAGAGCAAGCTGGCGGCTTATCGGAAGATGAGCTTCAACTTCGAGCACAAGGTCACGTAGGAGAATTACCGCGTCAGTTCGGAGCATTTGCGACACTTTCTCTGGCCTTCAGCATCACCAACTCGTGGGTTGGCTACTCTGCAGTATTTGCCACCCCATTATTTGCAGGTGGAGGTCCGACAGTATTCTTCGGCCTGCTTGTCGCTACGATAGCGTGCAGTTTCACTACAGCTGGCCTTGCCGAGTTGGCGTCAGCTTTCCCTTCCAGCGGCGGTCAATATCAGTAAGTCTAAGACACCCGCAGTTCACACTCGATAGATTTATCGAACCCTCCGTGCTGACTTATCTATAGCTTCGCTTTCATGGTCTCGTCTCCCTCGAACCGGGCCGCTATAGCATTCACGGTCGGCTGGCTGAGCGTCATCGCTTGGGCCTTGACCACAGCCTCTGCAGCAATCTTTTGTGCACAGGTCATCGCAAACATGGCGTCATTTCTACACCCCGATTATGTCTGGACCCAGTGGCAAGTCTATTTGATCTACGTGCTACTATGCATCATCGCTGTTGCCATCGTCATCGGGCTGCCTCGACAAATCCCCCATTTTGAGATGGTGTCCTTTACGCTGTCCATCGTTGGATTTCTGGTATTCTTTATCGCGGTCCTGGCCGCCAGTAAGGGAAAACAACGTGCTTCTACTGTCTTCACCGATTGGTATAACCAAACCGGATGGAGCGACGGAACAGCATTCCTCCTTGGAGTGGGTACCTGCATGTACACCTACCTGGGAGTAGACTCGTGAGCAACCCCAGAAATGATGTATATGTTCAAGTACTGATTCTTATCTTCATCTAGGAGCGCGCACGTTGCGGAGGAGATGCCGAATCCGGGCAAAGGCGTGCCGCAAGCCATGGTATTAACGATGTTAATTGGCTTCCTCACCGCCTTCATGTGGACTTTGGCTTTCATGTTCTCCTCCACCGACCTGGACGCGGTCTCGGTATCGTACCTGCCGATTCTGACCGTCTACGATCAGGCACTCCGCTCAGAAGCCGGCGCAGCCTTTTTCGCTGCTTGGCTCTTGTTCATCTGTAAGTCCAAGATCCGCTGGCGAACATGCAGGTGTTTTTGGATATGAAGGCCGTAATTTCAAGTATAACATTTTCGGAGCATGCTGACAAGGTTCTGCAGACTATGGGGCAACCATCAGCTGTTTTGTCACTGCTGGTCGACAGACCTGGGCATTTGCAAGAGACAATGGACTTCCGTACAGCAACGTGTTTGCCAAAACCCATCCAACATTGCAAGTTCCAGCAAATGCCACCATCGCCACCCTCGTTTTCTGCCTCCTATATGGATTGATTTATATTGGATCGACTACCGCGTTCAACAGCTTCATATCCCTATCAATCCTTGGACTCAACCTCACTTATATCATACCACAAGCAGTGGTGGTCATTCGAGGTCGAGATAAAGTCCTGCCGAAACGACCCTTGAACCTTGGACCGGTCTTTGGCACATTCTGTAACGTTTTCTCGGTTGTGTGGATGCTGTTGTTTAGCGTCCTGTTCTGCTTTCCTGTCTTTCTACCGGCCACGACTCAGAATATGAATTACCTCAGCGTCGTTGTTGTTGGACTCGGTATATTTGTCTTTGCTCTCTGGTGGGGCGGGAAAAGAAAAACCTTCACAGGACCTCATATCGACCTTGCTGGCCTCGAGGTGTTGAGCGACTTGACTCCGGGACGCACTGCATCTATTGGTACGACTGGGGCACAGCGAAAGGAGGCTCAGCAAAGCCCACCTAGTATGTAGTAGCGGAGGCTGGAAGTAGATCTTGCTCCCGCAAAATAGCATTACTTTTACATCCGTCGCACACTTGGTTGACGTTGTAACTGGTCGTAGTAAATTTTTAACAGCAGCACACTGCGGCATGCAAGGCAACAGAACACGTAAACTACGAGTCCCAACGACATGTCTTCCTGTGAGGGTGCACATTGTTTCGTGCTCAAAGTGTGAATGTCCGTAAAAGAGGTATGGTTTCCGTGCATCGTTCAAGGCCTGGCCATGCCATTAACTTGGGTGTGGTCTGGCAACACACAGTCCAGACGTGTCATCTGAACAGGGTCCAGAGACGCAGCTTCCGAAGACTTATTCCTTGTGGCCGAGGATCCAACATACCGGTACAGTACAGTGTCGCTGCAGATCTAGATCTGGAAGATTGTGGTAGGCTGAACTCAAATCGTCGCTAATGCTGGCACATTCAAGCGTAGATATTGACCAGATAGGGAAGCTCGCAGCTCTCCGGCCTGGCCCGGGGATGTCGCCAACATGCCGAAAAATCAGGGTGGCCACACTAGAGATAAGCTGACACTGTGAGCCGTGCGGAGAGATCCGCGACAAGCTCCTGTTGCTGATACTCTATGCTTGGACGTATGCAGCAACCATTCGCAATTATCACGTATGAGAGCAGTATGCGATCAAGTACAGCACAAACCTTTAAGAAGAAGCGGTCTGAAGAGCCCCAAGTTCTGTGATATATTGCAAAAGTCTCAACTTTCTGCCTTGGAAGAAGTCTCGTAAACATGAACGGTGATAATGACTGTTCAATGAAGTATGACTATATCATTTGTGGTGGAGGTACTTCAGGTTGCATAATCGCCTCGACGCTCGCTTCCAAATTGAATGCCTCGGTCTTGCTGGTTGAGGCCGGTAGAGACGCCGGGGTTGCTCCTGACGTTCTCGTACCCGGCAAATATCTTCACCAGCTTGAAACCGATGTTCAAGGCCTTTGGCATTTGCCGACTGTGCCACAGAAGGAGCTGGGAGATCGGTCAATAATGTTTCTGCGCGGCAAGCAGGTCGGCGGCAGCAGTGCGGTGAACTACATGGCGCTTGCTCGTGGTCCGGCGGCTGACTACGACGAGTGGGCTGTTCTGACAGAAGATGATCAGTGGACTTGGAAGAACACCTTGCCCTTGATGAAAGAGCTCGAGGATTTCCGACCTTCAAGACCGCATGGTTTCGAACAATACGCGGAGCCTGACCCTTCGTGCCATGGTCGCGATGGACCTCTGAAGGTTGGCTTCGGCGATGTGATGAGTCCGGGTGTCGAGCTGTTCTTTCGAGCCTGTAAAGAAGTGGGAATTCCAGTCTGCTTGGATAACAATGCAGGCAACCCTGTTGGTGTAGGCCTTGCACAGTTCAATACTCGGGACGGTATTCGATCATACTCGGCGAATGCATTCCTCGGTGAGGAAACACGGCAGAAGCTTCCTAATCTGAAAGTTTTGACCAACACCTCTGTGGATCAGATTCTGTTCCACAACCAGCAGGCCGAAGGAGTAAAGCTATTCGATCATTCGAACGGCTCCACTTCTCAAGTACTGTGTCGGAAGGAGGTCATTGTGTGTCAAGGAACGTTTGGCTCTCCACAGCTATTGATGCTATCAGGAATTGGCCCAAAGGAGACACTGGAGCATTTAGGAATCCGGTGTGTCGTTGACAATCAGAATGTTGGTCAGGGCATGTTGGACCACAGCATCCTCACAATTGAGTATCAGACCAACGACGATATTCCCGCCCATAACCAGGTCTTTGCCAACCCTGAGCTCCTGGCGGAAGCGGATGCTCAATATGCCAAAGACAGGACTGGTCCCCACAACGTCTTTGGAACGAGTGGATCTGTGGCCTTTCCGAAGATTCGACGTCTGTTTGAAAGTCCTGAGTTCGAAGCACTCGACCAACAGAGCAAGAAATTCATGCTTGAAAGCACGAGACCATCGGCCGAGATCTGGCTTGGATCAGGCCCTGCAGCCTTTGACGACGTCAAGCCTGAAGACACATACATGACCCACGAGTTGCTGTTGCAGAACAATCTTTCGAGAGGGAGCCTTTCTTTACAATCGGCAGATCCAAGGGAACTGCCGCGCATAGACCCTCGGTTCTTGGAGCATCCGTTTGACAAGAGAATCGCCATTGAGACGGTGAGAGAAGCAGTGGCAATCGGTCGGTCAAACGCATATCACTCAATGATTCAGCGCATGGTCCATGGGCCAGCAGCCGATGACGACGAAAGTATCCTGCGTTTCATCCGCGCAAACCTTGGGCAGGGTTACCACAGTTTGGGCACTTGCCGAATGGGTCCGCCAACAAAAGACGGCACGGTCGTGGACCAACACTTCAGGCCACTTGGGACTAAGGGTCTTCGAGTTGCGGATATTTCGGTCTGCCCGATCCTGACGTCCAACCACACCCAGATCAATGCTTATCTGATCGGTAGACGTTGTGCTGATGCAATGATACGAGACTTTCATAGCAGCTCATAGATTCAATGGTGGAAGTTGTTGTGACCCTGTCTTGCCAATCACACTGGTACCATACTGCCCAGACCTTCGGAGGTCAACAGGCTCAGATAGTCGAGTCTTTCTTCGCTGGCCCAGACACGTTCCAGTGTGCTCATGACAGTATCGACGTTCCGAAAGCCGCCGCTTCTTTGCATCAGCGCGGCTCGTTCGCGCAACCATTGTTTGCGCCTCTCGTCACGAAACTCCAGACCGGCATGAAATAAGGGCCACAAAATGTTATCTGCCCAGCCAGTGGATGCTGGAGTTGATTTGGAATGATGGAAGACGCTTTGCGTCAACCACAATATCTCGTCTTCGTCCGAAGTCAAATCGAACAGCCTGACCATGTACAGCACTATGGCGTGTCGGTAAGCCTCTGTCACGTGTAGCCAAGATTCTCCTCGCTCCGTGTGCATGGGCAAGCAAAGCACTTTGTGCTTCAGGTCGTATACTTTGGTCAAAACTTCGAGGGAAGGATCGCGAGGATCATCGAGAGACCTGTGTAATTCCACCAGCGTGGCGACAATCTCGAATTGGTCAGGGGGGCACGGAAAGACGTCGTAGCTCCACTCGCTAGAATGCCCCCTCAGTAGTGAGATATCTTTCGAGTTGAACTTGGGCTTCCTTGTGGTGGAAGCCGCTGACATAATGTCCAACCACGCAATGTATTGCTCGACGAAAGCACCAGGTGTTTTCCTGGAGCCGCGAAGGTCAATGAGCTTACGAGCCGCAGTAAAGTGGGCATCGAAGTTCGAATAGCCTCCTAGGCACAGGTCGGTGAGCGTAAGCATCAATATCGTTGCAAGCTTGCTTTCGTCCAAGGCATTCTGTTCTGCCCAGAGTTGTTCCTGTAGCCTCCTCATTGCTTTGCCCTTGAAGCGAAGAGACTGGACGTGGAAGCTTGGATCCATCAATCGCACACTGAAGTGACAAGCCGCCAAAGCAGCACATGCATACAGCAACGCAGGGTCTTGGACGGCGAGAGGAAGGATATATTGAGTGTATGGATTCCGCATGGTTTCGTTGTCGATGCACAGCCGTGGTGCAACTTCAAAGAGGTGGTAGTCGAGAAGAAACTTGAGCTCGACCGGTATGTTGTGCGGCACCAAAGGGCTAGTCATGGTGAGAAACCACGTATCGTGGTTGCGGGGGCCCTCGGCAGGACTCTCGATTTCATACGCAGTCGATGACGTGGCGTTAACGTCAATGATAGCAGGGTCGATGCTGTCCCACGCCGAAACAGACCAAGACTGGCCCGGATGTGTGTCCAAGGTACTCGTGTGCTGTGCGAGCGGCTCAAGTAGACCAGCATCTTCGGCTGCGGGAGTCTGCCGAGGCGTGACTTCTGTGGCATCTTCATGCGTAACAACAGGGGCATCCCCAGAAACCACCTTGTCTCTTTCACTTCTGGGGTCTGATGCCGCTGGCATGGAAGACTTGCCAGCTAGCTTTCCGCGGCTTGCCAGTCCGGACCATTTGAGGGCATAGCCTTCACATTCGATTCCCTTAGCCAAGCAAGTGCTGCATTTCGGAAGCTCTCTGGTACACTTGCGCCCTCTGCGACGGCAAGTCTTGCAAGCTGCGCCATGGAACCTGCGATCCATTCGGAATCACTAGCGCAGCATCGGGTCAGCCATCGATAGCCATCTCAAACCGTGGTTGTTGCAACGACAGGATGTAGAGATAAGGACGATAAGGCGGTGTTCTCCAGATGGCGATGGAAAGACAACTTAAAAGTCCGGGGAAGTCGCTCTTGGCATGTTTGTTCGAGTCGGAGGGCCGTTTGCACATTCATGTGATTATCCTATCCTTTGCTCGACCAGGGGTTTCACAGGTCGGTTCCGGCATCATAGCAAACACAGACGTGTACACAGATCCGAGACACTATGTATGAAGTGAGGAATCCATCAAGACCAGCACTTGCTTGTCGACTTCATTGTGGAGAAGATGCTTTATTGAGGGTATAATGATGTAGGCCGCAATTCAATGGCCCGACTGCGGACAAGGGATCTCTTTCAACCCTCAGGGATTCGATATCACTGGGTTCCTGTACTGCGCATGACAGCGAACACAACCTCAAAAGTATGCTACTTTCCGACACCTGAATTAAGTCACACCCATGATCTCATGAGAGCCAGCTATCTTCTCCGAATCAGTGGCGGTTAATGCTCCGACGCTCGACACTTTGTGCTTTGCCGCAGTAGATGGCAGCCTTTCAACCTTCGGCGCCGCCAGGCGGATTGAGGGCAAACTTGGCAACATCCTCGATCTCCTAGACCGGGGCAACCCGTCTCGATCAGCGATTTCTGCTGGACATACCAACAGATGCATATGCAGGGCGACGAAGCAAAAGCTAAGTGGACATACCTTTTGGCTTTCCCCAGGCGCTGCTACTTCTTTCTCCTCTTTTGCAAGGGCCGCTTGACTTGGAATGGCAGGGTCCTGTGGGGCAGGAGTTTGTGCTTGTGCCTGAGGGGGTCGCTGCTGGTGGCCAGTGGAATGTTGCTGCATATTGCTTTCAGGATGTGGCAGAGCTACCGCATGGGAATATTGCTGCATATGACCTGTGGAATGGTGCTGCATCTGTTCATGGTCTTGTTCTTGTTGCATGTGGTTCTCTTGGATGTGCATGCCGCCTTGCTGAGAGTATTGAGTTGGGTCTTCTTCATCCCAGCCTTGATGTTCAGCTTCTTGCTGTTCACTTTCTGCTGGGTCTTCCTCGTACTCTCCATATTGCTCGTTTCCGTCCTGTTCGTGAGATTGATCTTGGCCGTATGAACCGTCGGCGTAATCAGTCTCTTCTGTGCCCGTAGGCTCTTGGTGTTCGTAATTGTCCATTGAATGAATGCTGAACGCTGCAATCAAGGGAGCTTTTGCAAGATGGGCAAAGATATAAGTCGTATGTCAAATATCGTTGGGGCGTAGTTGATACTTATCAGGACCTGACACTTCATTAGTTGTCACAACAAGTTAGGCTCCAGAACAAGCCTCATAGGCTTTCGGAGCTCATTTTCTTACGTGCACAAGCGTTACCTGGATCTCGGCTACGAGAAATGGATGACCCAATTGCGTAGCCTTGTCACGACTGGCAGGGCGCTGTTTAACGCAGCAAGGAAACTCGGCGGTCAGATGGGATCTGTCAGTGAAACCAGAAAAGGCAGCCAGAGTCTCGCCAGGTTACTGGAAGCGCTCCTCATAGCAAATCAGAATGGCAATGAAATCAGCCGGTCAGCAAAACTGTAAGCTGACTTCGCTGGGTGGTTTGTTGTCTGAAACATCAAGCTGACTTCCGAGTATGCGCACATATTCCTGTCCGGCATGAACTTGACCCATGGCAACAATCACGGTGACCTCACTGAAGAGGGCAGCGAGATGTAAACACAAGTTGGACATGACGACGGGATCGTTCGTCGGTCCAGGAAATGGACCGGCCATATCAGAAGCCTGAATGAAGAGTTGCTACGGCGTGATGTGAACAGACATTACATCTGGGACGTAACATGGCGTGCTTCTGCAGTAGAGAGCCGCGACGGAAAGAGTATACCATAACAGCCAGCACAATAAGCGATTGAGTAGCAAGCGCAGTGCCTACTCCGTCATGTCTCACTATCACTTGTGTGGTCCTTCCTCTTTCCAGCACTAAAAGTGGCACAAAATGGCATTTTCCCATTATGTTACGTGCTGTTTTCGTTTTGGTCATCGTAGTCAGCCGTGACTGCGCTCGAACGATGAATCGTTGTCATAGATTGCGCCGAGAAATGGCGTATCCAGCAGTTGTGCCATAACTGGCATAGGAAGGGTAGTGGACATCTGCGAATTCGAAGTGAGGTGCACGACGACAGGAAGGAAATGGTGTCTTTGGTGAATTGTGGACAAGGGAATCTGCGTCCTCGAGAGATTTCGTTTAGTGTGTCACAATGGGAGGCGTGTGGGAAAGGGAGTCGTGAGAAGCCTAGGGAGCCTAAGTAGGGAGCTTAGGTCGCCTGACTTGTGGTTGAACGCGCCCAATCATGGGTGCCTAAACTCGGCAATTCGTTGAGTACTACAGTGAGCACTCAAAAGTCTGGGCATAGCTCGTGACTTTTTCGCGTTTTCGCGTTTCACGCGTTTCAACTCTCCTTCTTTCCATGCACCATGCCTACACCACGAAGGCCGTTACAGGCTATCAACCCTAATAGCAGGTCGAACAAGGAGTTGACACCACAGCAACGAGCCCGAATCGATGGTGCCCGAGCTATGGGGGCCTCCTAGGCGAAGATTCGCGACACGATCAAAACGCCTATTCGAACAGCGCGTAACACTATTACGAAGGTCACGATTCGAGAGGACTTTAAATCACAACCACGTATAGGAAGACCTTATATTTACAACGATCGTAATGAGCGATAGATCCTCCGTAAGGTACGCCTTAAATTAAAGATCATATACGTAAAGCTTCGCGTAAAAACTAGCCTCAAGTTCTCTACGTCCACATTTAAGCGTATTCTCGAGAAGTACGGTATCAAGAATTAAGTAGCGAAGACACGACCTCTATTAACACTAGAGAATACTTCTACACGATATCGCTAGTGCGATAACCGAAAAGAATAGCGTATAGACCTCTAGTCGATAGTTATCTTCAGCGATAAATACTCGCTCGAAAGAGGCTCTAGAAAGCGCCGCGTTTAAGTCTTCCGTACGCCCGCGCAGAAATAGGATAAAGCGATAATTATACCTTATCTAAAAAGGAGGGACCTAAGCGTTATAATTTAGGCCTCGATTTAAATCGGTAGCCACTCTAACTTAGTGGTTATAGAGAGAGACGACGATTCACCTAAAAAAGGGTACTCGATATACTCTTACCTCGCTATACTTAACTTAGTAGGATATTTATATAGAATAACGCGCCTATCCACAGAGCCAAAATTATCGAAGAATAGTTCGATTTATATAGAATACCACGGCTCGATTAGCCGCCGTACTCACCCGATCTCAACCCTATCGAGAACGTCTAGGCGATCCTTAAAGATCGTCTCATAGAGAACTAGCCGTACCTTCTCGACGGCGGGAGGTCGCAGGAGGACCTCGAGGCATTAGCGATAGCTATACGATATAAGTAGGATAATATTCCTCAGGACCAAATCGACAACTATATCAAGAGCTATAAGGAGGTCTTAATAGATAGATAAGATCAAATAGAAGTAGCGATACTAGACTAAGTCCTCTAACTAAGCGGTTCTATAGAGACTCAAAGCCTTAAGGGTTTAAGTATCCGTAGAACCTATATTCTCTATATATATCGTATGCGCTAAGCCTACTATAGTTAGGCGAGTTTAGGTAGTTTAGTAGATACTAGCCTAATAATTATCCCCCCCCCCCTTAGGCGTCTTACCCTTAAGACGCGAAGTACTCCTAAAAAATCGAATATTTACTAATTATATAAGATTCCACTACTCTTTAGGTTCGGCTATACTATATATACGAAACGATACCAAGACTATAGAGAAAAGTACGAGGTTACTAGACTTTTAAAAAGTTAGGGACTTTTTAAAAAGTTTTGATATATATTTCGATTAGGATATATTATTTTATTTTTAATCCTAAATTTTAAACTTTCTCTTCTTTTCTTTTTCTCTTTGTATTATAAATATTCTATATTTTATATATACTTTCTATTTATTCTTTTTACGCTTACTACTCTCTTTATATTATCTTCGCCTATAAGTAAACTTATTTTTAATTTAAATCTCTTAACTTAAATCTTTACGCGTTATATTCTTACTATAGTCGCTACTTTCTTGACTTCTCTATATTTAGTCGATAAGGCGTTTATTTATACTTATAACTTTTATTAAAGATATATATATACTTTAGCTCGTAATAATAGTAAGATTTATCTTACGACTCGTTACTATAAGAAGTATTCGCGTTATCGTAAGGTATATAATAAGTATCGGCTTATAAGTATACTCGAAACGTATATTTACTAAGTAATTATTAATATTTTTAAGTCTTTCGTAATTATTATAAAGTAATTAATAAACTCGTTAAGAATTAGTTATCTAAAGATAATAAATTCTTCTCTCGCTTCGATTTATATTACGTACCCTAAACGTACTTAAAACGTATATTAATTATATCTATAGCCGCCTCTCTTCGCTCGTATATTACTATCTTAAATAGAGCTATAAAAGATTCTAAAGAAAAGACTTTTATATTACTTTCTCGCGTCGACGATATTTTTATTACGCTCTCTAAGAGTAAAATCTTTATCTTTTTTATCTTTATTTTTATTTCTATCTCTTTTACTAAGTCTATTTAATAAATACTTATATATATTATTCGAACTCTTATCGAGATTATTACGACTATAGTATATACTATAAATATATCTAAAGTGTATATAGTTAATAATTTCTAAAGTAATATTTTACTCTCTCTCTAGCTCGACTAAGTTATTACTTATTACGAACTAGGCCTTATATATAGCCGTAGCCAAGCTATGACGATAGCTAGACTATAAAGGAAAGGTCAAGGGTACGTAAGACACTATCACGTGACCTCCATGGCTCTACTAGATCCCGTGGCTCCTAGCGCTCCGTACAGAGCCACTAGAGCCATAGAGATCACTAGGGAGCCACTAGAGATATATATACGATAGACATTATATAGCTTTCCTTTATAGTCAACTTCGTTAACGATTATACCTATACGTTTAAGTATTGATTAGTCTCGCTCAAGATACTCGACGTGCTCTCTTACCGCTATACCTTGATACTTCTCTCTACTCAGGAACCCCTTGTCTCGTGATACCCTAGTAGAGCGATTTATAATACTTTGACTACCCTCTAAAGGAAGTATTAGTACTATGGCTAGCTCTAAGTAAACCGTTCGTTCGCCATCACTAATAGGATCGATTAGATCCTCGACTCTATAAGGAGCTGAGATCTATAGGGATAACCGTAAGAAGAGTAACCTTAAAGTAGAGTACTTCTATAGGGATAGGGCCAAGCTCGGTATATTCCTTATATAACTTAAAGTAGTGTTTACACTATAACGAGGTAAGTATAATATATATATCGATAGGGTTCTATACGCTAGACTCTATATAAAGGGCTTAGCCTTCCACTAGTTTAAACTAGTTATAGTGAATTATCTTACGACTTACTCGGACTAATAAGATAAGGAAACCAAGGCTATCTTCGGTAACTTCAATGTTTTCGAAGCTCGACTTAAATAGATCTTTAGTACACTAGGAGAGGAACAAGTAGCAGCCCAACGCAATCAATAACTTCGACAGACTAAGTTAGTAGCCTAGTACTATGCGTTATTTTAGAGGCTTACTACTAAACTCGATTGGGAATCGAATGCCTTTGCATTAGCCTATTACTCAAGGTTGAAGGATTCGGTTAAAGATAAAATGGGGATCGAACGACTAGACGAATATAAGAAACTAGTCGCTAGATCCATTGAGATCGATAATTAGCTCTATAAACGAGCGATAGAAAGAAAAGGGTTCCAAGGAAGAACTAGTGGGACGTTCTATTAGAAGAAGAATCGTTACCAATCCTATAGAGATCCAATAGACTTGGACAATATGGAATATAGCTAGTCCTCACGACTAAAAGGTAGGTTCCAACGCTAAGGCCTATTACCTAGGGAGCGAGAGAGACGTAAGAAAGAAAATCTATACTATAGTTATAGAAAATCCGGACATAGGGCGTAGGAATACGATACTCGCCTATAAGGACTATATATAATGAACGATATAGCCGATATTAGAGAAATAAAGGCCGATACTCCAATAAAAGAAGAACTCGGACGTAAGGTACAAAATAATGAACGTACTTAGAAAGCTAGTAGCGCCGAGAAAGTATAGAAGGAGTCGAAAAAGACTTAGGGAGAAGAAGCGCTCCCACCACCATAAGTTAAACATAGTGAAGAGATTACTACGATCGTAGGGACCTA